ACCTCTCGCGTGTGAGGCGAATGTGATAACCAACTACACCACGACGACTTATCCGGAACGTACAACTTGTCGTATGACGGCTGATGACAAAAATGGGAACCCCAGGCTTATAACCCAAGAGGGCGGCCCCTCAGTCTCATTTCCAGGGCTAAATCCCCCAAAAATGGGTGCTTCGGGACAGCTATCGCTCTGTTGAGCAGATGCCAATTTCCTGGTAGCGTCAGAGGGCCCAAAGACCCACATGTCGACGACCACAATGCACCCTGCTGCATGCTGCTGACTAACGCTGATGACCGCCTTACGCCCAACGTCTGTGGCCAGACATGCGCTGAAGGGACCGCACATCCCTCGCTCCTCTGGATCACGCAGTAGGTATGCACATGCACCATGGTTTGGCAGGGTGAGGAGTTTGTCCACATGCACGTCCACCCGTGGGTATGTGTTGCCTCATTGAAGCGTCCACCTCTTGGAACATACATCCGACTGCAGACGACGCGTCCGGCTATAGACCTGCTGTGCATCCGTCAGTAGAGGCGCCCGGCTTTCGAAGCACTGCCTGTCAACACGTTACTCATCGACATGTCGCTGCCCGGCGCACATCCTCATTCCAACAAAATGCCACCTAAACACATGTCGACACACACGCAGTACGTATACAGCGGCCCATGGCGAAACGGGAAGGAATGAGATGCACCTGGATGGGCGACGGAAAGCCGGTACGGAGCCAGGCGTACGTAAGGTTAGCAGGCCAAGGAGGCGCAATTGGCTTGTGCACCCGCAACCCACCAACCAACGGGCAAGCATGTGTCATCGGATTGGTTACATACATAGCCGCACATCAGGTATAGCCTGTGCGCTTGCCGGCCAGCACATCATGTGTTGGAGACCTGCTCTCCTTGGGGCACGGCAAGGCCTTGCCGCATAGCCAGCAGCAGGGCACGGCACAGCCAGCAGTGTACGGAAGGGGTGACATACACCGATTGACACCGCACACACACAGTGTGTCACACAAGGTACGCCAGTGTGAATCCATGCAGCAGAGAGGGTGGACGCACGAGCGGTTGTGGTTGCAAAAGGGCGGGAGTGCGCAGGACGGAGGAAGGACTGTGGAGTGACGCAAGAAAGGTGAAATATGAGAGAGGGACAAAGCAAGGAGGCGAGGTACACATCTGCCCACCAGCGTGTATGTGCTGCTGGCGGCCAGCCCTGTCAGAGAGGGCAAGCTGGCTAAGTCTCGAATGCTCAAACTATTGCACTGAACGGCGGCACCCCGGCCTCTTGCTTTTGCAAGCCCGGAAAAGGGGCCCGCCGTCATGCCGGCAATCGGTCCTACCTTGGAGCTGCGGCAGGCACGTCGAGCAGTGCAGCCATCTGCATGCCCAACGTCAAGACTCCCACGTCATGGCCCACAAAGCAAGCAGCTAATAAGGTGTGTTATCCTACCTGACTCTTGTGTCACTGGGTGAGGGGTGGCAAGAGGTAGGGGCGCTCTTTTGTCATACTGCCTCCACTGTATGTGTTGCTGCTGCTGTGACGTGTGCTGTCTGGGACTTCCACATGGAGCATGCATACACCCTTCGGAGAAGCCAAAATCACTCCCAAGGACTGGTCAATCTCTACCTTGGTGGTTGGTTACCCCCAGACCATGGTACGACGTCCTGCAATTGACCTTGGTGGCTGCAAAACGCAAAATCGTGTCGTCGTCCAGGATCGAACTGGAGACCTCTCGCGTGTGAGGCGAATGTGATAACCAACTACACCACGACGACTTATCCGGAACGTACAACTTGTCGTATGACGGCTGATGACAAAAATGGGAACCCCAGGCTTATAACCCAAGAGGGCGGCCCCTCAGTCTCATTTCCAGGGCTAAATCCCCCAAAAATGGGTGCTTCGGGACAGCTATCGCTCTGTTGAGCAGATGCCAATTTCCTGGTAGCGTCAGAGGGCCCAAAGACCCACATGTCGACGACCACAATGCACCCTGCTGCATGCTGCTGACTAACGCTGATGACCGCCTTACGCCCAACGTCTGTGGCCAGACATGCGCTGAAGGGACCGCACATCCCTCGCTCCTCTGGATCACGCAGTAGGTATGCACATGCACCATGGTTTGGCAGGGTGAGGAGTTTGTCCACATGCACGTCCACCCGTGGGTATGTGTTGCCTCATTGAAGCGTCCACCTCTTGGAACATACATCCGACTGCAGACGACGCGTCCGGCTATAGACCTGCTGTGCATCCGTCAGTAGAGGCGCCTGGCTTTTGAAGCACTGCCTGTCAACACGTTACTCATCGACATGTCGCTGCCCGGCGCACATCCTCATTCCAACAAAATGCCACCTAAACACATGTCGACACACACGCAGTACGTATACAGCGGCCCATGGCGAAACGGGAAGGAATGAGATGCACCTGGATGGGCGACGGAAAGCCGGTACGGAGCCAGGCGTACGTAAGGTTAGCAGGCCAAGGAGGCGCAATTGGCTTGTGCACCCGCAACCCACCAACCAACGGGCAAGCATGTGTCATCGGATTGGTTACATACATAGCCGCACATCAGGTATAGCCTGTGCGCTTGCCGGCCAGCACATCATGTGTTGGAGACCTGCTCTCCTTGGGGCACGGCAAGGCCTTGCCGCATAGCCAGCAGCAGGGCACGGCACAGCCAGCAGTGTACGGAAGGGGTGACATACACCGATTGACACCGCACACACACAGTGTGTCACACAAGGTACGCCAGTGTGAATCCATGCAGCAGAGAGGGTGGACGCACGAGCGGTTGTGGTTGCAAAAGGGCGGGAGTGCGCAGGACGGAGGAAGGACTGTGGAGTGACGCAAGAAAGGTGAAATATGAGAGAGGGACAAAGCAAGGAGGCGAGGTACACATCTGCCCACCAGCGTGTATGTGCTGCTGGCGGCCAGCCCTGTCAGAGAGGGCAAGCTGGCTAAGTCTCGAATGCTCAAACTATTGCACTGAACGGCGGCACCCCGGCCTCTTGCTTTTGCAAGCCCGGAAAAGGGGCCCGCCGTCATGCCGGCAATCGGTCCTACCTTGGAGCTGCGGCAGGCACGTCGAGCAGTGCAGCCATCTGCATGCCCAACGTCAAGACTCCCACGTCATGGCCCACAAAGCAAGCAGCTAATAAGGTGTGTTATCCTACCTGACTCTTGTGTCACTGGGTGAGGGGTGGCAAGAGGTAGGGGCGCTCTTTTGTCATACTGCCTCCACTGTATGTGTTGCTGCTGCTGTGACGTGTGCTGTCTGGGACTTCCACATGGAGCATGCATACACCCTTCGGAGAAGCCAAAATCACTCCCAAGGACTGGTCAATCTCTACCTTGGTGGTTGGTTACCCCCAGACCATGGTACGACGTCCTGCAATTGACCTTGGTGGCTGCAAAACGCAAAATCGTGTCGTCGTCCAGGATCGAACTGGAGACCTCTCGCGTGTGAGGCGAATGTGATAACCAACTACACCACGACGACTTATCCGGAACGTACAACTTGTCGTATGACGGCTGATGACAAAAATGGGAACCCCAGGCTTATAACCCAAGAGGGCGGCCCCTCAGTCTCATTTCCAGGGCTAAATCCCCCAAAAATGGGTGCTTCGGGACAGCTATCGCTCTGTTGAGCAGATGCCAATTTCCTGGTAGCGTCAGAGGGCCCAAAGACCCACATGTCGACGACCACAATGCACCCTGCTGCATGCTGCTGACTAACGCTGATGACCGCCTTACGCCCAACGTCTGTGGCCAGACATGCGCTGAAGGGACCGCACATCCCTCGCTCCTCTGGATCACGCAGTAGGTATGCACATGCACCATGGTTTGGCAGGGTGAGGAGTTTGTCCACATGCACGTCCACCCGTGGGTATGTGTTGCCTCATTGAAGCGTCCACCTCTTGGAACATACATCCGACTGCAGACGACGCGTCCGGCTATAGACCTGCTGTGCATCCGTCAGTAGAGGCGCCCGGCTTTTGAAGCACTGCCTGTCAACACGTTACTCATCGACATGTCGCTGCCCGGCGCACATCCTCATTCCAACAAAATGCCACCTAAACACATGTCGACACACACGCAGTACGTATACAGCGGCCCATGGCGAAACGGGAAGGAATGAGATGCACCTGGATGGGCGACGGAAAGCCGGTACGGAGCCAGGCGTACGTAAGGTTAGCAGGCCAAGGAGGCGCAATTGGCTTGTGCACCCGCAACCCACCAACCAACGGGCAAGCATGTGTCATCGGATTGGTTACATACATAGCCGCACATCAGGTATAGCCTGTGCGCTTGCCGGCCAGCACATCATGTGTTGGAGACCTGCTCTCCTTGGGGCACGGCAAGGCCTTGCCGCATAGCCAGCAGCAGGGCACGGCACAGCCAGCAGTGTACGGAAGGGGTGACATACACCGATTGACACCGCACACACACAGTGTGTCAGTGCATCTGAGCACCTTCGCGACCACCTGGCATGCATACTATACACATCTTTTATGGAATTGACTGATAAATAGCTTCCCAGCAGCCACTTCTTTTCCCATCCTTGCGACCAAACCCCAATTACGCCCGAAGCGTCCTTCCAGTCATAAATGCGCTGCATAGACGCGCTATAGGACACATATATATGACTTGGATGTTGTTTAGTAGCATAGGTGCGATGATGACGCATCAGGATTAGATGCTTGCCCATGACGGCAATTCACCACGGTGGTCGCAACTGGTGACCCCCAGACGCCAGCTAGCATGTCCACAGCCTCTGCTAGCTATAATAGTTGCTTGCTGAAGTTTTCCCGGTGCGGGAAGGTGTCTAAGCTGGCTTTTTCGCAACTTTCAGGGTGGTTCTTAATACCCCTCCTTTTCTGGAAGTTGGGAATTTTGCGTAGGTGTTGAATAACGGTCAGTGTCGCTACTTTTATTGAGAGTCGTAAGCAGGGCTCTTGGCCCCGTACAGAAGGGTCATACGGCTATCTGCTGCTCCATTTAGAACGTTAATTCGTGAAGTATGCAATGAATGCGACGCATGCAAAGTCGAAGTGGTCCTTGATACCCTCCTTAACCTGTATCCTTTTTGTATTTGTCGCCAAATTTGTCCACTACGGTATTTCACATCCGTCATGGAAGGCTTGGAACTTGAACGCCGTCTCACATTTCCAAGCAACGTTATGAACCATACCAGCAAACATACGCCTTTTCTATTGAGGCTCGCGCATACAGCCTTTGACGGAACAGTTGAAAGCTTTCTGAACATTTTCAAAAACGTGTCCGAGCGGTTCGGCAAGCGAACAGAGCCGTTTCCAAAGCCGTTACTTGGCAAGGTAGGTATTGGACAAGGCATGTGCATAGTAATATTGTACTGTGATACACATTATTATCATATCCTGTGCTGTACACTACCGTAACCTTACAATACACTACACGTTTGCACTAAAACAAAGCATGTGAGCTGTTACCATTGCCTTAGCAATCCCACCTGCAAGCAACCGAACGGTACGAATGTTAATTTCCCAAACACAGGTTGCTATCGTGACTGGCGGTAACACAGGCATTGGCTTCGCGACCGCACAGCAACTGGCTCGCCGCGGTGCACATGTGGTGTTGGCTTGCAGGGACCCCGTACGCGCTCAGGCAGCAGTACAGGTACTCAGCATCACCAACCCACTCGCCTTCCCCTCCTCCCTACTTCCCACGCGCGTACCTGCGCTCAGCAGATCGCCTCAGTCTACTTTTTTCTTTTCCCACAGGCCATCACGCGGTCATCTCCTCTTCCCGACTGCTGCCTCCTCCCCTCCTCCTCCTCTACAGCCTCCTCCTGCTACGCCCCGCCTCTGCATGTGGAAGCCATGCAGCTAGACTTGGGTCGGCTCAGCAGTGTACGGCATTTTGTGAAGGAGTGGGGTGCACGCGGGCTGCCGCTGCACCTGCTGGTTTGCAATGCGGGCATCATGGGGCCTCCACGGCGCCTTGAGACGGCGGACGGACTGGAGATGCAGTTCCAGGTGGGGCCTTGGAGTAAGGTAGCCTTACGTATGATGCCATTCTAGACGGGAAGTAATAGCGACACTGTATGGGTAAAGCGAGTCCAAGGTGGGATTTGAGAGGTGCAAATGCCCACACCTCCTGCTGTTTCCCCTAAACCCAGGTCAACTTCTTGTCTCACTGGCTGCTAGCAAATGAGCTGCTATCACGGGAACGAGAAAGGCGCATGGCGGTAGCTGCTGCGGCAGCAACGGCGCACAGCTCCTCGTCATCCATGCGTCCCGCCTCCGCTGCGGAGTCCGCCTCCACTGGCTCTAAGCCGGCGGCCAAATGCAGATTCCGGAGAGCGCGACGGCGGTGCGATAAGGCTCATGTACACGTAACCTGCTCTTCCGGATCCCTCCCCTGCCCAGCCGCTTCTGCGTCGCCCGCGTCGCCAACCTCCTGCGCCCCCGGCACCAGCGGTCTCGTCTCCTTATCGGGTGTCGACCTATGTGACGGAGGCGCGGCAGCAGCAACTAAAGCAGGAGGCGGTGACGAGGGCATGCGGGTGGTGATGGTGACCAGTCTGACCCACCGAGCGGGTGCGTTGCAATGGGGCGACAAGCAGAGCAGGCGCAGGTACGGTACGGCAGCTGGTGGGGTGGGTGGGGTGCGTGGGCGGGCTTGACGGAGAAGCGGTGCATGTGGACCGAGGTGTTGAAAGGGTGAACTGGGAGATACCGGTGTGCTCTTGAGAAGCGGGGCTGCACGCGACTGCGATTTGCACTTCTCATGGGAACACTGATTGGTTCAAGCGATGGAAGCCTTCCCTCGGCTGCCACGGACACCGTTAGCACTGCGCTACAGTGCGCCTGTTCTGCCACGTTGAAGACCGGCCACCGGGTCTTTGTTATTTTGGGCCGTGATGATGACGTACATGTCGTTTGCGCTGCCGTACAGCTATGAGCCCTTTGTGTCGTACGGTTTGTCCAAGTTGGCAAACATCATTACCGCCAAGGAGCTGCAGCGCCGCTTTGACAGGTGGGGGGTGTTTGGAGTGTGGGTGTGGGAGCAGGGGCGTGGGAATGGCAGGTGTATGGAGTAAGGAGTCTCGACATGGGCGAAAGGTGGGCAGGGCGGACAACCTATGGCGAAGGTAGCTAGTTAAAGATGGCTTGAGAAAATGTCTTGACAGCCTCAAGGGCACTGCGTCCGCTTCATCTTGGGAAAGTTTTACCCGTGGCGGTTGGGCACTAGCTCTAGAGACCCGAACGTCTTTTTGACATCCGTATCCGCCCCCTAGCGCTGCCTCCCTCTCTGAACTTCGTGGGCTTCCTCTCCATGCAGGAGCCCTCCCGAGTACGGCAAGGACACGGCAGTCGCGGTACACCCTGGCCTTGTCAGCACCGACCTGGCCAACGGCTTTTTCTCCGCGCGGAGTACGGGGTGGGCTGCGGGCACCCCTCTGCAGCCGCTGGTGGAGAACGCTGTGGCGGGGGTCAGCGCCGTGGTGGGTAGCAGTAGTGCAGGCAAATTTCCAGCCGGGATGGGCCTCGATCTGTACCCTTCCAAGCACAGTTTCCCGCCCTTCCACCCTCCCCACCCCGCGCCTCCCGCAGGTGGGTCCGCTGCTGATGCGCTCCCCCGCCCAGTCGGCTAGCGTCATGCTGCACGCCTGCCTGGCGCCCCCTGCTGACGTGGCGGGCAGGTACCTGGCACTGGGCCGGCCTGCACGTCCCGACCAAGTAAGGAAGGGGGAAGGGGTGTGACCGGTTCCCAAAGAAACCGGGTAAGGTTTGGTAGTAAGGGACGCAGAGTCGAATTGGAGGCAGGGTCTGGAATACGGCCGCCACAGCCGTACCAAGGCAGGATGTGCCCATTACAAAAGGGTTCTCCGTACGTTTGCCATATGCCCATTGTTGGATAGCACTCATGTGAATCTTCCCTCCAGTCCGCCCATTTCCCCCTCCCCTGCTGCTCCCCTCCCCTCCCTTCGCCCTCCAGGCCGCCGAGGACCCCTGCATGGCGGCGGAACTTTGGCACTACGCGGAACAACTCACATGCGCCACCCCGCACCCCTCGCTGCGCGTCTAACCCCCATTCATGTTATCCCTCACTGCGAGCATGACCAGGCGGCTTTTGCGTCGATCCTCCCATGCCTTTACTTTCTGCCTAACGCACGTTGCAACGATGTGGTCTCATTGTCGTAACCTCATTTGGAAGCATAAGGCTACGTAAATGCTTGTGGGATCCGTACGGGCAGTGCAGCTAGCGTCTGCGCGAACCATATGCGCCGTCGGACAACTTTACATGGTCTGTAGTGCTATAACTTTTATGCTGAGCTGTGTATGTGGACTTTATGGCGGAAGGATGCGCCGATAGTGTGTTAAGGTCACGAGCGGTGTATGGAATCCTGCTGTTAAGGCCCATGCAACAGGCCCGGTTGAATTCAACTGTGCCTAGTAGGTAACCCAGCACACCGTGCTACCCTAATGATATCTATCCTTCGGAACAAGATGCTTGTATGTATTACTTGTTCGTTAGCCAGTACAGTGGTAGGGCATGAGTCTTGTCTTCTTTCAGCACACAGCATTGCTCAATGACGCCAGATGTAGCCATTCTGGCACTGATGACACATAGGCGATTTTTTGCTCGGACGAATGTTTCATGGATAATCCATCGGTTGCCGCCAAGCTCTTGGCAGTAAACCTAATGTTTGTTGCTCCTATGGCAAGTTGTGAAAGTAGTAAGAACTACACCTGTCGTGCGGGTGGTCCCAACTGTATATGGGAGCGTAGTGGCATGCATGTCTTAATGGCAAGGGACGTCCCTAGTATTGCAGAAACGATTTACGTTTGTTGTCGACGTTCTGGTAAGATATGGACTTACGCCGTTACGGTTAGTAGACAGCTAGGCTGTCGTCAGGTTATAGACAAGTTCCCGACGACGAAGGCCATGTTCGTTTAGATCCGCTGTACCGTTTGTGGGTGATTAGATAAACTGTGCCGCGGAAACACTGACCCTGACCGTAGGTTGCCGTTTGTGGGTGGCAGGGGCGCAACGGTGTGCTCTTTCTTGCTCTTTCTACTTGCGCTCGCTCTGGACGCAGTCACTTCACACGGCCTTCACATGTCGTAAGCCATCAAGACACACGGCCAAAACGGCAACGAAATCAAGCCACATTCGATTCGTGTCTGTTGCCGCGTACGGTCGTGATGACTGGGTTGTTGTCAAGCGACTGTGATGAGACTTGATCAGCATGTTTGCACGGATACTGTGTTTATAGACATTTTCAAACATCTATTAATAAAGCTGTCTTGTCGATTGGATGCCTGTATTCAACGACCAACAGTGGCCGTTGCCGGGGATTTGATACTCTATGAGAAGATATGCCATGACTGCAGAGCTTAACTCATGTCTTGTAAGCAGCGGCATGGTATATATGTAAGTGGCTGACATATCGGCGTTTGACGATCTGTATTCCTAACGAGTTTCCCTTCGCAGGGGAGCGGTGCGTCACATCAGTACTGCGCCTCGACGCGACTATTCACTCATGTGACCATTAACAGACTATTCGCTTATGCTCATTCACTTCTTCACGCAGACTATAGTGACCTTTAGGACTTGAGTAATTCAACTGCCGACTACAGTACTAAGGCGAAGCCAATAGCCCAAAGCCTTGCGGTTTCAAGCGGAAGTTAGAGTACTTTTACCAATTCTTGATCAGTTGGGGAAGACGCAGAAGGGTACAACTACCAACAAGGCATCCTTTCCAATGGCGACCCTACCGCAAGTGAGTTTCACAGCATGATATTGTGACGACGCACATGCCTGGGCGTGCATGTTCCGCCGGCACTAACCGCCATACTTTACCAGTTGTCCGTCGTGCGGGTCCCTGTACTTTCTCAACCTGCCACATCGGACTAGCCTCCCGTTTGGCCAATCGCGGGCAAGCACCCCGGTCGAAATCTTTGCAGCAACGAGTTCTCACAACCATCCTAAACACCAACATCTCGCCGCCCTTCTCAATCCCCGTTCCTATCAACCCTGCAGGCCGCGCCCTTGGTCCTCCCCGGCTTCAGCTCCCCAACCTCCTGGCCACCCACTGGCATCACCAACACAACCAACAGTCAAAGCCTTTTCCCAACCCACCAGCAACTACCCATGCAGCTCCCAACCACCACCACTCCTCTCGCATCCACCCTCTGCACTGATCCCTTCGCGGCTGACATGACAGCCGCAGCTACCACAGGCGGTAATCCCGGCATCCCCACCACAACCACAACCGCAGCTGCCGCTGCGGCTGCCGCTGCCGCCATCGCTGCTGACATCAGCGCCATGGACCTGGATCTAGAGAAGTTGGCCGAGGAATGCGTGGAACTCATGGGCGACTCGGGCGGCGTCGGCAGCGTTGGCAGCCTCTTCGACACACCTGGCCTTCCCCAAATGGGATTGCCCCTGCCCTGGCTGACGGCTGGCCCGTCAGATTGGCCGCCTGCGCTGATTAGCTCCTGGCTGGATACCGCCGCAGCACAGCAGCAACAGCAACAGCAGCAGCAACTACACCAGCATGGGAAGGAGGGATGCCAGCAGTCAACGGTAGGGTTGACGGGACCGCCTATGGCGGCAACGGTAACGGCAGCAGCTGTGCTTGCTTCTAATGTTGGCACTAACGGTGGTTGCGGCGCCGGCGCCGCTGCTGGTGGCAGCAGCGGTGAAGGCGACGGCACTCCGGCGGGCTCATCTGCGGATGAGCTCTGGGCGTTGTACTTCGGGCCTACGGCAGCGGCAGCGGGGCCGGTTGGGGCAGCGTTGGGACCGGGAGCTGCGGCGGCGGCCCACGGGACCCACACGGCGATGCTGCTGAGCGCTGAACAGGTGAGGGGGACATATGCACCTATGCATGACAAGCGCTTCCGTCGCCGCACAACACCCGCCGCCGCCTGCCGCTCAAATACTGCTATGCTTACGGTATCCATATTTCAACCCTTCCATGCATGATGCCCCATTATCATCACCACCTCGTCCACTTCCATTGCATCCAAGATCGCCCTTCTCTGTCTGTATGACCGCAATCTGGCTCACCTGCCTGTCTGATGACCCCCCTACCTGCAGGGTGCCCTGCTGGACGGCTCTCTTGCTGCTGCGGGCGGCGGTTGTGGTGCGGCAGCGATGGTGGGCTGGAACGATGAGCAGGAGGAGCTGACGCGCATGCAGCTGCTGCATCACCCGCGCATGATGGACCTCATTGACGCGGTCGTGGCGTGCCGCAAGGTAAGGTCGTGCGTAAGGCGTAAGGCGCCGGTGAGCAACAGCCCTGCGGCACGCCTTCAAGCAGTGCGCAAGTCCGAGCAATGCTCCAAGCCCATGGCGCCAACGCCGGTCACCAGTGACAGCACCCCTCCGGCCACACCTGAAGCCTTCACCACGCGTAGTAATTGCACTGTGCCTCACGCCTGCGCCTTTCCCTACCTACCGCTTCACTTGAACCGGTGTTTTTGCTCCGTTCTTGCATTCTGGTCAGGCGGGGCTGCGCAACCGTGACACAACGGACGAGCTGGATGCGGCGCGTGACACTGCCGTGCGCGATCTGGGCCGCCTGCGCTGTGCGGCGCGGAGCTGCGGGGGACAGGTGCCAGAGCCTGACCCGGCGTTGGATGCATTCGTGGTGAGAGCAGCAGGGGTGCCTGGACCTTTTGCTTAGCTGGAGTGATTGAGCATACAGGCTCCAGCGTGCTGTACTGTTCATCTACGGTTAGGGGTTTAGGGCTCTATCGTAGCAGCCAGTCACCAGAAAACCTAGAGGGATAATTGTCTTTCCGGCGTGTTGTGCTTTTCTTGCAATGTAGGGTTCGGTTCATCACCCGTGTTCCCTTTTATTTAGGGAACCATTGTAACGGTCATTCATTCAATTACTCCTGTCCGTGCTGCCCCGCTGCCCTCCGCTACAGGACACGTTCATCGGCCTGTGCGATGCTTACCAGTCCGAGGTGTTGTCCATGTTCAAGGTGAGGCACCTGGACAACGCCGTGGGTAGCTTGTAAATCTGTTAGCTTGAGTCGTACAAAAGGCATTGGTGCCCCGGTGCACGGTGGTGTACCGGAGTGCGCACGGGGATGAGGAAATCTCTGCGTCCTCATCGCAGTCCTGGGACCTGGTTTGTGCACGTGGCACATCCTTAACGTCGTTAATTTGTTACCTTGAGCATGCTAGCAATCTCGAACAAAGCCGCTAAAACATTGCTGCAGGAGGCCGAAGCTCTGATGCATGACTTTGAGTTGAAGGTAAGGAGCGGGGGAACTTGTCATGCACATGTGTTTACGTTTGCAATCATAGCGAGTAGGGCTTGGGCGCAAGAACCAGGGGTGCACGGTACAGTCCTCGGGTAGAGGCCGGGCGGGGTGTTACAAACCACAAGGCATACCAGGTTTGGCGCCGCAAATGCTCGGCTGGGCGGGGGCATGGAGGAGCAGGAGGGAGGCGGGGAAGGGGCGATGGGTAGATCGTTAGAAGGGGACGTTGCGAGTTGGAGCGCCACATGCGGGCAAGCTCATGCATCTGGGGACTCCAAACAAACAGTCCAACATCGGTTGAACACCGCAAATAAGCATGCGGAAAGGAGAGCCGCAGGTGCATGCATCACGCTTCCTGCAAATCCAGCTTGACCACAAGTCACTTACATGCCATTCCGTTTTTACCCACCCTCACCGGCACAGCTTTCATCGGCACTGCAGCGCTGCGCGGATGCCAGCGCTCAGATTACTGTGCCGGCGGGTAGCGCTGGAGGGCTGGGCGGCGGTGGCGGAGGTCGCGGGGGCTTCGTGTTTGGAAGCGACGTGGGTGTCGGCGCTGCCGGGGAGGCGGCGCAGTGCGAGGCCGAGGGAGATCTTGAGCTGGGGTCGGTGCTGAAGCGCAAGTGAGAGCCGTAGGGCAGGGAAGGGCAGGAGGTAGAGGGGGAGAGACCATGGAAAGGGGGGCGGGAGGTTTGTAAAGGCTTGCATTACGCATGTTGCAGTACATGCAAATGAGCGTGTGTTAGGATGTTCGCACCGGAATCTGGGCTGACATCATTTGCCGCCTTTCAATGTTAAGGCGCTTGTCATGCATTGTGACCTGCTGGCGTCACGTTCAGTGAACAGCGAGGCAATATCCATGGTTCCAAGTATCTACCGTACTTGCAATCCTGTGGCTGTGCGCCGTTTAGTACCTTGACGTACTCATGTGTCTCTTCCCGTCAGGTACCAGGCTCAGATTCGGCAGCTGCAAGAGGAGTTCTCCAAGCGCAAGAAGATCGGCAAGCTGCCCGAGGACGCCATCAATGTGCTGAAGCAGTGGTGGAACGCCAACTTCGTCTGGCCCTACCCCAGCGTGAGTGGGGGGCGGCGCCGATAGCGGATACCGGACACATAGGGGAAGCGGGGCACGGCGAGACTGTGTGTTTGCCAAGCATACCGTCATTGCTTAGCTTTCATTTTTGTTTGCTATGCTCGCACAGGAGGACGTGAAGCGGCAGCTGGGCGCTGCGGCGGGATTGAACGCGACGCAGATCAACAACTGGTGGGTGCAAAGATACCCGGCAGTATGCGACCCGCACACCCAAACGCCAAACTACAACGGCAGCCAGTGATTGACTGCTACAGGCAGGGTGGTGCGCTGTCTTTATGCTGAGGTTTTCCCGCTTGCTCATGCCACACTTGTATCAGCGTGTCGCTCTTCCCGCTTCCCCCTCTCCACTCGCTCACTACAACGACTGATGCGTCCGCAGGTTCATTAACCAGAGGAAGCGGCATTGGCACAAGGTACGCTGGTTTCCCCCCAGACCCTCGGCCCCTGGTGGTGTCTTGCCATCCGGCATTAGTCCTCAGCAGTATGACCCCAAATTTTTACACGTGTCATATCCGAGTTTCCTTGTTGTAACCTGCGCGTACATGGTCTGCCTAATCTGCACCCCATGACCGGCATGCTGGCCATTATCCACGCCTGCCGGCCTGCTCATTGCTGCTGCCGACGATGCTATTTCATTGCCACTCGGTACCTACTGGCTGTTGCCCTTCCTCCCTCGGCCCCCAGTTGTTCCATGGGCGCCAGCCAGCGTCAAAGGATGAGGCCGAGGCCATGCTTCGAAACATGAAGATCATCAAGTGAGGCATGCTGCTCCTTGGACCGGGGCAGGGTGGCCAAACCGCAATGCAGACTGTGGACTGCATGCATTCATTGTGGGTGTGACGGGGTGACCGTTGATTAAAGAGGTAAAAGACATCGCGTGCCGGCGTGGCGTCGCGCGCAGCTGCAACACGCTGAAGATTCCTTGTTGGGAGAACCGCAATTAACCGCACGCGCCCTGCATGCACGTGATATCTGCATGAATGTGAGTAATATGACACATGCATAACGCAAAGTTCTGTGATACGAACCACTTTCTAAGGAAGGAACTTAGTCACTGTATTTCTTCCTACATTTATGTTGCTGATAAGGGCGTATGTCGTAGGAAAGAGTTGGTGCTTTTCATCTGTGCGGACTCGGCGGAGTTGGTGCTTTTAAAGCAATGCGGGCTTATGGCCCATGGGTCGGCGACTACTCCAGGCAGGTCATGGCCAGCAATCTTCCCTTGCCTTTCATAGAAATGTAAGTGTACGGTAAGGACTTCGATAAGGAAAACGCCTCCCAACATACCAACGTTACCCATTCCTCCTTAATCATTACTCTTTCCCATCACGCAGAAAAACATTGCATGCGAAAGGTGGCAACTAAACGTGAGCGGCTATCAGACGCCGACCGCGACCATTGGGAGACCCCAAAAGCGGAAACGCGACAGCAATGACGACGTTCATGTAGGCATGCAGCACGACACTGGGCTCTGCCAGCCTTCCCCCACCTTCTGCTGCCTCAAACGAACAGGTGCAGGCACGTGGCCACACCGTGTGCCGCAAAGTCCGGCAGCATCACCTCCGCCACCCGCCCCGAGGACACCAACTCCAAAAACGCTTCCCCCTTCTCCTCCTCCTGCTCGCCTAAGTCTGCCTCCTGTGACGAAGCCGTCGGTCTATATGAGCGGCCATTTCCGACTAATCCGCCTCCTCCGACTCCAGTTCCAGTTCCAAACCCAATGCCGCCGCCTAAGGAGCGGGCCCCGCCAAGCGCTTGAAGCAGCAGAGCGGTCTCTGACTGCGCCCGCAGGCTGTTGCCAATCAGCGCTACATTGTGCAAGGTGCCAGTCGCCAGGTTTGATCGTATAATAGTGTCGTACAGTTCTCGCGGGCAGCAGGGCGCGTAGAAGAGCGTGGGTTCGGCAGCGACGAGTGCATGGGGCGGCGCCGCTGCGGCTAGTGCAGTTATCTCCACCGGCGGGTCTTTGGTTGCCGTACAGCCTTGATGCCGTAAGTGCCGTATAAGTTCCAAATCCCAGTCGAGGTACTCGGGATCAAAGTATAGCACCGCAGGGATTGACGTAGCTGCTGCCGACTCTGCTCCTTGTAAGCCCCCGCCCGCCTCAGAATTCTCAGTAGCTGCATGGACCTTATTTCCCGACGGGGTATCGGCTGCGGCAGCAGCTGCAACTGCGGTAGGCATCGGGGAGGACAGGGCTGTGCTGGAGGCATGGCTAAGAGGCCGCAATTCCGTACATGTTGCCGTGTTGTCGACGCCAGCTTCGGCGTTGCTGCTGTCCTCAGGGCCGCGTCTGCTGCTGCCACCAATGCTGCTGCTTGCCTCAGGGCCTAGCAACCCCGTCAGCACTACCGGCGAACCAAGCACCAGCGACAGCGCGAGCTGGTAGAGCCTGCGTCAGGAGGCGGGTAGGGGCCGGCAAACCAAGGAAAAAGGTGCACGTTGATAGGAGGAACCTTAGCCAAATGCTACAGTTCGGACTCTTATCAAAAAGGCAGGAACCGAGAGCTGCCAAGCATGCTCGGTAGAGTACAAGAGTACCAGCAGCAGCCAACACTTCCACGGGCGCACCACCCACCTCGCCACCGCCCGGCTGCTCTCCCGCTCCGTCTGGCGGCCGCTGCGCAGTGCCGTACGGTAGGCTGCCAGGGAGCCCAGTCCCGCCACCACCACCCGCCGTACCTGCCGCCAATCCCACTCCCGAACGGCGTCCCCATGCTGCCGTACATCAGCCGCCTCAACAGCCGCCGGTGGCGCGCTGGAAGCAGCAGCAGCAGCAGCACAAGCAGTCGAGAGCGCTTGATTGCCGGCTGGTTGCGGCGGTAGGGGTCCCTCCGGTGCCCCGGGAACAGTTCCAGCGTACGAAATCGGTTGCTGAATGCGGCTTGACTGGTTGGATCCACCATGAGGATTGCAGCTCCCGCCGAACCAGGAAGAGCCACGGCTGCGGGTTGATAGGGGGTTGCCACCGATGCCGGCGGCATCGGCGCTGCCGTGGCTGCTGCCAATGCTGCCAGCAGCCAACCGACTTGTCGCTGTCGTAACCCCACCGAAGAAGCCGCCACCGGTGCGAAACGGTGGCCCAGTTGCGCCGCTTCCTCCACGGCCACTCGCAGTGCCGCTTCCGCTGCTCCCGCTACGTGCGGCATTCGCCTGCGCTGCGCACGTATCCATTGCCGTACGCAGAGCGCCCATATCGCTGTGCGCCTGCATCAGCTGGGCCACTTGCCGTACAAGCGCCGCCACGTGATCCAGTGAAGGTTCACTCAATCCTGCTTCTGATGCTGCTGCTGATGCTGCTTTTGCCGCTCCTCTTGCTTCTGGCGCCGCTACTGCGGCCGCGTCATGTCGTAGGTCAGCGTCACCGGCAGCGACTGGAGGAGTTGAAAGCAGGAGCTGCAGCAGTTGGCGTCCAACGGTCGTACGGCTGCCGTATAAGGTATAGTTCCCTCCATGCGCTGGAGACGAGATGCTGGGTGGGCTGTTGCTGCTGTCGCTATGTGTTGCGGTGCTGCTTGCAGAATTTAGGGACCCGACTCTGTTGTGAAATGACCCCTGGAGTGGAAAGGGGTTACCGAAGGAGTTGGCGTTACCACCAGTCTGATTGGCCTGCACTACGGGTGTTCTTCCATGTGGTGCTGGTTCGGGAGTTGTGTGGCTGCGACAGCTGACTTGCGGCGAGCGAAGGGGTGTCTCGCACTGACTGTGATGCAGCACGCGTGCACGACGAGGAAGGGACTTCGTCTGGGGCCAACATCCGTATTCAGGGCTGCTGCGCGGCTGCGACAACCCGTTTCGCGCATTTAAGGGTCTTCTTAAGAGTATGTGTGTCTGCTTTCCAGCAGCTGGCGGAAGCAGCGAGTTCGCGCACATAGGTGTTGCTCTGCAATTGTAAGAATGTAATCGTGGCCCAAATGCCTACTCTGGAGGGTTGCTTTATCTGCAACAAAAATCTTGTTAATGATATGGGAAGTTCTATTCACACCGGAATGAAGCGAATCGGAAGACGTGTCGTAAACGCCGTATGCAACCTAGTGTGTATCGTGCTGGCGTGTTGTGACGAGCGCACTATGAGGTCGTTTTGTTGTTAGGGGTGCACAGACACAAACGACAGGGACTAGAACGCTTTTTGTTCCTGCACTCCACGACCAAACCGGTCGCCGCTTGAAGCGTAGTAGTTGCCTCAAATATATTCAGTTATAGGTTACGAGCTTGCTTCTTTTCACAATATATATCCTACCTTTATTTGTCTGCGCCTGCCATCATCGCAGAATACTTCGGCAGAACTAGCTAAAGCAGGCGAAACACATGCCGCGTAGCATATGGAAGGGTCCGTATGTGGCCGTTAACCTTCTTCAAGATGTGGTGGCGTTAGCGCGAAAGCATCCCGAGTGGTGGAACAAGGGACGCTTCCAAGGGCAGAAGGCCCCCGAGGTGATTAACACCTACAGCAGGGCATCCGTCATCCTGCCAGACTTCCTATCTTGCCGATTTGGAATCCATAATGGCAAGAGCTTCGTCAATATTGAGGTGCAAGAGGCGATGGTTGGCCACCGGTTAGGGGAGTTTGCGCCGACAAAGGGGACTCCGCAGCACAAGGTCAAGGATGCGGGAACGAATAAGAAGAAGATCAACCCCAAGACCGGCAAGTCCTAGTAGGACCCGGTGGGTCGGACATACCCGCGCAGCTAGGGTAGTGCATTTATATGGCGTATGCATGAAGTGGCCGGAGGAGAGGTATGGGCTGGGGTCACGCTGGGTGGCCTTTGCGGAAGAGAAGTTGGAAAGGCTAATGGTAGAGGTTACGGACTTGCGACTGCTTGGTACGCTAAGACGGTGCCTATGAGAACGGTAGAGAGGCTAAAGGGAGCAGGCGCGTTGTGGGGCTGGACACGCATGGATTTGGCAACGGAACTATGGGCGCAATTAATGCTTTGCCCTCATTGTAACTGTCTGCAAGGTTTTCCTGTCTAAATCCTGCACGCTGGGGATTACTGCTAGCGGGCCATTATGGCAACAGCGAGTCTCTCATTCAATCCCATTGGGTATCAGGGCATTGCATGCCACTACATGCGTACATTTGCCCATTTTAGCGCCATTCCAAACCCCACATTAGACATCACAATGCGCGACAGCTACGATACAGCATTCCTTGACAAGCAACGCTACCAGTGAGCTCATCAGAGAATCAGCAATCACAGTTCTGGAGGAGGGTTGGGGACGCAACTGGATAGGAGATATAGCAAGTACTGCGCCCCAATAACAGACCCGCACATCCAGAAACGTGTCTTCTTGCTACTTTACGGCGCAAACTAGGTTACCGGTGTCCACAGCTCCCGAGCCGTCTGCTGTACAACGCTATAAAGAAGCACCAGGCACCCGCGCATGGACAGCATACCTCCTATACTTCCTCCGCACACATTCCCGCACGTTGTTTGGCGGATAAACCCGCTAATTCCTAATCCATCCAGCTAGACCACAGCCAGCACCACCTGTTTTCCCACTTGTGTAACACCATCAATCGCCAAAGCCGCCCTCCCTCTCTAACTATTTAATGTACGAGACCCACTACCCAGTGAAAACGCCATAACCCACGTCACCACCCTCACGAGAAGATCCCAAGCAACGACATCTTCCCTGTGCTGGGCGTCGCAGCCACCACGCCGCCGCCAGCTGCGGGCGCCGCCACCATTGATACGTCGGCGCCGCTACCTGCACCGCCCCCACTGCCACCTGCTCCTCCAGCATCAAACTTGCCTCCGCCGCCTGCGCTGCTGCTGCTGTCCTGTGAGCCCTGCGAGTACATAGCGTACAGGCAGTAGCCGCCCAGGCCCAGCAGTGCCACGGCGACGCCGCCCGCGACGAGTCGGCGCTGCAGGCGGCGGCGGGACTTGCGCGCGGGCGTGTCGGGGATGTGCGCCTCGGGAGCCAGCAGCGCGGTGGTCAGGGTTTGCCTAGGGTTGGCGCGGTGCATGGTTGGGGAGGAAGCAATCAACGACAAATCAACCCTAAATGCAAACATGAAATCCCGGTCCGTCAGTCGGTGGTCTACTCCACAGCTAGCGAACTTTCGCCGACAGCCCAAAGACTATTCCCCCAGGAACACCCAACCCCGACCTCACCTGAAGAGCCGCCCCATGCTGGTCATATCCGCTGCCGCCACCGGCACCGGTTCAGGCAGCGCCAGGTCCGCGCAAGCCACTGTCACCTGCTCCCGCAGCTCGCCGCACATGCCCACATCGTCCTTGGCGGCCACCAGCAGCACCGGCAGCGTCTCGCAACTGGGGAAGGGGGCCAAGGAAGACGGGGATGGGGTGAAGTGAGTACAAACGTTTATTAACTTATGAGGATCCGTAAGCAGTCCTCAAACAGTGAATGCATGGGAACCCCAGCAAGCCAAATGGAAGCCAGCCATCTACCCGGTGACTGTGTCCTTGCAAAAGCTCAACAGCCTCTGTGTCGCAGCCCCCTCATACACACCACCACACATGCATAGTAGCAATACCCATCCCAGCGCCCCGCCGCTCACCCCGGCAGGCTGCACAACGTGAGCATGGAGCGGTGCGCCCACGCCCAGGACTCCGCACTCGTGCTGTCGAACACAAACACCGCGCAGTCACAGCGCGCCAGGTCGGGCAGGCTGTACACGGCCCCCGGGCTGCCACCCGCAGCCACCACGCCCGGAGAAGCCGCGGCTCCTCCTGCTCCCGGGGCTGACACGGAGCCAGCTGGAGCAGCGACAGCAGGGGTGCTTGAAGCCGCCGCCGCTGTTGGTTGTGTCTCAGAGGAGCTACCGGCGCCAGACGCGGAGGTCGAGGTCGAGGGGCCGCTGCCAGCAGCAGGGCCTCCAGTCCCCGGGGCATCCGCGGCGGTGCCAGTAGCTGGCGCTACAGCCGAGCCAGATCCGGAGGAGGGGCCTGCAGCCGCGGCGGCTGGTGCGGGGCCGGAGGACGAGGTTGCAGGCAGGAGGGTAGCGGAGGCGGCGGAGGCCGAGGAAGCGCCGCATGCGGGCGAGGAGGCGGGGCGGCCCGACAGGGTGGCGGCGGTGAGCAGCTCGTTGGTGAGGTCCTCCGGCACCTGCAGGCGGGGTGTTGGGACGCATTTCATTTTTCGAGACGTCGAGAGTGCCAGGCATAGCCGAGCGGATAACAGAAGTATTCACGCCTTGCGTCCTGCAAGGCTCTGCACTGCCAAAGGCAACATAAACCACCGTACAGACTCCCCTTTCATCCTTTACAACCAACTCACTCTCCACCGCCCCCTTATGTCATCTGACCTACCTCCACCATCGCCAGCGTCCGCTCTTTCGTGTCGTCGCAACGCACGGTTGCCACGCCCGTCAGCGGCGGCGCACCACGACTTGCAGTGTACGACGACATCTGCTGCCCGCCCGCACCGCTGCCGCTGGCGCCAGCAGCCGCGCCTCCGGAGCCGCTGGCGCCTCCTGCCGCGGCGTCGTCAGCGCGGCGGCCTGCCAGCGCCCGCAGCAGCGTGGATTTGCCGCAGCCAGCCGACCCGAACACGTAGCAGAGCACCGTGGTCCTGCAGGTGGGATGGATATGAAGGTGGTACATGGATGCCAAAGGGGGATATCGGATGGAATGGAAACAACGGATGTACGGGGCAGACACAGACCCAAACGGCTCAGCTCGTAATCGGTCCTTCCAAACGCTAAAGCGGAAACCCATGCAAGATTCCGCTACCAGGGAACGCTGCACCGCCCATGCCCACCTCTCCGCCATCTCCTCCCGGTGCCTCTTGTCCGGCCGCCGCCGCTGCCGCCGCACCAGCAGCTCTGCGGGACCGCCCTCATAGCCCAGGTAAAGCAGGTGCGCCAGGGTGGCCCGTGGATCGGTCAGCGCGCAGTAGCGCCACCGGGCGATGAAGCCGTCGAGGCTGTGTACGGCGCCGTACGTGCCGCACACCATCAACCGGTTGACCCGCTCGTTCTAGAAGGAAAAAAAGGGTAAAAAGGAAACGGGGAGGAAAGGAGCGGAGGGAAGAGAACCGTTGGCCTATGCAGAAATGGTTGGAAGTACCGGTACTGCCCCTAGTCAAGACGTCGGCCCTCCTAGCTGTAAGAACCTAATGCTTGAAAGAAACAAGTCGTTATAACATGTTCCAACGGCAGCGCCCCAGTAGCCATCATAAACCCACTAACGGTTTTCCATTCCCTTCCCTATCATGTCGCACGGAAGCCACCCACTCTTGCCCCCTCTACGTCTCCCACCTGCCACTCCGTGGGTAGGCAGGGGGCGGTGCTGAACAGCCCCTGCAGCTGCTCCCAGCTCAGCATGCCCTCGTCCCGCGCGTCGTACAGCGTGAACTGCTGCTGCAGGAAGGCAACCGCTGTGTCGCTCAGCTCCAGAACCTGTGTACGGCAGGGACAGCGTTCAGCACCTGGCCGTTATGTCACCCAAAGGAAAGCCTCCTGGACACCATAATACAGCCACCAGACCGTCATCTGCGTCAAAGTGCAGCCCTTGATCCCAATCGGTCCCGTTTCACCCAAATCCACGGCCCCATCCAGGCGCCCCGCCCCACCTGGTCTGGCGGCAGCTGCACGTTGACCCGGTCCAGCAGCTCGTCACTCAGGCGCAGCTGATCATTGTAGCCTGTAACAGGGAGGTGGTGGGGAGCAGGTGGGGACGGGCCCACCAGGATGGTAAGAGGTCGAGTAAGAGGATTGCCAGGGGGTAGACAGTGGTGTGGCGGCAGCAGGAACCTCAACGAGGAGCAACCGGGGAAGTGAGCCTTACCGAAGCGGCGGAGGACCTGCCACACCGTTTCCAGCCGCCCACGCTCGATGAACAGACCCTACAAGTCAAACGTCAAGAAGCAGGGCGGGTGTATGAGCTGGAACTGGAAGTATGTAACGCACATGCTCCGACTCAACCAGAGCCGCACCCTAAGCCACCCAAAACATTACCCCATTTAGGCCTCCGAAGCGTTGTCGTACAAGTGGAAGTAGCGGGGCCGCCTACGCTAACCCTTTCGGCTCCCGCTCCGCAAACTCCACCGGCTATGCCCGCACAAGCCACCCACGAATACCATAAACACGATGCCACCAGTCCCATCCTCCAAGATGGTGAAGCCCCCACACCCCGGGCCCCTTACCTGCAGGAACAAGAAGCCTTCCAGCGTGAGGCCCGTGTCCGTGTAGCCGCCCGGCACCTGCTGCCGCACCACCTGCGGGAGGTGCGGTGGGGAAGGAGGCGGGACATGCGTGTCACTCCGAGCCATTCGGTTCCAACCTCAGAGATCAGGCATTAAGGGGCTAGAGGGGTAGTTGAAAACGAGTACTAGCCTACTAGGACAGCCGTTTCCGCTGCCCTTCTATACCCGTACCACAAATTTCCGCCCCACCCTTACCCCGAGCCCCGGGTTCTTTCCAGCTCCCTCTCCACTAACAGGCCCCCACCTGCTTGATGCCGTGCAGCTCCTCGGCGCTCAGGGAGATGCCGAAGCAGGTGGACTGGAAGTTGTTGATCTCAACGTCCGACAGCGTGCCATCCTGCGGAGGGACGGGCAGCAGGGAGACGTACGGCACAGCAGGGCGTGTCACTACGATGAGCTGTTTACACATGGGCAACGAACGCTCCAGGTAGCAAGAAGGGGATGGTAGAGTAAGGGACTGGCTCGTCCTGCAATGCTTTCGCTCCAAGCGTGAACAGTGCACCATACGACCTCCTTCACATGCGGCCCAACAACGCCTCACAGGCGTCAGGACGATGAAGATGGCCGCAACCAGTCCCTACCTTGTCCTGATCAAAGATGATGAAGATGCGTTTGAGGGCGCGGATGGCTGCCTGGCGCATGACGCGATCCGTCCTGTCGTACAGCGGCTGCAGCGGGTACAGCACCGCCTTGAGCGCGTACAGGAACACGTCTGTACACATGGGAGGTACCGCGGTTAGGAGCACCGGTAAGGGAAACATAGGCGCCCTAAGGGCCAACAGAAAGTAAGGGATGACGCTAGCCTAAGCAGTACAGACGGTATTACAATGTAGTGCAAGAGGTCTTTCGTTCGTGTCGTGTGCATGGCGCCGTCATCCATCCATGCTACACTCCCTCCGCAGCTGCCTTCGGCCGCATCGTCGGACTGTCCATGAAGCACCCCCTTTCTCAGCACCCCCTTCTCGTAGTGCCCCCCTTCCGAGCGCCCGAACGTACCATGCACCATCCTGTTGTACTTGGACGAGCAGTTCAGGCAGCACTCCACGTTGGGGAGGTCACGGGCGACGCGCTCCACCCGCTGCGTGTTGCGGTAAGGCAGGGAGGTCATTGTCCCGCCCAGGATCAGGATTCCGTGACTATGCGATTCAATCGAAACCAAACCATGTACGGGAAACCCCGATGAAGTCCTGCCCCCCTCAGCCGGATGTTTCCCCGCCCCAGGTCCCCTAGTCCCCTAACCCTTGGAAGGTTCGGGGCGTACGTCTGGCGGGGGAGCAAGAGCAGTTGTCACTCGCCCTCGCACCTCGCGAACGTTAGGGCTGTCCCGCTCTGACAATCGGTCTGCCTTGCAGCACGCCAGTACGATTGGAATGTCCGGGTTGAGCCTCTGGATACGTGGGTACCACGTCGTGCGTACGCTCTCCAACGTCACCGGCTTCTTGGGATCGAAGCAGACGACCACAGCGTCGCTCTCCCTGATAACAGCATCAAGCGCCCTGGCATCTTCTGGTCGTGCTGAAGTATCAGTTAGCAATATCGGAATGCGCTCTGGTGCAAAGTCCAGAGGCAACTTTGTAGGTGGAAGCGTAGGCACAGGACGTGCATCGAACGTGTCATTAGCCGCTGCGCGCAGTGTAGGACCAAATCGTAAATATCAAAGCATCCACACTGCATTTCCTCGAAAAGCCAAGCTTTTGGCAGCGAACAAGCAGCACCGCTGCACTCAAAACAAAGTTGTCTACCTGTGCTGATTAGAGAGGTCTTTCCAGTTTCTGGATCACCCAGCACAGCGATCCTAACAGTTCGGGTGCTCATGTGCGCTGCAAATATATCTCTAGTGTACGCTGGTTGCCCAGGTATGGAGTAAGGCACAACGAGGCAACAAATGGAGCTCTCAGCCCCAAGCAACACCCGGTAAATGTAATGACACCTAGCAGCACTAGCAGGCAACAACCCGTTCGCAACACTGCCACGGAAGGACGCGGCGATTGATGTCCCAAACGTTGTCGTACAGTTCCGATTCCTTGTCTGTAAGCAGTCCCCGCCCCTTCAATGTGCGATGGTCTAGTTTTCTGCGTCGTATAACACGGCACAATACTTCATGCATGCTTCGCTGCTGGTCGGGAGCTCAACCTTCTAGCTGTCCTCCCCACGTGATCCTAAGAAGCTGTCGCGAATAGGAAGAGAACTATTCAAGCCTCTTTGAATAAGCGCTGTTATTGCTCTTCGTAGCGCTATCGGGCCATTAGGCTACCGGCGGGCTGTCATCCCTTTTCGTTGCAATGGACAGCGATGACGACAATTTCTTCGACGCTGAGGACGCGTTTGATGACGGAGGCCCATCGTCATTGGGCGCTGGCCAGCTTCACCCGTCCGTCGAGGTCCCCGGTGCAAGGACCTCGCCGACGGTCGTTGCGAAACCCTCCACGGAAGGAGCATCAGACGATCCACCACAGGGGCCATTTCCCCTTCACAGGTAAGCAACAGGCCCCATGCAGCGGTTGAGCTCCCAACAGGGACCTCTTAAAGCAACCTTCATCCATGGGCCCCTCCTGTCCCTCTTGTGTGCATCATGCTTGAACTTCTGACACCCTTCTGGCCATGTGCTGTAGGGCTGCTTGGTACGGCCAGGTGGACTTAGTCCAGCGGCTGGCAGCGGGCATGACCAGGGAGGAGCTCAAAGCGCACGACAGCCAGGGCAACACGGTGAGCCCCCTCGCCATCCACCGGGCAACATTCTCACTCGTGGGCTGCCTGCTTGCGCACCTCTACCCGCACTCCACCTCCACGCTCTTCCCTGCCCGTCCCTCCCGCCTTTCTACTCCTACGTCTCCTCCTACCTTAGGCCCTCCATGTGGCAGTCATGCGGCGCCAGGCGGCGGTGGTTTCGGCGCTGCTGGCTGCGGGGTGTCCCGCGGGTCCGCGCAACGCCCGCGGCTGGGTTCCCATGATGGAGGCGGTGGAGCTGGGGGACCGGGAGCTGGCGCTGCAGCTGGCCAAGGAGGATGTGGCGCAGGTGGGGGCCGGGGGACACGGGGCGGGAGTGGAAGGGGGGGTTGAGGGATGAACGCGGTAGGGCTCCCCGTTTCAGCAGGCCCCCTTTAACACCCCCAGCTCCTCCTTTCGTCAGTTATTGTCCTCCTCCTCCCTCCTCCTCATCCTCCTCCCATCCCAGATGCGCGCCGCCGTCAAGTCCAAGAAGCAGCGGTTGCTGGGCGTGCTGCGCTCCCAGCTGCCCGACTTCAGCCTGCAGCTGCGGTGGGAGCTGGGCAGCGCCATGCCGGGGGTGGGGGCGCTGGTGAGGAGGTACGCGCCGCACGACACGTACACGCTGTGGAAGAAGGTGAGGAGGGAGGTGGGAGGGGAAGGGGGAGGGGCGGGAGCGGGAGCGAGAGGAAAGGAGTGAGGGTGCGGGCACCTGGCGACGGCAGGACAGGGTTGAAGACTGCAGTGGGTGGGAGCACACACCGGAGGAGGTGGGCGGTAGGGACGGCGGAGCCCGCACCATCCCTTTCCCCGCACCCAACTCCTCTCCCCCTCCCTGCCCCCTGCTCCCGTCCCTCAGGGCGGCCGCATCCGCGTGGACGGCACACTGATGGGGCTGGACGACGGCAGCGGCGGCGCCTCCTCCCCCTCGGGCGGCGGCGGCCCTTCGCTGCTGCCCGCCTGGAAGCGCGGTGCCTTCTCGCTGCTGTACGACGCCAGCGGGGCTGAGGGGCGCGGGCGCGCGCTGTTCGTCAACCACACCAAGAAGACCTACATTGACATTAAAGGTGAGGATGGTGGTGTGGTGTTGACGTGTCGCACACACCCTGCCTTCATCCCCCTGATCATATCGCACACACTCTGCCTTCATCCCCCTGATCAACTCCTCCATCCTGCCTCCCGCCTGCCACGCCCTATACCTCCCCCTCCCTCCCCACCGCCCCAGCCGCCCGCAAGCAGCTGGGCGGTGACGAGGGCGGTGTGCTGGAGGCGGAGGTGGACTGCCTGATGACCAGCGAGGTGCTGCAGCACAAGAAGGTGGGTGGACGGGGTTAAAGGGGGGAGGGAGGGAGGCCGGGGAAAAGGGAGGGAAAGGGAGAGGGATGTGCTGCAGCACAAGAAGGATGGGCTCAGCCTAGGATAGATGGTGTTTACCACCCGGGAAAGGGAAGAGGATGAGGAGACAGGAGGAGGGAGAGGGATGACTGACGGAACACAGGGAAGGCTAAAGGGGGGTATGGAAGGTCGAGCCAGGCACGACGCCGGGTTGCATCCCGTGTTCTGTTGCATCCCGCGCGGACGTACGGCGCAGATCCTGTTCACATTCGCTGGCTGGTGGGGACACACTACCCATCCTAACCCTGATCTCCTCCTCCACCTCCCTCCCCCACCCCCCGCTCTCCCTCCGCCTCTCCACCCCCCTCAGCTCCGTTCCGACGGCTTCCGCTTCAAGCCGGTGTCCGGTTGGCTGTCACGGGAGGTGTGGGAGAAGGTGGAGGGCTGGAGGTGCAGGCTGTACGAGGCAGCAGGTGGGGCGGGGGCTGGGGCGGAGCTATGGCAGGTACCGGTACCGTAGGACGAGCTGCCGGTAATGCTCCTACCTATCCTGCTGTCTAACCCCCGTCGTACATGGATCTTTTTTTCCCGCCCCAATCTAAAGATCGATCTCCACCCCACCCCGCCTCTCCTTACCCACAACCCCACACGCTCAGGCCGGCTGGTGGCTGTGTCGCAGTACAAGATGCCGTACGGTCTCACCCCCGACATGTCGTACGACGACTACCTGGCCGCCTCCTTCGATTCGGACCCCGTGGTGATGTCGCCCGTCAACCCGCTCAACCCGGCCACGCTCAAGGTGTGCGTTGGGGCGGGGGTGCGGGCGCATGGGAGAGGGTGTGGTGGGAGGGATCTGCGCGGGTGGGCCGACCCATGGGTCTCCTGCCGGTATGCCAGGCCAGTGTCGTGAGCTGGGGGCATGCTCCACACTGGCCAAAGGCCTCATGCGTTCATTCGTGCCCTACCGTGCTGTTTTGGAGGATCTTCATAGCAGCGCTATGCCGCCTTAACCACATTACCTCATCATGTCTTGCATCCCGGCCTCTTCTTCTTCCGACATTCCTCTTGTACGGCAATCCCTCCTGTACTGCATTTGATTATATACTGTACGACACTTGCTAGGATCGCGGCATGAATCCCGAGAAGGCGGCCGCCAAGGCAGCGGTGGCCGCCAAGCACCAGCGTATCGCAGCAGCAGCGGCGGCGGCCAAGAATGAGGAAGCGGCGCGCGTGGCGAGGGCGGCGGCGGCGAGGGCAGCGGCGGGGGCGCGGCGCGCGCTCACACCACGGGTGTACGACGATGACGATGATTCGGAAGACGAGGGGGAGGAGGCGGGGAGGAGGAGGCAGGGGGCAGGGGAAGAAGGCGACGAGGAGGAATGCTCCGGCGTGGGCGATGGTGGTACTGCCGTGGAGGAGGAGGAGAGCAGCGGTGGAGGAGGCGGAGCGGCAGGGGGGAAACAGCAGCCGCAGCAGCGGCAGCGGAGAGGTGCTGCGTGTCCAGGAGGCGGCGATAACAGTGACGGCGGAGGTGGTGGAGGCGGCGATGACGGGGGAGGTACTGTCGTACCGCTGGTTGCGGCCCGGACCAGCTCAGCAGCAGAGGGGTCAAGTGGGACAGAGGTGACGACAGCAGCAGCAGGAGGCGGTGGCGGAGGCGCCGGCCAGCACTCCACTCCCGCGGCTGGCGCTAGGGAGGCTGGGGCTGAGGGGGAGAAGGGGGAGGGGGGGAAGGAAGAGGAGGAGGAGGATCTTACAGCATGGGCTCGCATGGTCGCCGCGCAGGCTGCACAGGCTCGAGCGGATAAAGCGAAGCAGGGGGAGGGTGTGGACAGCGAGGAGGAGGAAGAGGGTGGGTATGGGGATGGGGATGGCCGGAACGGAGGCGAGACGGGTGAGGGTGATGCCGCGGAGGAGGAGGAGCATCGGGGCGTGCGGTCAAAATCAGCAGCAGCGGGGGCATCTGGTGAGAAGGCCACTAACGGCAATGGTTGCAAGGACAGCAGCAGCAGGGGTAGTGGAAAAAGCGGCGGCGGTGGCGGGTCCTCAGCAGTTAGGAGGAAAGCTAGCAGCTGCAGCAGCAGCACCATTACTAGCACCACCACTGCTACCACTGCCACCACCACAGCTGCTAATAACAACAGCAGCGCCAGCAGTGGCAGTTGGCTAGGGATGTCGGGGTGGGGCTTCGGCAGGAAGACACCGGCAACTCAGCCCGCCTCAAAAGCTGCGGATACCGGCACCAGCAGCGCCAACAACAAGGCTGGAGACGGTAAGGAAAGCACCGGTGCCAGCAGCAGCAACAGCGCTGCAGCAGCTGCGGCGGTTGCCAAGAAGTCCCGCAAGATCTCGGGTCGCTGCTGGATGGCGGAGGAGTTCCCGATCCGCTTGAGCCAGGTATGCGTGCATGGCTGTAGGAAGGCAGAAGGCCTTGTTCCTTGGTGGGAAAGGGCTGATGAAAGGGCAGAATGACAGAACTGGCCTTTGCAGTGGTCTTTCCTGTGTCCCAAGCCTCACTCCAACCTCCGGTACCCGTTCTCCACCTCCTGCTTCTCTCCGCAGCTGCTGCCGGTGCTGCAGGTGGTGGGTACGGCAAACAAGGTGATCGCCAAGGTGGAGAAGTTTATGCGAAAGTACGGCGATCTGGACATGTTCCCAGTGAAGGTACGGCATCACGTGTACGACTTTTGCCTACCATACCTTAAGGCACCGCTACCTGCGCCTTCCATCTATCCCTTTCTCCACCGCCTTCCTTGATAGCCCCATTCCTCCCCATTCCACTCCTCCCCATTCCCGCCTCCCAGGTCCAGGTGCCGCTGGTGCTGACGGTGTACGTGCTGCTCAGCTTCAAGCAGTTCCGGCTGCTGGGCGACCCGCGGCAGCAGCCGGGGGCGCAGCAGCCGCCGGGGGACGACTTCTTCGAGGTGCCGCCGGGGTACACGCAGGTGGGGTGTGGGGGCAAGATGGGGCGGGGAGGCGGGAGAGGGGTTGTGTTTGTGGGTAGTGCAGGGGTTGTGGGAAGGTTGGGGCCGTGGGTTAGTACTCCTCAGTAATACGCTTGCTACCGTATTGTGGATCTCCGCTTTACGAGGTCTGTATAAACGCCAAACTAGAGTTTCCACATGTGGAAAGGAGGTGCCTTTTTGTGGTGCGTTCACCAAGGCATGCGCAGCTACGTACGCTGAAGGTTAGGTCGCCTTCTGGCCTTTCCATGCCCCCACTCGTAACCGCATCCTTCCCCTCCCCCTTTCCCTCCTCTCCCTCCCCTCCTCCTTCAGGGCACCCTGGAAGACCACGAGCTCTTCGCGCCGTGCGGCAGCTCAGCCGAGGGCGCTCGCAGCGGTTCCGCCGGCGCCACTGCCGGCAGTGGCACTGGCGGCGACAAGGGCGGCGGTGTTGGCTGTGGTGGTGAGCCGTCGTCGGGCGCTCGTGAGCAAGGTGGAGGCGGCGGCGGGGCGGGAGCACCACGCAAGCTGACGCTGCTGAGGGGCACTGTAATGGAAGATGAGATGGGTTTGGGGGATGACATGGGGGACCTGGGTATTGGGAACTAGGAAGGGAGGGGAGTGGATGTGTGGAGGTTTGGGAGTCGGAAGGGGTGTGGTAGATTGTGGCAGTGGGGAGCGTGTGTAGAAATAAATGGCCGCGTGTGTATGTATTCCTCATGTGGGTGTACGGACAAACAACTGATGGAAAAGGACTACAATGAAGAAGAATTGAGGACACGAATGTTACATAAAGCTGTACGCGTGACTGTGTTGGCCTGAGTGTTCGGGGGGAGCGACCTAACTGACACATACGCCTTACCTAGGGTGGGTGTGTGCGGGGGATGCACACAGATGCGAGGGTGGGAGAGAGTGGTGAGGGACTGAGGTCGTTGTACTGCAGGCAGGATGTACGGCAGGTTGTACGGAACATGTTTACATGTGCGCCTCTTGGAAATATTGCACGCGTTCGTGTGTCTTCGGCCAGCCCTGAGGAGTCTGGTGCCAAGCTCGTGTCATACAACCCCAGTGCCAAACAACCCCGCCCCGCGCTGCTCAAGCGGAGGTGGTTGGGCGGTTGATGGGGGGCTCGCGCCCGCATGGCCAACTCCTTGTCGCTCGCGGCGGCTGCTTGTGGTAGGGCGCACTGTGTTTCGCACATACTGTAGTGTAGCATGGCTACAGTATAAGAGATTAAGAGTCCTAAAGGGAAACCTCACGACATCTCGAGTGGCCTTTTAGTACCTACAAAGCATCTGTACTGGTCGGGCGTGCGATGAGGCTTGCCTAGGACTCAGGTTTGAGTGGTAGGGTCACGCTAACAATGGTAGGGCGGGTGAAGTTCGTCAGCGGGATTTGCCGTACAGTAGTGGCAGGCCAAAGCGGGTGCAACGGTGCGGATGTTGAAGGGCCGGCAGGGACGTGGACGGAGCGAGCGGAGGGGGCAGGGACGCGCCCTGGTACCACTTCAGACTTGCTGAGCTGCCGCCGCTAGAGGTGTTACTGGTACTGCTTTGATGGCCTCCCAGGACACAGCTCGAGGGTACCGTATACATGTACAACCTAGCGGGCATGCTGCCATCTGCAGTAACATTGCGTTTTGAGCCAAAATGGTTTGTGGTAATAGGCCACGGGCACCGCGTGTGGCGTGCACGTGTAACCAGTGTCAATGCAGCAATAGGAAGCGAGAACTATGCCACCAACCAGTAAAGATCGCACTGGCAAATCGTTAGGCGTACCGACCATACATTCCAACAGGGCGTCGACCGCCCTACCCCAGGGGGCACAAAGTGCCCGACAGGAAGGCCGCAAACCACCTGCACCAAGCGCTTCAAAGCCGAAAGAACTCGGAGAGCCACAGGGCCCAGGAACCAGCAGACGGAAACAAGGCGCATGTCCGACGGGGAATGCCCCACATAGAGCAGGGAGCCGAGTGACCAGGACCCTCCAACACCAAACACACATGGCCGCAGACCTAGCGAGAACTCACTAGGTGGAGAAGCCCCTAGGCCACGAGTATCGTGAGGAGGTAAAAATTACACTGGTGGAACCACCACTCTCACAGTCATGGGGAACTAGAGGGAGAACCGAGTTCGGGCGGCCCACAAAACACAACGCGGCCACCCCGAACGGGTGGTTCCACGGAACCGAGGTCCAGCCCCGGGGAGGGACACCTACAAGCTGGCGAACAATGAGACCCGGGCCCAGAACAACCACTTCGGCGCCGATATTTCGCTGTCGACCGTGGGGAATATGTTGCGTTAGACAAGTTTTCATCGAGACCATTCCTGAAACGGCCAGAGCAGGTGAAACGGAACAAAACACCTGGTTGCCCCGCAGAGGACCTGCCGGGTGGCCTAGCCGCCCACTCAGGTATGCTATCCTTCTGCCGCCCGCAGCTGCCCGTTTTCGCTGCTCAGTTTCCTGCCTCACGCGCTACCGGGCTAATCATCAACCACGACAAACTCCCATCAGGCAGGTGCCGCTGTCGACTGTAGGCTCAGAGAGGACACACCATCGACGCAGGCGAACTAGACCGGCAGAATCATGCAACACTTCCAGCCATCAGCCCCCGCTCGGGTGACAGGAGGCAGAGACACCTCCCGGCATATTCAGTGCGCAGTCAGCATCGAACCCCAGACCTCGGAGGTACTTGGGCAGATGCGACTGTTACGTGCTTGGCAAAGCGCGAAAACGACGTGCATATAAGTAGCGGTGCATGTAGGGCCCTTTGGAAGCCATTCACACCCAGATTTGCACCCTCATCAGCCCCTCCGCTTTTTGGTCCGTTGGGGCCACCCACTCGCTTGACCTTTCTCGTGTCAGATCGATTTGCCCAAGCAAGGACAAGGACTAGGTGCACAGCCCTTCAGTTAAGTGTTTGGGAGAATTGCTGCGCAGACATGGCCGCACAATGCCGTACACCTGATGCATCGGGCAGCAACAGCAGCTGTGGATGGGCTCGTCCTCCTGTCCAGCGCAGGTTATGTGTTAATCAATGTACTGCCATGTAACAGGCTGCCGGCTTGACTACCGTATCAATGCACTCGTGAGGCCCATGTGGGGCTACTTGTAAAGCAGGCAGGCTGCAAGCCTTTCCCAGCCTGTTACAATAAGTCCTCAAGTAGCACCACTCCGCGCATCAAGCTATCACGCCTATACCGGCAACTTTATATTTTCCAAAACGTACCCGCCGTGGAATACACTCACGGAAATAAGATACGACATGAAGGTGATGGTCATAGACGTTTGTCAACCTGCATCAACAGGAATATGTGGCCTCTGGGGGTACCATGTAAAACACAAGGTAGTAATGCTCGCCCTCCCCCGCCTGTTTTTGTATGCTAATTGTACAAATGTCGGCGAGTCCCACACATGCATATACCCTTATACAAGGTGTACCTTTTTTGCTTAAGGCAACGACACCTCAGGATTAGGTACGGCACTCTGCCACCTACTATAAGTATGAGAAACATCACAGCACACCAGCAGCTAACGACCATCCAGCTAGAAACATACGCCCCTGCGCAACAAACTGCCAGCGTTCCCCAATACAGCGCGGGCTGCTAAAGCGATTGCTCAGGAAAAGAGCTGCGCTTCGCATCAACGGGCTTGGGAAGCACCCATGAGGGGGCCACCCAAGCACACTACGGTACTCATCATATGGCATACAGGCATACCGCAACACGTGTACACAGTTAATATCACGTAGGCACACAAACGCACACACAGATACCTCCAGGGGCCGCGCCCCGTATGGTAATCGACGTACATGCATGAGCGACCTCCAATGCGTTTCAGACTGCACCCAAGCATCGTGCACGCCATCGTCATCCCGCACAACGCACGCCATCGTCATCCCGCAGTGCAAGCTCCTGCAACCTGTTCGCCCACCGCCACGGCCCATTTTTTAACATGTTTGAGAGTTTAAGGGGTTTGCAGTGATTCCCCCTGCACGTCCCATCCCCAACCCCAACACGTCTCCGGAACCCATCTAAACCCCGTGATGTGTTCAAGTTCATTCTTTATTCGGCGTCACTCTGGAAGCACACAGCAATGTATATTGGTTACCTCCTATACCTCCATAATGCGTCGTGTCAAGTCCACCAAGTGCGTGCAGACACGAATGCAGCCGACACCCACCACAGGCGCCCGCCACGTGCGACAAACCAGTAGAGTGCGCTGTGAATGTCTACTGTGTTCCTAGCACCTCGTCCAATGCTCTCAGTACCGCATCCTCTCTGTCACCCTGGATACGGGCGGCCTAGAAATGCGCATGGACGCGGGAGAAGCGCAAGCGCAGGCTGCGGCGCCTCTACCGTCCACAGCAGTGCTCCACATCCAATGCACAGGCTGACGCAGCCTGGCACAAGCAAGGCCTTGCTTCGGGACAGCGGAGGGATCCTACTACCTGGCTACGTTGAGGCCTTTGAACGAGGCGGTTTGCTGGGCGAAGGACATGAGCTTAGAGGGGCGGCCCACGTCCATGGAGGACGACAGGTGCCGCTGGGTTCGCTCCCAGCTGCCCACGCCGTTGAGGAGCTTGGAGGCGGCCTCGTAGCTGCGATGGGGGAAGCCACGTGGCGAAGAGGGCGGGGGGCATAAGGACATGGCGAGGGAAGGCGGTGCGGGTGTCTAACGCTACGGCTGCCGAGGTATGCCACGAATTGTGGGGGAAGTCGTACTTTGTTCACGGTGGAACATCCGTGTTAACACATGCAAGCAAGAAACCGTTATGATGTAACCTCAATGCCGAGGAGCGAGCAAGAATGACAGCTATGGATGCCCCAATGGTACCGCCCACACCGCTGCGCGTCCAACCTTGGCCACGCCAGCAGGAAACAGAACCGCCCCTCCGCTTCCCGTACAGCGGTTTCCTTGGAACCACCCCTACCAGCCTTGTGTTTCGGTGCCCCGTCCCCCTCCTCGTCGTTAACTTACTCCTTGTAGCCCATGACGCGCTGCCGCCCAAAGGCGTCCAAGTTGCCACATAGCGGGCCCGTAGCCGTGAACGGACGCGGCTTGCCGCTGCTGCTGCCGGTGGCGGCCGCCGGCCCCGCCACACCGCTGCTGCCCCATGTGTTGCTGCCCACGCTGCCGTACAGAATGGCCTCCTCGGGGCTGATGGCCCACATGCTCGATCCGTTGGGCTCCATGGTGGGCAGGTACCTGCCGTACAACACGAGCAAGTGGGGGTCAGAAGGGAGCAAAGGGACAGGGAGCAGAAGAACTGGACAACGGGGACGGGCACCGTTGGGACTGTCGTTCGAGTGTTTTTTTTGGTTTCTGTCTTGACCTTCGAAGACAGCGCCAAACCTAGATGCTGCTTTAGGCCGCTATGATCCGGCATGAGCCCATGGCCAACACCGGCTGCTTTCCTGTCCCGTGGCTGCCGCTGCATTCCGCACCAGCAGCATATCTTCCTTTCCCTACACTGCTTGGGCAATGCGTGGCCACAGGATAGCCGACCGTACGCTTTCTGCTGCAACATACCTGTACTTGGACCCGATCAGCTTAACACGTGATGCCCCTGGCGTTTCGCGCACCGCCAGCTGAGGACCCGGCGCGACATCATCCTGCTTAAGATGCGGTGGAACCCAGTGGAATTGGTTGTCCGGCACATCTGGGGCGTCCACGATGTGGTGATCTGGAGGAGATTTAACATGTGGCGGATACGGCGGGGGAGTCAAGGAACTTTGTCTCTTTGGGCAGAACGTGGGGACAAGGAAAGAGGGATAGATGCCTAAGAACGCGACTGGACGGCAAACATACGGAAGTAAGAAGGAGGGGGGATTCAGCATGCTTAAAGCTGTGTTATGGTGCGTAGGGCTTGGGGGATGTTTCAGGATGACAAAGGTTATATGTATTTAGCCTGCATGGCTTGTGATCTGCATTAGGCCAACGCACCTCTTCCTGTCCAGTATACAACCTTCTTGGTCCTGTAAGGGCCGGTTCCGGTTGCCCTTAGACGGCCAGGGGTTGAGCTGTGTCCCCACGCCTGCTGGCTTGTGCTCGGAGCTTCGCCGCCAACAGCGGTGGACTTCGGAGGTACAGGGCGCTCATCGTAAACGTGGGTGTGTGTGCTGCCGACTAGCTTGGCAGCCGGGCCCGCAGGCACACGGGCTTGCACCGGTAACCTGCGAAACTTGCGGATGCGGTTATAAGTGCCCAAGCAACTCTCGCAGTATGCGTATTACACAATACTATATAAGATGCAGAACTATAGTCTCTTAGAAACATTTATATCTATGTGTAGGCCTTAGAGCCGTCAGGAGCGGAAAAGGGCATAGGCACGTAGCCACAATACTCCTTGCCTTGCTGATTGGGATCTCTGCTGGTAGTAGAGAGTTACTGTGCTGTTTTTCAGGTCGCCTCTGCAGGACCAGAAAAAGGTTCAGACAAAAGAAGATGCACATGTCGCCGCCCCCACGCAGAAGAGCGTTGAAGCTCACCTGTCACCCTCCATTTTAGCTCTAATAATAACGTTTGCGTTCGAATGAAGTTGGAGCGCTAAACTTGGTTGGCTTTCGACCAAACACTTGGGATTCAGTGACGCCGAAGGTAACTTTAGTCTTTCAAATCATGCAAAGATGCCTACTACCTTCTGGTGCTGTCCTGATGTTGTGATCCGTGCTGCTTTCACCAACAAGTCACATCGAAGTACGGCGTACAACAGAACGTATTGCCAAGAGGCCCCTCGCAAGCATTTGCCGCTTTATGCCTTCGCTCTAAGCAGAAAGTCCTGTTGTGTAACAGACATTGTGCGGACGTCGATGGCCCTTGTGCCAAGCAGTACGAAGTCCGCCCACCTTCCTGTGGAGCTTTCTACATTTTATGCGGTTATCCAAAAAACAGCCAGCATATAGGATGGATGACAACGTATTCTACTGAATACTTGTGTGCCACTATATTTGGAGGGTAAGGGTGCGCGGCATTGCGCATGGGGCATGGCGCATGGGGATTGGCCACTGCCAACTTGAGTGAAGAAGCACTTAGTGGAGCATTCAACGGTGTCACTACGTCCCCATTTCACTTCGTCTTGAAGCTCCGGTCCATGTCCTTCCCGTCTGCAGTTAGTGCTGTTCCCCTGTTACTTTGAAAGTAGCAAAGCGTACCGTTAACCTTGTTGGCCAAACTCATTACTCTCATCCCTCACAACGAGGATGTGCCGTGGCCGAGCTCTTGCCTGTAGCCGTGCATGCAAACCTAACAGCTATCTTCATGTAGGAAGCTGTCTTAGGCTCGACATAAGGTAGCTCGAGATACAACTCTTCGTGGGAGATAAAGGTATTTCCAAGGGGATTCTCTGGAATGGTCTGTGGATGTGTATTTTGGTAAATTCTATGCCGTGAAAATGTCCTGGCTTGGTGTATCGCTGCGTGGGAGCGACATTTCCCCAATGTGTCATTAGTTGGGGTATGTACGCATGTTAGAAAATGACAAAGCCCTACAAGAGGGAATCGAGTCTCATATTCACCCCAGCTCGACCGACACAACACATCTATTAGGACGGGTTGCTGTCTTGTTGATCAGACACACTCAGACACACTTTGGAAATCTCCGACTTCGACACGTTGCGCATTCTTGTTGTCCTTAGGTATTTAGAAGCTGGCAGCCACAAGCTACGTACGTAAGGAGACGTCCAAATTTAGGACAGCACAATGGTAGCCATTGACATGATTCTTTTACGCGGGGTACCGCGAAGGCGCTGTTGATATCATACGTATTTATAGTCGCCGGTGTGTTACATGCGTTAACACTGTTTGGCGGTGAGTGGAAACGATGAAAGGGACCCTCGCTCCTTTCATCGCTCGTACACCGGCGATTAGATGCCTTTGCGCCGAAGCATACTATCTAGCAAACTTTTTGGTTGATTCACACTGCAATAATATCCCACTGCCGACCTTTCTGAGAAAGCTTCGCTGTCGTTTTTACACTCCGTCAAAACAAGAACCCTCCTCGCTAGGCCGTTTCTGCCTTATCTACACGATCCGTATGTCGGCTTCATGAGAGCAGTACAAGCACATGAGCGGGCGGCCTCCTCCCGCTCTGCCCACCTTGGCCGCCGGTGGTGATACCGCAGCGGAGCAGGTTCCCCAGCCTTCCAGTAGCAACGAAACTCAGGATACGATTGGGAATGCCGAGCCGGTGGTCAACCTGCTACCGACGCCTAAGCGCATCGAGCCCTGCAAGAGCATTCTAAAAACCGGGGACTCGCTGAAGACAAGTGACTATAAGCGCAACATCTCATGGCAGGACCAGTTTGGCCAGTCACTTGTACAAGTTGTGGAGTTTGAACCTAGGTAAGAGGGTTCATGTACTGTCGGTGACCCTTAATGCGCTCAGGACCTGCGGTTGACCCCGCCTTAACCCTCCACAGTGAACATGGTGACAGCGACTACGATGACATGGAGGAGCGGGGCTGCTGCGTTTTGATGTAGCTTGTTAGCGCACCTGTGTAGAGCGCACCTGTGTGAGGGGGTTGGGGCATGAGAGTTCCATTTGCATAAACCCGCATTCAAACTGCACAGATGTTGGCTGGGGTTGCTTCCTCAGCAACGGCAGTGCCAGGCTACGAATTGTCATGGCGTAATGTATGGGAGAAGAGGCTAGACCGGGGTTTGGTATTGTGCTGAGACCAGGCAATCAGCATCAGCATTTAGCAAATAGACTTGCATACATCTAGACGGTGTCATAGGGGTGCTGTATGCCTTGCAGGAGCTAGAGGGCTCTGATAGTGCAGTGGGTGTGGGGCCCCGTGAGCTTTTAGTACGGCATGTGCGTTAGGCGGAGACCATGGCAAGTAATGCCATCCAAGCAAATGTGCTGCAGTGCTGGGGCGTGGGAGAGGTGGTGCTTGGATCTGGTGGCTTAAGCCAATGTTAACAATCTTAACATGCATTACTGGACTTAAGATGAGGCGGAAAGCCCAAATGGCTACCATGTGTGGGCTTGCCAGGCCGGCACCGGACCGCTCTGCTGCCGAGAAGCAGAGCGGATAGACGACACGTTTTTCCCATGGGCTACCTAGAGGACATAGTGGACGCGCCTGTGGAACCTTTTGCACCATGGCCGTGCATTTGCACTGGAGAATTGGTGTTGTTTTCTTTTCCAATGATTGAACTATTACAACAGTACGTCCATAGGGTCAAGAAATAAGCGTTGCCTGGCCAGGGAACAGGTGTTTGTGGCCAGATGCCCTCATGTCGTACGAACGGATGTTTGCAGCTGCACGCTGCAGGTGGCCTGCATCAGGCGCGACCGCATTGTAAGAGCTAGAGGTGGTTTCGGGATGCACATCTAAATCGAAGCCTGCAGGTACAGCGTTGATCTGCTAGAGTACGGTAAGCCATGAATTGTTGGAAGCGTTGCCCGGGGGTGATTGCATGAGGAGCCCTACTCTTCTCGACGACAAGTAATGCGGTGCATGGTGACACTAGCAGTACGGCAAACAATGCAGGTTTCACAAGTTAAAAAGTCCGCAAGAAGGAGAGGTCGAAAACTGGACGAGTTTACCTTAAGGCTTCAATGAGTTTGGAAAACTATGCGGCCCCGGGACGAGCTCGGTCGTCGTCGGAGGAACCCCAATCATGCACCACGTTTCTTCCTGGACACGCACAAACGTGTCACCGACAGAGCCTTCCCACAGGGGCTCGCACAGCGCAGTTGTGTGGAGTTTCCCACTTTGTCCAACAACAGTAGGGACTAACCAACGATAGCCGGTCCTACAACAGTACGGTATAATGCTTGGCGCAAAGCATCTCCAAAAACAATCAGCGTCGGTAACGGACCACGCCACGAGCGTGCGAGTGCATGCCTTCCCACAGTATCCTGGCCAAATCTGTGCTACACCTCCACATCCACAACCTCCACCCTTCCAAGGCAGTGTGGCGCCCCTAATGCGGCGCCGGCTGGCCCAGTCCCAGCGCCGCCTTCTCCGTCTCGTAGATGACCATGCGGTAGAGCTTGATGACAAAGGTCTCCGTGTCGTTGTCTAGCACGGGGCTGAGCTCCCCGTGCAGGGCGGCGGGCGAGGTGTGCTGCCCCAGCAGCTTCACCACGTAGTCCACCAGCGTGGGCTCCTTCACACCCAGCAGCTGCTCCACCTTGGAGGACACCCAGCCCTGAGAGGGGGGCAGGCAGGCGGCGCCGGCAGCAGAGGAGGTGGAGCAAGGAAGGAGGTGGTCATGGGGGAAAGCAGGACGTGAGGGCATGCATTCCTGTGCACATCCCGCACTCTTACCTTGAACTTCTCCCCCATGGCACCAGCGTTGTAGTGCGACCATTTGATGCTATAGGAGAACACCCCATCCCGGCTGGTGGGTATGGAGTCCATCATGGCCTTCAGCGCGGCCTTGGGGTCAGCGGGCGGCTGGGGCACCGCCGGTACGACAGCAGCAGCAGCTGCTGCTGCAACGGGCAGCTGTGGTACGGCAGGTAGCGGTTGGGATCCGTCCGCGGGTTGCGAGTCCGTGACTGAGAGCAATTCCTCCTCGCTGTAGCGGATTGGCTTCTGCAGGCAGCATGGGCAACAAGAACAATTGAATACCATCACCGTAGGGGCAAAGCACCAGCATCAGCGAACCCCAGGCTAGCGGCTGGTGATAATAGTCCCAGCCGCCATGCACGTTCAACGGCCTAGCAAACCCGTCGCAGCACATATGCCCCGTCGCAGGCCACGACAGACCACCAACAATCCAGTATATATCCTGGCCCACCGACCAAACCCACCAATTGCCGCTTCTGCGTTGTCTCCTCCTCATCTGCAAACATGGCAGCCAACGCCGCGGTATTCCGCATGCGTGACCCCCCGCCAAAGATACCTCTCCCACCAGCCCCCGCCGCAGCTGCTGCTGGCCCTGCTGACCCTCCACTGGTCCCTGACACTGCTCCTCCGGCGCCTCCCGTGTGCGACGGAGACCCTGCACCATAGCCTCCGCGCGCGTGCCCCTGATCCACCGCATGATCTGCATAATCCGCGGCATGCCCGGGTCCCTGCGGCCGTTGCTGCGGCTCATCCTCCACCTTCACTCCCGGAGCGCCATGGCCGAAAGGCTGCTGCGGCGCCGGCATGGGCACCGGTGGCGGTGCCCGGGCTGCTGCTAGCATGGCCTGGTAGATGGGGTCGTTGGTGTCCACCTCCGGCTCCTGCTTCACCTCCTGCTTGGGTTCCACCGCAGAGGCCGGCCCGTTCTGAAGCTGGCTTGCATGCGGTGTGGGGTATGCCTCACCCACCGTGCTGCCAGCGGGTCCGGGGGTGCCCTCGTGCATGCTGGCCTCGCCTGCCGCCGCCGCGGCTGCTGCTGCCCGCTTGGCACGGCGCTCCGCCTCCCGCGCCTCACGTTGGCGGTCGATCTCGTCCTCCTCCTCCTCAGCCAGTCGCCGCTTGCGGCGCTCAGCTGACTTGCGGCTGGGGGGTGGGGGGGCAGTTGCATGGCGCAGCAGGGAAACGACATGCTGAAGGAGCGATCACAGCGATTAAGGCACCGAACACCTCATTCCTTTCCCAAATGGCGACGTGCACGCCTAGGATAGCTCATTTTAACCCCGTATCGTTTCCACTTTACCTCTCCTCCTGCCCTTTATTTACTCGCCCCAGCCCAGTACCAAACCCCGAGGCTGACCTGCCATGCAGCGGCCGCCGCTCCCATGGCTCCCTGTCATCATCGCTGTCGTACGAATCCAGGTCTGCCCGTACGGCACGTCGCCAGTCAGACTCCGCCTGCGCCCGGCGCTCCCGGTCACGTTCCCGTGCCGCAGCTCGATCCCTGTAACCCGACGTGCACACCGAGCAAGCAACCAAGCGCATCGCATGCAAGCCGGGTGAGGGGGAGCAGGGAGGGGTCAGATACGAGCGGCAAGAGCAATGGATTGCATAGAAGCGGGCAAGGGCCGAGATGGCCCCACCACTCCGTGTTATAGCTCCCCACCAGCCAGCTTGCAGACGTTGCTAGCTGCCAGCCTAAGCTGTAGGCAAATAGAGGCCCCTAAAGCGCACGTAAGCCACCACAACAGCATGCCCCTGCAGCGCTGGAAGATACACTCCAGGGCCGGCTGCACCGCTGCTCTACCGATCAACGCAATCGTCCTGGGCTTGCTGTCGTAACTTCAGGCGTGCGTAACGTATCTGCACCGTCCACTCTCTAAGCGCGTGGCTAGGCTAGGGGAGGTGCCATAGCTGACTGTACTCTGAAACTGTTCCACGGGGCATACCGTAACCACGACTGCGAGTGTCAGCTTTGACGCAGTAGCAGCCCCCAGCATCACGCCAGCTGGGATGCAAACAAAACTTAGGCAGCATGCACAGGCATGGGGTAAGTTAGTGGGTTGGGCTCTATGTGCACTCCTGGATTCCAGGAAAAGGGCAGTGGACAGGGTTAGGAGGAAGGAATAAAATCAAGCACCAGGGACAAACATAGAGATATGTGCACGTGCAGGGCAATGCCTCCAAACACCGTGCGCAGCAACCGACGACACGAGCGTCGGTTGCCGCATAAGAAAGCCCTCTCCCACCTCCCGAGGCACCCCCAACTTCAATAAACCCTCTTTCCTAGCTACCATGTGGCAATCCCTTCCCCGCGCATGCTGCACCACCACACACGCACCGTCCACCCCTGGCCCAATCCCAGCTACCGCCAACCATCTAATCGCGCGCCACAGGTGGGGAAGCGTGCAGGCAGGCCGCGCACAGCCCGACCTGCAGCGAGCTATCCCCCACATGCCACCCCGACTCCTTACCTCCTGCGAGTGCCTTCAAACAGCGCGGGGGTTACGAGGAAGAGCAAGGTGCTAGGTTGGTTGGTGGTGCGCCCGCAACCCCGCCACGCCACCGCATGTGCAGTCGCCTGCGGTATGCGAATGCGTTGGCGCAGCATGCGAGCCGCCGCGGGTGCATGCGCGTGCAGCAGGGGGGACGGAGGGCCCAACAAAAACTGCACCACCTCCCAAAGAGCCCCCCGCATCCCCGCAAACATTGCATGGGCGTTGGTCTGTTGAAGACCACTCGTTCCTGCCATCCCCCTGCCCAACCTGATCTTCCAAGGTCCTTTCGCCCCGTTGATGCCCCTGGAAGCCCAGCTCTCCCTCCGCCGTACTCACCTCTCGTACCGCTCCCACTCCCGCAGTTTGCTGTCGTACTTGACGTCCAACTCACGCCGCCGCTCCTCCTCCTTCCGCCGCTCCGCATCTGCCTCCCGAGCCCACTCACGCTCGCGGTCCCGCATCTAAGGAGGGTCGGTGAGAGGCGCAAGCTGCTGTTAGCAATACGTTACCTTCGCCGGTGCGTTTTACAGCTAATGTACATGCGAAAATGCTTCGCAACGCACCCACCCCGGGTGCCTTCCCCAGCCCATGGAAAGGGACGTACCTCCCGCTCTCGCTCCTTAGCGTCCCCCTGCTTGTCGCTGCTGCCAGGGGATGCAAGCTGGGCCAGGAACTCGCTGGCTGCTTGGGCGGCCCCAGGCAGGCCACCAGCGGGCAGAGGCGGCGGCGGTGGTAACGACCCATGGGACTTCTCCTCGCGCTCCGAAACCACAGACATGATGGCCTCTAGCACACGGTTGTCCGCAGCAGCGTCCTCGTCCTCCTCCGCCTCCCCCTGCTCCTTGTCCCCTTCACCCTCCTTGGCGTCTCCAGCCACATCGCCGCTGCTGTCGCCTGCTTTTGCTGCTGCTTCTTTAGCTGCTTTCTTCTCCGCCTTTTCCGCGGCCTTCTGCTGCTCATACTGCTCCGTGTACTTCTGCGTTGCTGCGTTGCACTTCAACAGCAGCTCTTGGCCATCCAGCTTGAGACCGTTTAGCAGGCGCATCGCGCGCAGAACCCCCTCTGCGTCCTCAAACTCGCAAAAGCCGAATCCCTTGGGCTGCTTTGTGTCGGGGTCCACCTGCCGCTTCCAGGACTTGACGCGACCACACGCGTCCAGCAGGGTCTTGACCACCGGGTCAGGAACAGAAGATGCGATCTTCCCCACGTATACCGTCGTGCTCTTTTCAGCGATGGAAGGGGGGACGTACACTGCAGCCAGGATGTACTTTAGGATCTCAGTCGCAAGGACAAGGGACAGGCAAACCCTTGTGATACGCTGATGTAAACTTTCTCACCAGATTTCGCAAGAGCGCTAGCTCCACCCATAGGGCGAGGAGGTCCCATCAAAGGGCTGGCCATCGGAGGACGCATTCCACCCATGCCCATTCCCATAGGCATACCGCCCATCCCCATACCACCCGGAGGCATCATCATAGGAGGCCGCATGCCTGCAACAAGGGGATGGTAAAGAAGACCAAGAAACAAAAAAGTGAGGGCTTTCGTCAAGAGCATGCCTTGACAAGGCAAAAAGGGTGCCAACCGTTTACGCTCTAGTATCATAATAAGGTCCATAGGTCCACGAGAAACTATGCGGCCGAAAAGCGTTTGACCTACCCATTCCTGGTTGCATCCCACCAAATCCTGGCGGCGCTCCAGGATAGCCCATACCCCCTGGCATTCCAGGACGGAATCCTGGAAATGGAAAGTTTGGCGGCCCGCTCATCGCACAGCCGGAATATCAAGGTCAAGTCGTTATGTTTCGATTTGCGGGTCTTGGCGTGATGTAAGCTTCACAGTCCGTTTTCGATCAATCGCTATACGGGCGCTTCGGATCGGAAACGTAGCATAAAAGGAAAGTAGTCCAGCTGGACAATCTGTGTACGGCACATGCACTGCTGGAGCCAATGCAACGTATTGGCCCCTTGGGCAGGTGGCGGCATGCATCTTCCTTGTGTGACCTGCCCCAGCGATCCCACACATCGCAGCGTTTGAACTGGGAGATAGCTGGTGTTAGCCCAGCCACCTACTGCTCCTTGGGATGTTGCATTCCCACCCTCCAATGGGTTTCGTCCCCCATGGGTGGGGCCTTTGGACGCCTAGGGCAGGTGGTCCAGAACCGCAAACATGCAGAGCATGCTCCATGATGCTTTGCCCCCAAAGCTATCCTATGATTGCAATTTCTCTTCCACGGTGATCCCTAGGCAGAGTGAGCCCAGCAGAAGCGTGCCGCCTGAATTCTTTGACGTTGCAGCGCAATGCTGCTGCGTTGCCTGCTGCCTGCTAGATCCCTGTGCGCAAAGTGTTGCCGTGGTTCTAAATAACAAAATCGCTGCGCCGTTGCCCCTGGTGTTTTGGATGGCGTGGATGCGGGTGACCTGAGAAGGCCCTGTTGAGCTGCTCTTGCTGCCATTGACATGCAAGGGAGGTGACAGGCATTAATCGTACATGGTTGCGAACCTTCTTTTTTTGCGAACTAGTCGATTGCCCGCATCCACTGCAGGGAAGTCACAGCTATCCCAGCTACAATATCAGGTTCACCGAGCAAGAGGGCCTGCACCGGTCTATCTACAAAGGCAACGTGTCATAGGTATGGATACACATGTCATGTCAGAGGACAAATGTCCAACACTCATGCTTGCTCAGCCAGCACCCACTTATGTCCACAATACGAGCTCTATCCGGGGTATCACGTAGCCCACGAAGGTCCATGCCTGCACCGCGCCCACTGGACACAAAAGAACTATGACGTACGCGCGTACCACCGTCTGCAGCTGCACTATGCCGTGGCTAGGAAATCCAAGCCCCTGGCCTGCTGCCTTGGTAATGTAACCACACGTGGTCAACCCAGACAAATGAGAACCTAGCAAAGGGCTCCTATATGAAGCCCGCCAAATCGTTTCGCACCACATGACGACGGCAGGGTCCCTGTGCGGCTCACATGCGGTCAACGACCCTTCCACAGTAGCGGCTAAACTTTGGGACCGGTTGTCAAATGTTCTGCACCACACGAACAGGGACCACTAGCTGAGAAGCAAGCAGAGCTTGCACCGGTTGCCAGCACGCAACCGGTCACGCTGATGAATACAATACGCCATCTCCCGACCCTGGCTTAGTACGCACATGTGTATATACCCCAAGGGGCATCTCAATGCACCTGGTTATGGTGTCGTCTGGTTAACGGTTCAACCCTTTGGCCCCACGTGATCAGTGCAGGGTCATAGGGGCCCTCAGTTTAAGTGGCTGTCATCCCCTTTCTCGGCATCAATGCCATTACTTCCGAAGCAGTCCACTCCAGCACAGCAAGCCCCACGCAGACAATGCTCAGTACAGACAAAGCTTTTCAATCCAATCCAAGCTTTCAAACAAGAATGCAAGTACCCTTTTTTCCATGCCCTCCCATCCAATGCTGCCCCCTCCCCAAGCCCCATGCACCCAAGAGCCTCAAGTCCTCATAGCATCCAATGCAAGCGTCCGGGCTCAATCCCTGACAAGCATCGGGCTGCACTAGGGATACCCTCGCAGATAGCCCACTCCTCCTCATCCCTCAGTGCTCCTCCGAAACAGTGACGCTTTTGGCGAGGTTGCGAGGCTGGTCAACGTTTAGTCCACGTAGTACGGTCAGGTGGTACGACAGCAGTTGCAGCGGTACGATGTTGATGACCGGTTGCAAGCAGTCCACTGTCTCGGGGACCTGGGTTGGGTGAGCAGAGGTTGAAGGGGATGGGGATTGAGGTGGGCAGAGCGCAGAAGCACGATGCGTCGATAATCACGTGCCGTGCGATGAAATGCCGCTCAGGAGGAGGCTCAAGGACAGTGTTATGCCATTGCGCCCATACCCAAGAGCTCGTCCCCTCTCATGCGTTCCGATCCATGTCACGCACGCAACGACCCATGGCGGCCATGCATCCCCACCTGTATGAGCTTGCAGCCCCTGGCCTCGTACTGCTTCATGCTCTCGTCGTTCTCGTTGCAGAGGATGTAGAGCTGCGCGTCGCGCGCCAGCAGCTGCTGGATGACGCTCTCCATCTTCTTATACATGCCGTCCCTGCACCCATGTTAGCGGGGAAAGTTTTGTGGTGGCCCGGTTAACGTGGCATCCCTGTGACGGCATGACCCCACCTCGCTCCCATCCCACTCCCGGCCCCTATCCGCACCGGTCCCCAACCCCCCGCCCTCACCGTGTCGCAATGACCACGATGGGTAGGTGCTTGTCCACGAGCGCCAGCGGGCCGTGCTTCATCTCGCCCGCCAGCATGCCCTCGCTGTGGATCAGCGCAACCTCCTTCACCTGCGGAATCACCGCCCGGGCAGAGCAGGGGGAAGGAACAGCGGCGCAGGCAAGGCAAGAAAGGTGAGCGCGGAAAGAGCCCCATACGCAGTGCCGTGCCGAATGGAGAGGCGGTAGCTTATTGTCTGCGCATTGACGCGCCCCCAATCCCCCCCATGCACACCCGCCACCCACCCCCATGCACCCGCCCGCCCGCCCTCTTGCCTTGAGTGCCGCCTCCAGCGCCGTGGCGTAGTTGTACCCCCTCCCGAAGAAGAGCAGGCTGGTTGCGGAGCGCAGCTGCTCCGCCAACTGCCGCATGGCGCTGTCCAGCATTAGCACGCTGCGCACCTTGCCGGGCAGCTGGCCTGGAGGTGGGGAAGGGAAGAAAGAAGAAGAAACGAACTAACTGTGTGATAAGGAGAAAGAGGTGGAGGTAGGGCGGGTTACATTTGGTGGGAGAGGGAGAGTGTGCAACTGAACTGCAACGCGAGTACAACAGGACACCGCGCTAACTCTTAAGACCCACGTAATGTAAAGCGGAGGCCCACCAGATGAAGGTATTGATGTGCTGCTTCCTTAACACAGGCGGCTCCATCCTTTCCTTACAGAACCCTCCCCCCCCGCTCCCGGTTCAGTTTTCCTAATCCCCCCGCCCGCTCCCCCTCCCTCACCCAGTTCGTCAATGATGCAGTCCCGCCGCTCCCGCTTGCTGATGCTGTCCTCCGCCAGCTGCAGCGCCATCATGGTGACCGCCAGGATCTGCGAGGTGTAGGCCTTGGTGGAGGCGACGCCGATCTCGTAGCCGGCGTTCAGGTGCACGCCGCAGTGGGTCATGCGGGAGATGGCACTGCCGACCTGGGAGGGACGAGGGGGTGAGGGGATGGAGGATTCCGGGAGGAGGACGGGGGTGAGGTTGGGTAGCTGGAAGGAAGTGCGGCGCCTACTCGCAGGTAGGGCACAAGATAGGGCCAAGCCTGCATGCACTACAAACCCCGCTCCAAGCCCTCTACCTTATCATCATCATCATCATAATGGACCAATCGCAATACCAAACCCCAATATTCCACCTCCCAGCGTCCACCACCCCACCGTGTTGGTGATGCCCACGCACAGCGCCCCGTGCGACTTGGCGTACTCCAGCGACCGCAGCGTATCCGCCGTCTCACCGCTCTGGGACAGGAACACGCACGTGTCATCCCTGCATGGGGGAGCAAGGACGGACAGAAACCGATCAGCGTGGCAGGCAGCGTAGCCTAGCAGCAGGGTTAACTGCATGGATACATGCGGTGTGCGTGCATGCATGGGGCTATAACGGTAGACGCCTGTGAGCTGAACCATCAGACCCTCCTTAGCCCCTTCCCTCCGCACATCACAGCCCGCCTGCCCTACCTAAAGATCGGGCAGCGCCGGTCCAGGAAGTCACTGGCCAGCTCCAGCACCACCGGCACCTCGCACATCTCCTCCAGCGTCTGCCGCGCCGCCAGGCAGGCGTGGAAGGAGGTGCCGCACGCCACCAGCATCAGCCGCCGGCAGCGCCGGATGGTGGGGCCGTGCTCCACCAGCCCGCCCAGCTTGACGCGCGGCGTGAGGTAGGGGTTGCCCACGGCGGGGCGCTGGAACTGCACGCGGCCGCGCATGGTCTGCAGCAGCGACTCGGGCTGCTCGTGGATCTCCTTTTGCATGAAGTGGTCGTAGCCGCCCTGCAGTTGGGGAGGTGGGCGAAGGAGTGGAAGGGGAAGCAACGAGTGGAAGGGGGGCCGGGATGAGTGGGGGTGGGGGTGGTTGTGTGCTTGTTTCTCCACCAGAGGGTTCGCTCACACCCCTCACCGGCGGACCGGGTGGAATTGATACTACGTTAATCCCTCCTCTCCCACATCCACATCCCATCCAGTTACTTTCCTCCTCATTACCCCACCGCTCCCGCTCCCTCGCCGACCGGCCCTTCCCCCACCTTCATGATCTGCTCCACCTCCAGCTGCAGCGTGAGCAGCACCCGCGGCACCGCCTCCTCCACGTTGCCACCCTCCGTGTTGTAGATGCCGTACCCGCCGCCGCACAGGTGCAGCACATCGTTGTCCTCCAGCACAATCACCCTGTGCGGTACGGTAGTGGGGGACACACGTAACACCAGGTTAGGAGAAGATCCGAAAGCCGTCCTATAGGAGCAAGCAAGGGGACAGGCAAGTTGGCTGTTTCTCTCTGGCCCTCGGCGGCCCCTGTGCGCCTCACTTTTTGGTGTGCTCGATGACGGCCGAGGCGTCCGAGGCGATGAAGCACTCGAGTGCCTCGCGGCGCCACTTGGTGTCCGCCGCGTCGTGCAGGCGGTTGAAGGAGGTGCTGCGCGCGCCCGGCTCCTCCTTGATGCCCAGGATCATGGGACTGCCGCGCTTGCAGGCAACCAGCTCGCCTGAGCGAGGAAGCGAGGGGGCGCGGAAGACGTTGATATGGGTCGGCGTAATCTAAGTGGATGACATAAAGATGTCATCAGGACTTAAAGGGCGGTTGTTTAATGGTCAATACTTTTAGTACGGCTGACCATGGGCTCACAGAAGGCGCTAGGCCCGACCCAAATCGACACGGCGCAGAAAGCTCCCCTCCACTGCGGCCCCTAGCCATCCACCGCCAGTCACAGCATGCCCCAACATGCTTCACCCCTGAGGAATAGCTCCACGTCTTTCGCAACTATGACCCCTATAGCCCCCAGCACAGCCTGACACCAACACGATCCCGCCGTCCCTACTGCTGCTGCTGCCTCCCTCTTCGCTCGCTGCTGCTGTACGCTACTCTCGGCAATGCTGTCCACTGACCATGTTGCTGTTGCTGCACAATTCTCCCCTTCTCCCCTCCGCCTGTAGCCCACGCACAGTTGTTGCTGCTGCGCACCTGGGTAGTGGGTGCTCTTGACCAGCACCGCGTAGGCGCCCTCCAGCTTCTTCAGCACCTCCATCACCAGCTGCGGAGCGCACACGACCCGGAGCGTCAGGAGGAAACGAAACCTATTGTTAACCATAAGATAAGTAATTGGAGGGTCCAAGAGTGTGGCACTATTGTGCATGAGCACATCAGCGCATGACAAGCCAGGGGAAAGAGTCGCACAAAGGAATGTTCACCAAGCAAGCACACTGCGGCAAGACAGTCGACTGGTGTCAAGGTTGAACTGCCAACTTGGCACACCGGAGTCTACACCTCATCTGGGTCGGCACTACGGCATGTGCAGTTCAACACTCTTCCCAGCCCAACCTCCTTGCGGGTACTGACCTTGGGAAAGGGCACCTTTTCAGACAGCCGGTCGTACACGAACGTGCAAAGCTTGGGGATTACCTCCGTGTCCGTTTCCGTCGCAAACGTCTCGCCGTGCTTTATCTGCAGGGGTGTGAGGACAGGGCGACAGGCGGTGTGTAAGGCAGGCGGGTAGCGCAGCCCTCCGTATGACGGTCAGCGTTGGAGGCTGTCTTCTAGGCGCCGGCGTGGCGGCTTGCGCAGGTCGCTGGCCTCAAAAAGGCTGCCAAGAGAGAATTGCTCGGGGGGAAGGGCTCGGGGAAGTCAGTAGTCGCAAGGTATTGTGACCACAGCCCCACGGCGCATCCCGCACCCCATCTAAGTATCGGCAGCCAGCCAGCCAACCTTCATCTAGGTGTAATCCAATCGGCTATACCCACACAAATTAGGATGACACTGTTCTTGCCCATAGAAATATGGGGTAACAAGTGTTGCAGGTTTACAGCAGCAGAAAAAGGAGTCGGGACGGTTACCATAGAAGAGAGGGAATGTCCCATGGGCCAAGCACAAGGGCCATTGCATAAAGACATACCCGCACCTACCAAGAAGTCCTTCATGATGTTGTAGTTCGTGATGATGCCGTTGTGAACCACAACGAACTGGCCCTCAGGGTCCGATGGAATGGGGTGGCTGTTGACCACCGATGGGGGGCCATGCGTAGCCCAACGCGTGTGCGCGATGCCGACCTGGCTCCTGTACTCCCGCTTTAGGTCCAGCTGGTCACGCGCAACGGTGTCATATGCCATCCGCTCCAGCGCCTCTACCTTGCCAACCTCCTTGATGATCACGGGACCGGCCGATTCGAGCACGCCGTGCTCCTCTGAAATGGTTTCCGGGCCATCCTGATCGTGATGTACCAGCGGATACGCGTCCACGACGTCGAATGCAACGCCCGCAGAATCGTATCCGCGATATTCCAAGCGCTTCAAGCCGTTGAAAAGGCATTCTAATACGCAACGTAGATCCCTACGGACGTTAAATGTATAATATCCTACGATACCACACATCGCTGTATAAAACTATGTCGCGTATGTATGCTGTATACGAAGTCTGAGGCTCGCGGCGTAGCTACGCTGCCAAAAAGCGTTCGCAGTGTTGTTTCAAATAATTCACTACCAGAGAAGCTCAAACAGCATCAAGCGTAGCTGGCGGGAACGTCGAACGGGGAGCAGGGACAGCAGTGCAAGAACGACAGCTATAGGCAAACTAAAGCAAAATGCAAAGAAATAACGATGTAATGTTTGTCAGCTAACAGCCATTTCGATATTTGCGGAAGAAATATGGAAATCGTGGATTCATCGTCGTGCATGGGAAGGCTATACGCCCTCGTCTTGGTAACGGCACATCTGGTGGACCCGATGCGTAATCCAGTTTCTGCCGAGTAGGAAATATGGCATCGCCATTACTGAAACCATGTAGGCCGACTAAGACCCCTTTCTTGTCGACTGCGTCGCGTCGACCGCTCGTCGTCCGCGGTGAGCATGTTATCTTCCATCACACATACTGAAAACAGTGACTTTTCGTCTAAACCGCTGCGCGCTACCTTCTCCTTGCAGCGCTGGCCGATGGTTCGAGCCTACTTCAAGCGGGCGCAGCAGTAGCCCTGGCCGCTTCTGGCGGGTACGACCTAACCAGCTTACCAGAGGGTGTTGCTAATAACCCGGAGCGTTATTCTGATCCAATGAAACCTGGAACATCGCAGTGTTGCGGCCTGGAAGTTTGCAACCTACGGGCAGCTGGAGTACATTACAGCGGCAATGCTCACGAATCACGTCCCAAAAGGCGCGTAGGGATGACACGGAAGGTTCTGCGTGTGCCATGCGGACACGGCAATCCCCCTCTGCTCAATCTGTCCACAGTTGTCCACAACAACATGCATACCTGTCGTGCAGGAGATCCTGGACCCCGGGTCATCCAAATACAGGGCGGATCACGGGTGAGGAGGAGCAGGATACGCCTTCTGCCCCTCGGGGCATGTTTATGGGAATCCGGATGGCAATGGGGCCTGTAGAAGGCATGTATCTCTCAGTAGTACACTAGCTATCCTAGGCCTGGGGGCTGCCTGGGGATCTTGGCTTATGCGCTCCGCCTCGCCAGTGTGCACCGGCTCGGAGGGATGCCAACCATGCAAGCCACACTTCTCAAGTTCCTTGCGGCATCTGCCCCTCCGAACTCCCGCATGTCCCATGGGTCACACCTCCTGCCCCCACAGGAGCTGTACTACTACCCCAAGAGCACGGTGCAGGTCACGGTGGTGGGCGAGCAGCTCAACAAGGGCTTGTTGGAGCAGGCGGGACTGCAGGTATGGGGCGGTGCATGCATGGGGTGGTGCTGCATGGGCTGCTGTTGGAGGGTTGGGCACACGGACGGGCTGGCATTGCTGGCCCTGGTGGTCATTATACCGGAATGCTCATAGCTCTCACCATTGCGGGTGCTCTCGGGGTTGCCGCGGTTGCGGAGGAGTAGGGCAGTGCAGGTGGCCGCCGGTACCCCTGGCAGATGCCGACATCCCTTGTGTCGGCCTTCAACGCGTACGTACCGGTGCCCAGTCATGCGCCCTCATGCGCCCTCCGCTGTCCATTCGCAGGCCGCCGTCCCCACGCTGGCGCGGCCGCAGTCGCCCGCCAACCTGGGCTTCGCTGCGGACTGCAGTGTGGATGCGGTGGTGGCGCTGCCGGGCGGGCTGGCGGGGCTGAGCGGCGCGCAGCGGGCGGCCTTCACGGGGGAGGCGCTGCGGGTGCTGAAGCCGGGCTGCCCGCTGGTGTTTGTGGAGCGGAGTGAGTGGAGCGCCAGGGGCGGGAGGGGGGTAAACAGAGCTTGGGATGCACGGACACTACGCGTAGGATACCCGCTGTTCGGTATCCGAACGATACTTGCTCATCAGCTAGGCACAGCGCACCCCAATACCGTACACACACACTACCACCTCGCGGCCAGTTTTCTTATCGTTTTCCTTGCCTTGCCTTGCGCGCAGTTCCCGGCGGCCTGCCCATCCGCTTCCTGGGCACATCCGGCAAGACACTAGGTGAGCGCTTGGGTGCCTCCCGCCCTTGTCCGCCTTTACTGGGTAACGACCCGACCCATGGCCTGACCACTGATGGCCCTCCTTACTCCCATGTTTGTTTGCCTGCTTGAGTTGACAACGCACCTTCCTGACCTAACCTTCCTGAACCTGCATGCTATCGGAAAACACCCGCACCACACTTCTACTCGCAGCCAGCTTTCTTAAATCCACACTCCTCCTGGCTCCCCGCCCCCTCTGCGTACGCCTGCTTGCCCTCATCACCCGTTCCAGAGGAGTCCTTTCTGCAAGGCCTGAAGCAACGCACTGAGGCATTTGAGCTGGTGCAGTGGGACGTGGCGTTGGAGGGGCAGGACCCGCATGCATTAGGGGTGGCGATTAAGGCAGCAAACTACCGGGTGCCTGTACAGGCAAGCAGCAAGCGGGCGGAGAAGGCAGCGGAGAAGGCCGAGCGCGAGCGAACGGAGCGGGAGGCGCGTAGGGAGAAGGCGCGACTGCCGAAGAAGGGGTTTGACAGTACACCTTAGAGAAAGGCTTATATGCGTCCCTAGTGGAGTAGGGAGGCTAGGAGGCTGCCGCAGCTGTCTTGCTGTCCTACCTGCACCTCACGCTACAAGTGTTGCATGGAGGTAGGCTGCTGCTTGCAGAGAGTGGTACAGACGTACAGTGGTAGGGAGGTGTAGGCAGAGATTAGATGAACTGAGCCGCATGAAGCACTGACCGTGACCGTAGCGGCGTAGCATACCAGAAGATGAAGACGTCCCAGTGCACACGGCATAACTCCCAGACCATCTGATGATGACAGGCGTTTGCCCAAATAGCGCTCTGAGCAGTGCATAGGTACCATCCCTCCCCAGTGAAACTGAGTATTGACTTGTTATAGTGTTATGGGGAACAATGTACAAGGACGGATTTGTAGTCCCGCAAGAGTTGACTTGGTGTACGCACGACAGCCGCTTCCCTTGCAGGCGGAGGTCTGAGCAGTGCCCCAGCTCGTTTGGGTACACCCCCCTGTCCTTCTGAGAAGCGGGCCGGCCATGATGGCACGGCCCCTGGGGGCACGGGCGCCCTCTGCAACAGCACGGTGCGGTATACATCCGAACAAGGGGGTGTAAGCTGGGAAAGGGTCGAGCCCCTTGATGAGGATAGAAAAGTACTGACACCCCTTGCGGGACACACTTGCGATTTAACAGCACAACGGGCGGTTAACTTGCACCGCTCACAGGTACAGACTACGTGCCAACGCGCGTTTCGGCTCATGTAACCTGACGTAAAGAATGCCTTGCCCTTCCCACTACCCGTACCCTTACCCAGGGTTCCAACCTCTGGTAGTGTTGGGTGCCAACCTCTGGAAAGAACACCGGCAAGCACCCATACTAGCCGCAGACTGCCACACACCGGCCCTTGCCTCTACCATAGTATGGTATTCCCTACCATACCGGTACGCATATCAGCACGCAAGGCCCCCACCCAAAACGCCGCATCTCCTCGATCTCATACATCCTTCTTGTTCCCGCCTCTCGACCTTGCACTCCACCCACTCGCGCATGCACTCAAAATTATCCTACCAAGATGCATAGCAGTATTAGCTGTATTACTAACACTCCTCTCCACACACATACCACACACATACCACACGCGGCCCGTTCTGAACACACCACCCAAGCCGACACTCCAGCAGCCGTCCTTTCACCGCGCTACCCCCTTCGCTCCCTCCCTCTCTTGCCCCAACGCGGTTCCCGCTACATCCGCAGCACCCGCCCCATCAACATCCGCACGCTGTGCTGCTGCTGCTCCCTCGCGGCCGCCCCCACTCCCCGCCCCCTGCGCGCTCCCCCCTTGCCCCTGCTGCTGTGCCGCCTCCGCCTCCCGGATGCCCTGCCGCAGCCCCAACACTGCAGGTAGCAGCGGGCAGGCAGGCAGCGGAGGGGCGGTCGGCAGGTGAGTGGGTGGTATGTACATGAGTGCGTGCGTGCGTGCAGGGATTGCGAGAGGGAGGTAGCACCAAGAGGTTGGTTGGTAGATTTCTATCCCGCCGATGCCACCCACCGATCAGCAGGTTGGTGACGGTGAGCAAGCTCTCCGCGCCGCCATGCAGCCAGTCCACATTGGCTAGACTCGTGCCGTAGTGGGTTTTGGCTGTGCCGTACAACCCCGATGTAGTACAGGGGGAGCACAGGGAGGAGGTGTAGTACGAGGGGAGCACGGGGGCAGGGGCGGTGGTAAGCAAGGAAGAGAGGGGCAGATTGGTCAGGGGCGTAGAGGGAACTATGGTGGGACGACGTGTTGTAGCTGCTGGGGTTGCGGAGGCATGCATGTGGCTAGCGTTGGCAAGGCAGATGGAAGGAGGGATTGCGTGGATTGCCAGATGGGTTTGTGGCCAAAGAGATGATGAAGAAATACAATTGGCGTTTCCATGGATAACCTTCCCATCCACGTATGGTTGCCCAGACCCCACAGCAATCCCGAGCCCCGTAAACCGGCCACGGCTGATACGTGCAGGGCCCGCAACCTTGTACGGTGCTACAACAAGCCCCATACGAAGGCGCCACCAAACTACACACCGCTTACCGTAGATACCGGCGGGGACAGTTACGGCTACGAAGGCTAGCAGGAAGTAAAAGCCTATCAGCGTGAGCCGAGGTGTCTTGCCGGACTTGGTCAAGAAGTACAGAAAGAAAAGGTACGGGAAAAGACTGATTGCAAAAAGCTGCGGCGCCACCGACTGCGGGGGGGGGGGTGCGATGAAGGGAAAGAATGCCAGATTGTGAGGTTTGCAAGGCAGTGCGTCGGTGGCATGCCAGGGGACATAGCCGTTGGCTTCAACAAGCGCAATGCGCCCGTCCCCTCTCACCGCCGCATCGACGCTGGGCGCCCATGCCTGGTCAAATGGGAATACTTGTGTGGCCACCGGTCGCTGCTGCTGCATGGGCATCCGCTGCGCCAGCCCCCGTCGCGAAGCGCCTTTATGCGCTAGAAGTCGTTGAGGCAACCCCGGTTTGGCAATTACACTCTTACACTGAGCTCGCCTAGCATTACAACTTTGCAATGCGAATCCACTTTGTTTGGAGGGTAGTAAGCAAGTTACTGAGCTGACCATTTTTATCTTTGTACCAGTACCCACAACATAGGTTATGGTACAGGAGAAGTCCGCGTAGCCGAATCGTGCTCGCGATCCCCATTGTACTACATCAGTGTCGTGGCGCACGGTTAGCCAGCGGGCAGCACGGCTCAAGGGTAGCGTTTGGCTCATTATCTTCGTAAAAGGCATACATATGCTAACTTTACTGCCCCTAATCAATCGAAGCTCTCTGCGATGAAGCATTGAACCCCGCTTAGAAGATACACCGTCGCCCCCACACCATTGATGAGAACGAAAACGAGCCTATTACTTTATCTCACAATACAGTCAACAGTAACCAGGTTCTAACTTGTGGCTGAAACCTAATAAACAGCTAGACAGGTTTACTAGCGCCATGGGCATGGGCGCCATGCATCCGATTTCCGATATAGCGTAAATCCGCCGGAACCGTTATCGAAATAGCAGCGCAACTAGTTCAGTTACATACCTGTCACTGCGTTTTTCCCACTCCAAATGGTGGAGGGGTAAGTCCAGTTGTCTTGCAAGCCCATTGCATCCTCATCGTCTGATGGTTTGGCTCACTTTCCAGTCTAGCAAGCCTACGGTGCACTTGCACTTTTGGTTATGCCAGATCAGCTCCAAATCTGTCGGCCCTTACTTGCAAGCCGACAACTCTGACTTCCCCAGCACTCCTTACATGGCATCACCCACCTCCGCTTCCCCCCTTCCACGCCCCTCCCCCTCAGTCACCAGTGCCACCGAGTGGCCGCTGCGCACAGGCGGTTGCTTCTGGGGCGCTCCTTCCTCGCCACCTCGCCCAATGGCAGGTTCAGAGAAGGTGCGAGTGCGGGCGCTGGCGCGTGTGTGTTTACCTAAATCAAGCCTAAGCCTCCGGCCATCTCCTTCGTTCCACCCTTCCCTGGTGCAGACTGCCTGCCTGCCTGCCCTACCAGCCTTACCCCAGATTCCCCCCCTCCTGCTGCCCTCGCAACGTCACCCCTCCTCAGGCGCTGCTGCCATCCACCTGAAGCCGCTTCACCGCATCGAGGTGCATGGCAAGAACCTCTTCTACTTCTTTGGGGGCGCAGCGCCCATGACAGTAGTGCAACCAGGAGGGGGTGGAGGCGGAAGAAGAGCGGAGGCAGCGACACTACTGCAGCACTTCCCACACCAGCAGCTGCTACACCTACCCTTCTCGGCTGCTGCTGCTGTACCTGCTGCTGCTGCTGCCGCCAGGGCTGCAGCAAGGGCTAGCAGCACCCACGACGGCGATGATGAGGGGATGACTAACGGTGACAGCCTGGGTGGCGGCTGGGGGAACAGCGGGGTGGGCGGCCTCCTCGATCCACTGGTGGTCGGAGTGAAGGAGGAGGAGGAAGAAGAAGAGGGAGGAGGAGATGAGGAGGAAGACATGCAGGGGGGCGAGGCGGAGGTACTAGAGCAGCAGCAGCAGCAGCAGCAGGAGGAGGAGGTGAAACGGGAGCATGAGGCGCAGGTCGAGGACGAGAGCAGCAACAGCGCGGGAGGTACTGTCACCGCTGAGGAGGGCGGGGGTGGGGGCGGGGGCGAGGTGGTGGTGATGCACGTGCACTTCGGCATGAGCGGCGCCTTCCGCACCATGCAGCTGCCCGGCAGGCCGCCCACACCCACCACTCGGCTGCAGCTGATAAGCCAGGTGGGGGTGGCGGGGTGCGGTGGGGTGGGAAGTTGACGGGTGGGATGGAGGTGGGATGGAGGTGGGATGGAGGTGGGATGCAACACGCAAGGGTGGGGGAGGTGAAGTGCAATGGTACCCCGTACATATTCTCCCCCCGCCTCCCGCCCCCCAACATACACACACAGGAGCTCCCATTATCTCGCCCTTACTGCTGGTCTCGTACTCCTCTCTAACCCCCACATGCTCAGGAGCTGGGTCTGGTGGCGCACCTGAGCGCCATGACGGTGACCCACGGGTCGCTGCAGCTCTACCACACCCGCATCGCCACGCTGGGGCCCGACCCGCTGCGGGAGGATGCGGACAAGGAGGTGGGTGCCTGTTGGCGGCGTTAAGGGGGGGAAGCTGGGGCTGGGGATATAGGGGGTAGCCATGAGGGTGGTGCCGCCTCCTCCACACCTGCAGCACACCACAACCATCAGCCGATCCCCCGCTCCACCCTCCTGCTCTTCCCCCCCCCGCCAGCTGCTGTGGGCGCGGCTGCGCCGCTCCCCCCGCACCCCTCTGGGCCAGCTGCTGATGGACCAGTCCGCGGTGGCGGGGCTGGGCAACATCTACCGCGCGGAGGTGTGCTTCAAGGCGGGAGTGCACCCGGAGACCCCGGCGGGGGCGCTGAGCCGGGAGACGTTCGAGAGGGTGTGGTGAGAGGGGCGCGGGTGGGGGGGCCGAGGGTGGGAGTAATGGGGTTGGCGGTTGGGGGGCCGAAACGTACATCGATAGTCGCCGCTAGGGTGTGGTTATACACACACCACCCCGTACCCCTGCCGCTCCTGTTGCCTCCTCCACACCCCCTCACCCTATCCAGCCTACCGGTAATGCGGAAACCGTATCCCTATTGCTCCCCCCAGGTACCACAGCGTGGATCTGCTGCGTCGCGGTTTCCTCAGCGGCTCCATTGTGACAGTGGACCCGGAGGAGGGGGCGCGGCTGGGCAGGCCTTGGACGCGCAGGTGGGGGTGGGGTTGGGTGAAGAGGGGGGAAGGGTAGGTGCGGTTTGGGGTGTGGATTAAATGCTAGGGGTGCCCTAGGGATGCCTAGGGCGGAAGAGGGGCGGCGTGGCAGGTCAGGGATCATGCGTTCGCTCCTGCCTGCCTCCTCTCCCTCCTGCCGGCCCTCACCTGCCGCACCTGCCTGCCCGCCTGCCTGCCTACCCGCCCCCCCCCCTGGCCAACCAACCCTTTGTCTTGTGGCACCCTGCCAACTCCTACCCCCAATGTTTTGCCCTAACTTGTGGTCTCCTATGGTTTGGTATGGTCTTTGACCCCCCTGGCCCCCTGCCTGCCTGCCCGCAGATACATCTACAACCAGCAGCAGTGCGGCCGCTGCAAGGGCCCCGTCCGCACCTGGCGCATGGCGGGCCGCACCGTCTACTGCTGTGAGCGGTGCCAACCGCTGGCACTGCCGCTGGCATCGCCCTCCCAGCAGCACCTGGACTCGCCCCTGCCCCCGCCGCAGCAGCCACAGACACCCCGACAGGCAGCAGCAGCAGCAACTGCAGCAACCGCAGCCATGACGCCGCAACAGCAGCAGCAAGAGGAGCAGCAGAGGCAGCAGCAGCTGCTGCAGCAGCTGTCCCCGTCGCGACGTGCGGCACTGGCTGCTGCCCGGCCGCCCCGGCTGTTCCCCAGTCGCTGTGCGCCGGATGACGCGGAGGATGTGGAGGAGGCGATGGAGGCAGCAGGCGGCAGCGGGGGAACAGCAGCAGCAGCGGCGGCTCTGCAGAAGGTACCATCCACGGTGTACGGTAGCGGACGGGCTGGGGCGAGGTGTGACGCCCCACGCTATGCCACGTAGTGCTTCTCTTCCTCTTCCTCATCCTCTTGTCTGTCACTTCCCTCATCACAATCCACCGCGACTCCTCCAAGCTTGCTCCTGAACCCCCTAATCCCCCTCGCCGCCCTGCTACTACTCACTTGCCGCCCCAACCCCTGCACCTCCTCCCTTGACCCCCCAAACCCTGAAACCCTCCCTTCCCTCCCCTCCCGCCCGCAGCTCACCGTCCCCCAGCTGCGCGCCCGGCTGGCCTCCCTGCATGCGGACACGCGGGGCAACCGGCAGCAGCTGATCGCCCGGCTGCAGCAGGTGCAGGCGGCAGGGCGGCAGCAGGTGGGGGCGGCAGCGGCAGCGCAGGAGCAGGAGGAGGAGGAGGGGCAGCAGCCTGGGGCAGCGATGCCTGCGGCGGCGGCGGCGGCGGGCGAGGCTGACACGGTGTCTAAGGAAGTACTCAGCAGGAGGTTGGTGGCGGTACGGCGGCAGAGGCGGAGGCGGCAGCGTGACAGCGAGGAGGGTGGAGGAGGCGGGGAGGGTGGAGGAGGCGGGGAGGGCGAGGGTGGGGAGGGAGGGGAGCGCGGCGGCAGCGGGGAGGTGGGGAGTGAGGATTCGTTGGATGCTGCGGAGGCGGCGTTGACGGAGCGGCTGACGGGAGGTGAGTGCGGCTTGGGTGCGGTGGGTTGGGTTGGATTGGTCGAAATCATCGTCTCTCTCTAGTTCTCCCCTTGTTTTTAAGTAGGCGCACACCCTTGCAACTGTCAATACCGTACATTGCAGCCAATGGTGAAACAAACACACACTTGTGCCACCCACATATCCCACATACGACATACCCCGCCACCCACCTGCCCCTCCAGCAGGCGTCCCAGCAGCCTGCACCACCACACATCCCGCACCCTTGTCAACGCCAGGCCAACAACCGCAGCAACAGCGACAACAACAACAACAGGAGCTGTCCCTACGACGTCGCACCGTACCCCAGCTCCGAAACCTCCTCCGCAGCCGCCGCCTGCCCACCTCCGGAACTAAGGCCGTACTGCTGAGCCGGCTGCTGGCTGCTGGAGGGGAGGGCGCTGGCGCTGGCGCCGCCGCTGTCTCGCTCGCAAACGACGACGACGGTGGCTATGCTGATCATAGAGGCGGCAGTGCAGCTGGCGGTGAGGGCGACACGTCACCAGCAACTCCACCGCCGCTGCAGCAGCAGCAGCAGCAGGTGCAGGCAGTGGCGGCATCCACCACAGCAGAGGATCCGCCCCGCACCCCTCGCACCCCCGCCGCTGCCCCCTCAGTCGCTGCACTCGGTGCTGCTGCTGCTAAGCTCCCAGGAGGCGTCGGTGCCACCGCGCCTCCTCCTCCGCGGCCTCGTAAGGCGGCACGGCGCGCAACGGAGGAGCAAGCGGCCGGCTGGGCTGCCGGCGCCGCGGTTGAAGCGTCGTCGCCCACTGCCGTACGCGGTCCTCTGGCGGGTGCCTTTGCCGAGGTGTGGGGCGCAGGTGGCGCCGGCGGTGGCAGTGCAGGGAAGAAGTTAGACGTTAGCAGCGGCGGTGGCGGCAGCAGTCCCGGTACGACAGCAGCTGCTTGCGGCGGCGGAGGCAGCATGTACGACATCCGGCCTGGCGTGCGGGACCTGGAGGATGTGATGGTGTCCGCCAAGGTGCGGGCTCTGCTGCTGCTGCTTACCTGCTGCTGCGGCTGTTGCAGTTGCTTACCTGCATGTTTGCATCCCGCTCCTCCTATGTCTACCCCGTGTATATCGGGCATACGATCTGCCTTCTGGGCAGGTGTACGGTCCACTGCCCCCCTCCCTCCCACTCCACCTGTAGCCACAGCAGTACAGCTCCATCCCTCCATTCCTCCCCCTTCCTGACCTATGGATGCTTCCCCTCCCCCTCCCCCACCTCCTCCTGCCAGGATGCCCTACTGGAAAAGTTGGCTGCAGGCGAGGGTCGTGCAGTGGAGCACGTGGCACTGGAGGACCCGCAGGTGCTGCAGCTGCTGCAGGAGGGGCCGGGCGGGGGCCCGGGCAGGAGGGGGAGGGCGGCAGTTGCACCTGCTGGGGAGGCGGGCGGCAGGGGGGCAGAGGGGAGCAGCAGCAGAGCCGGGGAGCCACGGGCGCGCAAGCGGGCGCGGGCGGTGGCGGCGGCCCTGGCGGAGGAGGAGGGGGATGAGGCGGCAGAGGAGGCGGAGGGGAAGGGGGTGAAGAGTGGTGAGGGGGAGGGGGTTGGAGGTGTAGGCTTGCCAGGTGGGAAGGACAGCGCCGGTGGGCGGCGAGGCGTGGCGAGGAGGCGTGTGCGGTGAAGGGTTGGGGGAGGAGGGTTGGAGGGTAGAGAGGGGCTCCTGTGGCTACGGTTTTGTATGTAATAGGCAGTGCTGTGTGCCTAGGCAACCTAAACCTTATTTCCTCCCGAACGTCTTTCCTCGCCCCTTTTAAGCTTCCGTACCTCACCTATTTCACCTAACAATGCTACTTTCCCCATTTCAAAAGGTCAAGATCTATACAAAACCATTTTTTCCAGATACCCCAAATGCCAGCATTTCACACTTCGCTCTCTCCTTTTCCCAACGCCTCTCTTTCCACCAACCCATATTTTACCCCCTACTCCTTGTTGAAAACGACTCCTCGCAGTCTGTCTCCACCATTACTTTCTGTCTAAAGCGATAAATACCTCGCTCCACAGACCCTGTTCAATCCCACAAACAGACCCTTCTTACGACCCCAGTTCCACACACATTCACGCTCTGTCCGCTTTACAAATACCCCCTAGTCAGTCCTACAGATGATCCCCCCTTTGTCGTACAGATGAATTACAGTTCGTTACAGCAGAGCTCCTCCAGTGTGCTGGCTTTCTGTTTGTGAAAAGGACCAACCCTTTATAGCAGTACAGCTACCCACCAGTCAGTTGGACAGACAAACCTCCAGCAGAGCACATTAAGTGTGCTGGCTTAGAGGCCCCTTGTTTGGGACAGAGAAAAAACCCTGTTCAGCAGTACAGCTCCTGCACAGTCCACTGCTGTAGGGGTGTGGGGGAACAAACGTTTCCCCCACCAACAGACCATTCTTGCATCCACAGTTGCACACACAAGCACTCTCTGTCCGCTTCACCAATCTCCCATAGTTTGTCACACAAACGAACCCCAGTTTGTCAGTGGGGAGACCCTACAGCTGAGCTCCTCCAGTTTGCTGGCTCTCTGTCACAGAGACCACCTCTCAGTCAGGATAGCACCGACTCCCATCTGTCTAGCAGTACAGCCCCCTACATTCCGCTGCTGTAGGGGGTATGGGTAATGTCCCCCCAATGCGCGCCCAGTTCCACACAAGCACCCCCTGTCCGCTGTACCAAAACCCTCGGTTTGTCACAGCAGGGCTCTCCCTGTTTTCTATCTCACAGGTCACCCTGTTTGTCACAAGAGACAAACCCCATTCATGCAGCACAGTTCCCCTCCAGTCTAGCAGCACAGCTCCTGTACAGTCACCCCACAGGGGTGTGGGTTGGGGGAAGCGCAACAATACCCACATGTCTGCTGTGTCACTCACACAGACACAAGAAGACTCCATCTTTCGGCAATCACAGTACGTTTCGCCTCGCGGCCAGTTATTTTAACACACAAGGGGCATGACATATATGTGCATATCGTAGCGCATATGCCCTGCTGTCTTAGTAGGCACGCGTCACACGCCAGCGTCTCAATCGGCCAACTGTATTTGTCTATACGCTATGCCTGTGTGGTGGGGGGGGAGGGTGTATATAGTTGCATTCCACAGCTGCGCGGCCAGGCCCCCACCGAGGGGGCCTGCTATTATGCATATGTTTACAGCACGGCCACGGTATGGCTGGACAGCAGTTGGGCTATCTGCGTGGCACGCTCCACCGTAATGGCGGACACTCGCGCACGCCCTTCAGCAGCTGCACTAGGCGCGTCAGCCTGCCCTTCGGGTCGCTGGGAGGCAATGAGGCCTCCAGCACAGTGTCAGCGGCCAATGTTTTGTCTGCCGCGGCAGTGATTGCTACCTCCAGCTCCTTCGCCATAACCAGCACCGCCTCGAACCGGGCAGCCGCGTCTCATGTTCTCCGCTGTCTGCAGACACGGCACCTGCACGCTTGCGGCTGCTGGTGTGGCAGTGTTGGAGGCGGTGTCGCCATTGTCGCTGATGATGCTGATGCTGTCGCTGTCTCTGTCGATCTCGCTCTCCTCACACTCACGTACCAATATCTCCTTCCAGGCGCCGGAGTCCACCAACCGGACAACACTCCAGATGGTGGCATTGCTCAGCCGATCACCAAAGATCGCCATAGCAACCTGGCGGCTTACAGTGCAGGCACCGGCACCTTCACCTTGCGGCTGAAGTAGGCGAACACCTCATCAGTGACCGGGATGTACGTCGGCATGCAATTGGTCAGCCTCACGGACAACCGTATGGACTGAAAACACCAGTAGCAATCCGGTAGCCCACTGCCTGGCTTGATGCTGGCAAGCGGGGTCACCGGTACGTGGTCAATGTTGTGCAGTGTTAGGCCAAACGAGTCATGCTTCCCAGAGCTGGAGAAGGCTTTGGTCACCATGATGCCCTTCTTGGGTGACTCGAAGCTGACCAGCTGGTGCGGCCTGTGGCAGTAGTGGACTCCCGCCAGAGAGGTATCGCTGAAGGAGGCTGACAAGCAAAGGGTTGCTCAGGTCGACCTGAGGCAATCCACCGTGTCCACCGTGGGTGGCTCTCGTACTACCGGGTATAGCGACCATCGTTGCCATGGCCTCAGAAAAGGTGACGGCAGCCATGACGCCAAGACCATCAAACCTTCCCTTGTGAACACCAACACACGCGTCCTCTACCCATCCGGACTGCCAAAGACCCTGCAGGCGTCTGGCCAAACATTAAAACAATGGGCGAGCGTGAACCATCTGCGAGCACGTGCACGATTCGTATGGCTGGCAATCGGGTCGCGCAGCAACCGGAATCCCTCCCAGTCATTGAGGGCTGCCGGCACCAGCCCCACCACCAGCCCCACGTCTAGACGAGTATGCACCACAAAGTCCTGGCCCTGACGAACTCGGCTCAGCTTGTACAACTAACGTTGACGCCGGGTCCCGCAAGAGATGAGCACTCGAAGCGAACTAGCCAGGGTACGCCTTCTGTCTTCTTGCAACGTATCTCGCAGCTCCATTCTTCACCAGAGGTCGCCTCAGCCGCGGACAACGCGAACAGGATAAGGGATAATCTCCGTGCCAGCAAGTCCGCTCTTCTCCCAGCAAGCCGCCCAGGGATGCCCGGGAGGAAGTGTTTCCGGCAGCTTCACAGGAAGAGGAGGCCCCTCCTTCGGCACGGTCGACAAGTAGAGAGCTTGAAGCCCTTTCTCGCGCTCTTGCGCTGATTTAAATGGTTTATTGTCTGGCTGGCGCGACGTCTGTTTTTTCGGCTGGAAGAATCGGAAAAGAAACATTTGGAAGACGCTTCGCGATTGTAATTTGGACAGTGCTAAAAGATGCATAGTATGTTATGCGTACCGTATGCTGGTTGCAGAGCAAAAGCATGCTCGATGCCAGTAAAGTACGGCACGGAGTTTTCAATCCGAGAGGTCCTCCGCACTGGAAGCAAACACTCATCTGTTTTATGCATATGCATATAGCTCCTGGCACTTGCATCTAAAAATTACAAGGATTGGCAGGATGCCTCGTTCGGGCCCACCTCGTCCAAGCACGGCTCCCCAACCCACTCGGTCTACCCGTAAGTACGGCCATACTTAGCTCACAGGGGTGGACCCCTCACCGAGCAGGGGAGCGAAAGAACGTGGTCCAAAATCCATTTACGCCTACGCCTTGCCCGCAATGCGGTCCTAAAGCCCCCAGCGCCAAGCCTGCATGCGGTCGAAGAAAGTGTGGCAACCATCCCGCGCAGCACGCGGCGGGACTAGGTACGGTGGACTAGTACGAGCAGTAGCGTGGCACGCAGCGCCCGTGTGAGGACGAGGCAACTGCGCTTCTGTCCCCTCCCTTACGCTAGGGTATATGTGACCGCAGGCTAGGGCTGTGTGGCCTAACACGGTCCCTACCGTATGTGCGCGGTATAGATGTATCAACACGCATATATACCCTATGGCATACGCCGCCCTGGTAACCGGCTAGTAATGAAATGTTTTGCTAGTAATGAAACAGGCCCATCTACTCTGGTAAAGCCAGTAAAGCCTGGTTACCAGACCCTCGTGAATGTCTTCGGACCTGGTATGTATAGTGAGCCTGGTTATCAGGTTACAAAAGGTTAAGGTAGCTGTGAACACGAATCAACTGCTGATATATGAAGGCATGTCAGTGATTCATGAACTAATAAACTTGTTTCCTACGTACTGAAAGCCACCCGTGTAACATTTGCAATTGCGCATGCACGTACCCAACAAGACACGCAACCGTGCATGCAAACCCCACCCCCCATCAGTCACATTGTTGGAACCATGCGCAAAGTCTGTACTAAAGTGGCTCTGCGGTTGTGAGCTGCCTAGAAGCGCTTCATCGTGTTTCTTGCCGACCCGCGGGACAGAGAGCATACAGGGGTTGCGTTAATAAGTGTGCTGGATGCGTAGCTGGTGTGCCATAATTTAATATCGCTACATGGCGCATTATGCAGAATGCCAGTGAAACATGACAGCCTTTAAGCGCTTAGTCGGAACCATGCAAGTACCCATTCCCTCAAGCGCCGAACATGTAGGCGCCCGGCCGCACGGGGATAACTATAAGAACATTGTCTGGCGGTTACGGTCATTGTATGTCCATTAATCTTCGCCGTCCGCTCATGCGGCATGGTCGACTTGAGACAATAGACGCCGCTCACGGCTTCATTGGCAAACGTGCCCACCAATTGTCATCCCTAAGTTTTTAGCTATTCCTTATACAGATGATACTCGTTACTCGACTCGCCTAGCAGCGATACTGAGCGGCGATATTGTTGGCCCGTTTGCTTAGACTAATAACAACCAAAAAAATAGTAATGCCGTTTCAGTAATTTAGTTACGCACCGCGCACGGATATCTACCATGGCGGCATAGGTTGGGGAACTCTACTTTCAAATCGTGCGGAAACTGGCGAGCACTAGGTATTGTCTTCGTACTGGGCAGACCCCTGTGTTTGCCCTCATGACTTGACCGGACAAGAAGCGACTAGAATGTCGAGACCAGTGGTGGTACGTGCAAGCTCTGGGATGTTGTGTTCGGATGTGCCTTCAGGGTTAAAGGCTGTTTGTACCTTTCGCAGTCAAGATACGTTCCACAAGTTCCAGACGGCTGGGTAAAATGCCCTCGTTTTGGCGATCCTCGCTTCTTTGAGGGACTCAACATCATTCCATGCAAGGTAAGGCCAGGGTGTTTTTGCTGGCATCGAGCATTATGGAGCGCGGCAAGCGTGATATGCATCGTATTTCTCTCGCTTGCAGGTGCCGCTCAGTCGCAGGTTCGACCAGCAGGTGGGCCCATCTGGACGATGGACGCTTGCGGACGCCATCAAACAATTCCGGGGCTATGGCATGGAGGTGAGGCTTGGAAGTCGCTATCGGGGATTGGGGACAAGCGGCTTCAAAGAATATGCTGGAGCAGTTACCGTGAGGGGGCCAGGTGAGAAAAAGAGCTCCCGGCTGCTCCCGGCTGCTCCAGGGCTGACAAAGTAGCCTATGCCTCCCCAGCGCGAGCCACCCACCGCTAGCCCGTCTAAGACAGCTGAGCCCCGGGCCGCCTGACCAAGGGGCTTGCAATGGCTCCAGCGGGGGACCCGCGGCGGTGGAAGTGGCGGTGGGAGGGGAGCTGCCTTGGACCTCTGTGCCAAGGACACCGCTACACATGCGCGCTGTCTGCGGATGCGGGGGCGGGGCCGGGGCCGGGGGCGGACCCGAGAGGCAGCGGGCACCAGCAGCAGCCTGGGGAGCAGCAGGCGGCGCAGCCGGGGTGGTATGGGAACCCGGGGGGGCTCCTGCTGCTGCCCAGCTGCCCCCCCAGCTGCAGCGCAAACCCAGCAGCCTGTGTCCTGTCTCCCAGTCCCCTTGCAGCAGCAGCAGCAGCTGCTGCTCCTGGCATGAGGGCATGAGGACCTCCTCCTTCCAATACAGCCAGTAACCGTCCGCCTGCCGCCCTGCCGTATGTGTTGGGCTCCATGCTCGCCTCACTGCCTCTGCCGCTACCCACAGCCTGCATCCCTCCCCCCAACCGCTTCTACCCTGGCCCAACCCCCGTTCGTTGGTCGGGCTATCTTCACCCCATCCCCGCTCCCTGCGTCCCCCTCCCACCTCTCCAGGTGGCGACTGTGATCGACCTGACCAAGAGCCGCAACTACTACGACTTTGGGCTGGAGATGGAGGAGCTGGGCTGCCCGCCCATCAGCTACTTCAAGGTGGGGGGGCCGGGGGAGCGGAGTTGGGTGGGGGTGGTGTGTATAGGGTCACTCGAAACTGGCTGGTGCCCAATAGGAGATACAGTAAAAGGGAAGGGTTGGTAGCGCTGCGTGAAGATGTGTTTGGGGCGCCCAGCGGGAGAGGGAGGGGAGGAGGCGGGCAGAGGCAGAGGCTGGGTTAAGGATCTTCCCTCAAGGCGGGAGGGAGGCCTGAGTCGTGAGTGCCGTCATGTGTGCCAGTGACCCACTTCGCACATCCCTCCCTGGTCCCTGCCACACCCGTCGCTGTCTGTCCCGCAAACCCATCTCCCCCCCCCCGCTTCTCCCTCCTGCCTCCCTGTCCCCCTCCTCACCGCCTATCCCCACTGCTTGCCCTGACTTGTGGCTTCCTATCATTGCTTGGTCGCTTCCGCCTTGCACTCCCGCCCCCCCGCCAGATCGAGTGTCGGGGTCGCGGCGAGGCGCCTCAGCCCTCCGAGGTGAACGAGGCGGTGTGGCACATCTTCACGCACCTGTCCGACCCGCTGTGCCGGGACAAGTACATCCTGCTGCACTGCACGCATGGATTTAACAGAACGGGTGGGGAGGGGAAGCTGGGGGGTAAAAATAAAGAAACACTGACAAACTGAATGTAGCTGAAGCTGGGGGGGGGTGGGTGGCGGCAGAGGGGTTGGACGAGAAGTGAAGCAAGCGGAGTCCCATTGCTTGCTCCCGACTCATGCAGTGAGCGCACACGGGAGACACTGAGGGGTTGGGGGAGGGGAGGGGAGGGGAGGGGGGGCAGAGATACCGCATGGGGGGAGCTGCGTTGGGAGTCACATGTCACACCTGCAAGCCAGGTACCGTATCGACGCCGCCCGCCGCACCCACTCTTCCCTTCTCCTCTGTTTTGACGCCCTTCATGCATACCGATAACAAACCCTCTCCCCGACTCACTCTTATTGTACTCAACACCCCCCCAGGCTACGTGATCGTGTCGGCGCTGGTGCGGCTGTGTCGCGACCGCGGCATGAGCGTGCGGCGGGCGCTGCAGCGGTTCGCGGAGTCCCGCCCGCCCGGCATCTACAAGGACCACTACATCAACGACCTGTGCAAGTACTACCACGAGACCAGGTGGGGGGCGGGAGGGGGATCCCCATAGGGGGCCGGGATAATAGGGGGAATAATAGGGGGAAGGTGGGGGCTCCGTGTTTCCTTCCCCTTCCTGCCCACCTGCTTTCCTGTCGTGCCTGCCTGCCTGCCCGATTCCCCGTCACCTGCTGTTCCCTCCCGCTGCTCCCTCTGGGGATGGCGCCCGTCATCTCCCTCTCCTCCTGTACACATTGGGGTATATATTCTTCTTTCCCTCCTCCCCCTCCCCCTCCCTGCAGGGACCCCCGCATCATCACCCCGCGTGTGCCCGCTTGGAAGGGCAACGATGACGCGGAGGACGCAGCGGATGCGGCCAACGAGGAGGCGGGGGCGGAGGGGGAGGGGGAGCAGGGTGCGTAAGGGGTCGGGTGGGGAAGGGTGGGGAAAATTAAATACCGGTAAGTGAAAAAACGAGCCCCTACATCCCACATCTCGGCTCATGCAGTGAGAGAATTCGGAGACACTATCCCAGAAGCACGCAACTCAGTTTACTTACCGAATGGTGGTGATGCTGTGAAGAGGAGGACCGTCCAGCCGTCACGCTGCTACACGACGACCTCTGCATCCTCCTGACACACCTCACACCTCTCCAGCCCCTAGTGTTGCCATTATCACTCAACGCATGCTTATTTTCTTCGTTCCCGCTCCTCCCCCCTCCCCCCTCCCTTTCTCTCCCTCCCTTCTCTCCCCCCCCCAGCCGCCCCCTCCCGACCCGAGGTGCACCACGAGGACATCTGGTCCATCGGGGAGCGGGTGTGTGCGGCGGAGGCGGAGTTCGTACAGCGGCAGGTGTGTGGGGGGGGCGGGAGATGTGGGGGATAGGGGTAGGAGGCGGAGGCGGGATAGGGGGCAGCGGGGGCAGCAGCGACAGGTGGGAAGTGCCACCACCACCACCACAGCAACCACAAGCCCCCCCCACACACCTATTGCAGCAGGCTTCAGGAAAACGTTCACATGCTGCCCAAAACCTCTTTTGCCCCAACTCGAACGCGCGCACTCCCTAACGACAGGTGTGCCTGGTGCTGCCTTTCGACGGCGGCCGAGGCGGCCACCCGCACCACCCGCAGCAGCTGCGCTTCCCGGGCATGCAGCCGGTGTCTCTGTCGCTGGACCGCATGCGGGACCTGGTGGACAGGCGGTAAGCGGGTGGCAGGCGGTGATAGGGGGGGGGGTAAAAACAGAGAGAATGGGGGTGGGTGGAAAAAGTAAGGAAAACTGACGAACTGGATGACGAGGGAGGGAGGGTGGGGAAGGGGATGGGGAAGGGGGGAGGCGTGTGTGTCTATTGTGTGTGTTTTGGAGGGGGCACGTGGGTGAGACACGAGACCGCATCCTCGGTGCGACTGTGACTGGTCCGACGGATTAGCTGGCGCGCAGGCGAGAGAGGGGGAGGGAAAGCGGGGCCCAGTCTTAGCTGCCTGCATGCTTCTCCCTCAGCCCCGTTGCGTTGACCCGTCTGCTGATCCCCCGCTTCATCACCTCCGCCCTCTTCCCTCCCCCTCCCCCTCCCCTCCCCTCTTCCCTCCCTCCCCTCCCCTTCCCCCCGGCAGCTACCACGTGACCTGGAAGGCCGACGGCACCCGCTACATGGTGTTCATCCTGCCGCAGGGAACCTACGTCATGGACCGCTCCTTCAACGTGGTGCGATGCGAGATGAGGTTCCCATGCGGTACGGCAGGGGAGGAGGGGGGGGTGCGGTACGACAGGGGGGAGGGGGGGTGCGGTACGGCAGGGGGGGAGGGGGGGTGCGGTACGGCAGGGTTGCGGAGGCAGAATGTGGCGGGTTGGCGAAGAGGGGCGGGGGGGTGTTGGTGCAATAGAGGGGTTGCTGGGTGTTGGGTGTGTTGGGTGGTTACCCGCTACAGCCACCGCCATCCGTAGACACGACACGTGACACGGGCGTGTCAAACCCAAATCCCTCCTTCCCCCTCGTTGCCTTAACACCCCCTCCCCTCCCCTCCCTTTTCCTCCCCCCCTCCCCTTCCCCCTCCCCCCCTGCCTCCCCCCTGCCGCCCCCCTCGCCCCAGCCCAGGCACCCGGCGCCCCCCCGCCGGCCAGCGCGCCATGTACCCTGTTGGCAAGCCGCACGCGTGCACGCTGCTGGACGGGGAGATGGTGCTGGATGTGGACCCCGAGGGGCGCCAGCCGCCGCGGCTGAGGTACCTCATCTACGACGTGGTCATGATTAACAGCACGCCGCTGCTGGAGAAGCCGTGGAAGGTGCAGGGGGAGGATAGGGGGGAAGGAGGGAGGGATGGGGGTAAGAAGAGGAAACTGACGAGGCTTCACATGGGTTGCATGGGAGGAGGGGGGAGGATAAAGGGGAAACTCGGGGCTTTGGCTAACTGGGGTTGCGCTGGAAGGGTGGGCAAAACCCTGATGGAGGAGCGCATGGGGGGTGCCTTGTCGCATGTCGCAAGTGTATTTTCTCCGCTTCACCTCCTTCCCACCACTACCCCCCCACCGGTCTCCTCCCCCCCACCCCCAGGAGCGCTACCGCGCCATTCCCACCGACATCACCAACCCGCGCGACGCGGAGCGCAAGTACATCGAGAACTGGCGCCACCGGCCCTTCGACCCGGCGCGCGCAGAGTACGGCACACCCCCTCTGTCGTACGACTACTCCGCGGAGCCCTTCAGTGTACGGCAGAAGCCCTTTTGGCCGGTGTGGCAGATTGAAAAGGTGTTTGAGCGGTTTCATGACCCGCACAAGGTCGGGCACGAGAGCGACGGACTCATCCTGCAGGGTGAGCGGGGGGGTGGGAGGGGGGATGGAGTAGGAGGTGGTGGGAGAGGGAGGGGAGCAACGAGGAGGAAGAGGGGGGTGAAGAGGAGGCTCGACTAACCATGCCGGGCGGGTAGAGGAGGGCTGAGAGGAGGCCACAAAGGCCAGTGTTTCCTCGCACCGGCTCGGCTACAATACCCAAACCACCCCCACCACCCGGGTTCGTTCACCACTTTCTTCCTCACCACCTCCGGCTCCCTGGTGCCGCCACCCCACCGTAACATTCAACGCATGGTTCCTCTTCCTCTCCCTCTTCCTCCTCCTTCCAACGCACCCCTGCAATTACAGTACGTTCCGCCTCGCAGCCAGTTTTCTTAACACACACACACACGTGTTTTCTTACCCCCCCCCCTCCCCCAGGCTACGAGGACGCCTACGTTGCGGGCACCTGCGAGCAGCTGTACAAGTGGAAGTTCGCGCACATGAACAGTGTGGACTTCCTGCTGCAGTGCGCCACGGTGCCGGCAGCAGGCGGGGGAGCGGAGGGGGGCCGGGTGCTGGACCCCTCCTCCCCCGAGCCGCTGCAGCTGCTGCTGCTGGATCAGGCCAAGTCGCGGGGCGGGCGGAGGGCGTTCGTGCCGCTGAAGAACGTGGACCGGGAGGGTGAGTCTTGAGAGGGGGGAGGGAGGGTAAGAAATTAAGTGACACTGACGAGGGGGGGGGGGGGGGGAGGGAGGGTGGCTTGCATGAGGCAGGTGGGCGGGGGGGTGCGGACGAGTGTGGCGGGGTATCATTCGCCTGGGGCGCGTGGGGGAAGGGGGCGGTAAGGGGAGGGGGTGGTAAGGGGATGGGGTGGTAAGGGGATGGGGTGGTAAGGGGTTGCTTCCTACGCTTCCTACGCCGGGAGCTGCCCCCTCCCCCCATGCAACATGCAACCAATGGTGGAGCCTGTCATGTCTACGCTTCGGCAGTGAGGCAAGCGTTAGTTCATTCATTGGTTGGCTTCTTCCCCTTTACTTCAAGACTCTGACCCCGTCCTCTTCCTGCCCCTCCTCGTCCCCCCCCCCGCCTCCCTCCTCCCCAGGCCACTACCGAGTGGAGTTCCCGCCCGATGTGGACCCGCTGACCTACGAGGGGCGGCTGGTGGAGTGCACCTTCGACCGCGGGCGGGGCGTGTGGCTGTTCATGCGGGAGCGCAAGGACAAGGACACGCCCAACGGGGACCGGGTGTATCACAGGGTGAGGGGGGGAAAGAGTATTACCCAAACGACAAACAAGTCGACGAGCTCCCGGTGATGGAACCGAAGTAGTCGAGGAAGGGGGGCGGGGAGAGCAAGCTGAAGCATGGGAAACCACAGGTTGGGGCAGAACAGTGGGGGTGAGGAGGGGGGGGGGGAGGAGAGGAGGTGGGCGTGGGGGTGGGGAAGGGTGGGGGAGAGTAGGAGAAGGACGGTTGGGTGGTAGGGGGTGGTGTGGCCTTGTCATACAGCTCGTCAGTTTCCTCTTTCTACACCCCTCCCCTCTCCCTCCCCTCCCTCCCCGTCCCTCCTGCTCCCTACTGCTTTGCCCTAACCTGTGGCTTCCTATGGTTCGGTATTGTCTTTTTCCCTCCCCCCTCCCCCCCAGATCAAGGAGTCCATCATCAACCACGTGGACCAGGAGCTGCTGGTGGGCACCCTCAAGCAGGCGCTGCTCGCACAGCCCTGCTACGCAAACGACCGGGCGCTGCTCACACCGCAGCAGCTGGAGCAGCTGAGGAGGGAGGTGGAGGCGTGGCAGCGGAACATGCGGGTGCGGGGGGGGGAGGGGTGCGGGTGCGGGTGCAGGGGTGTTTGGACCGGGCTTACTGGTGTTGCTGGTGGCTTAGTGTTACCGTATTGGGCCGGCCACTGCTTGCCGCCCCCCAGGACCTGCAGCAGCTTGCATGCCGTACTGGTACTGCACTGTGAATCCCATCCCGTTGCGAACCCTCCCTGCCACATAACACCTCCCTCCCCCGCCTCCGCCTGCTCATTCACATCATTGGGCATTCTTCTTTCCCCCCACCTGTGCTGTCAGGAACGGGAGGAGCAGGAGGCCGCAGCCAAGCTGGCGGCCGAGCGCGCCAACCGGGGCAGGGGCGGCGGTGGAGGTGCCTCTGGGGGCCGAGGGGCCGTACACGATGAGCATGACGGCGGCGGCAGCCCCGGCGGTGGCGGAGGCGGCTTTGACGACTTTGATGGCTACGATGAAGCGGGTGCTGGCGGAGGCGGGGCGTACGGCGGCGGCACATACCGGGTCTCGAATGCCGTACATTCTGGGGATGGTGACGAGGAGGAGGAGGGGGAGGGTGGTGGGCATCACCACCACATGGTGGGAGGGGAAGGGGGTGGAGGAGGAGGGGGAGGAGGCGAGGGGCTGGGCAGGCCGCGGCAGCGGTTGACGCGTTGGGATCCGCGCGAGGAGACTGCGGAGCCGGAGGTGTGCCCCATGTATGAGGGCTATGGGTTTGATTGAGTGGTGGGGTAAAATAAGGAAAACTCAGCGGTCGGGGGGGGGGCAGGTCATCAGGCGGATGGGAACAGCCGCGGCTTGCATGTCCGCATGCTTGCTGGCACCTTTGGGAGGCGGGTGGGGGTGTTATGAGCAGGTGGTGGAGGTAGGGAGGGGGCAGGTGGAGGGAGGCGGCTTCTGGAGTGGTGTATAGGGCCGAGGCGCTCTTGTAGCCCTTTTTGATGAATGGCTTTGGATTTCGGACTGCGGATTTCGGACTGTGGCAGGGCACCTAGGGCGGGTAGGGGTGGGTAGGGGGAAGGGCTGGAAACGGAAGACTTGCAGGCATTCTAACAGGTAGACACACACAAACCTAGTAGTACGGTAGTGTGCTCCACACGCGATCGCAAACGCTGCTGCTTCAAATACGAAAGTGGTGATACAACCTGCAACAGGTCCAGACTCTACCAGGCTCTACCTCTACGTACCTGTGACCGCTGGCTGAGGTGCTATTGTAGTAGCTGGCCTTGACCACACCTACACAGACTTCCTAGATGGGGAAATGATGCTGTAGAAAGGAAAGAAGGCGTGGCCCGGCTGCCGCTGCCCGTGGATGTTTCAAGGGGGTGCGTCGGTAGGGCATGTACGCCGGCATGACGGGCGTTGGTCCGTTCTGGTGTTTCCTGTGCCGCGTGGCTCTCGGTGGTTCTAAGGCTATGAGTGCTTGATGTGGTGAAGATGGTTTGTGGCCTTTCTGTTGGTCACGGCTCCCTGTGTTGTGCTCGTTTCGCCCGGCTGGATCCAACCAACCGTCTCACCAGTATACCCCGGTCTGGCCAAGGCCGGCACTGGCAAAGCACGGCCTACTACATTGCAGAGTCATCATTTTGCTTATTTCAGCGATGCGGATGGCAACAAAAGAATTCGCAACTCGCAAAACGGACAAAGCGCCAGAGGCTGAAGACGTTATTGCACAGAACGAGTACCCCTATCAGTTCATATAGCAAAGCCTCGAGGGGTACGCGCGCTAGAACTAGCGCTCACAGTGTAGCGTTTGCCTTCGCTTGCAGCCTTGCACGGCATGAGCAAACGACAGCGCATGACAGATGGACGCGGAACTGCGGTGTATACTCTCTTTCCCAATTAAATACATAACTATTACACACACTGAGTCGGATAGATGGGAAACCAGACATCTGGTGAGGCCGGAGCGTCCGCAGAGACCGAAGACAGCGTGCTGCCTATAACTGAAGCGCCTGCGCAAGACAACACATCACGGCACCTTAGAGAGCAAGACAGTCTAGTTCGTTATGACACAGTCACAATTGATAAAAATGACGTCGTCAATTTACCTCCGCGTGAGGGTCTTCGAAACGACATTCCCAGAGGTGCTCCAGGACTGGGCTCCGGAGCAGATACATCTGCGGGCGGGTATCCTATTAGCTCTCCATTGGGGCTCGCGGCAAGTGCTCCTTCGGTCAGTTACCTAGCCCAGCGGACAGTTGAAGATGCGCACGTCCCGGAGCAGGTAAGGTCCCAATTCTTACATTGCCAATCTCTATGATGCACCTTCAACGTGCTCGAGCTAAATTGCGAATCCGCTAATGTCTTCAGGCGGCCAGTGGCCTGCCTCCTCGCAATCCATCATCTCGGACCTGGGAAATGGACCGGCAAGGGGCCGGCCCTCCCCTCCGCCCGCCGGGTCCCCAATCCTTGTCGTCTATCAACTCACTCACGGCGTGGGACGTGGAAGCCGAAGGTAGGTTTGAAGCCACCAGGGTCCCTGCCTCAAGCCTGACTGAAACCTCCTCGGCTTGGGGACGCTGCTATGTACCCATGTTACCACTTTCCACCGTATCGCCATGCGCCATGAACACTGTGTCCCTGGATAACCATCCCACGGGTACCACACACCGCGTCAACCCAACACCTCCCCGCCCCTCCCTCCAACGTTCTGCTGCAGCCTTGCCGCTGCGTCCGCCACCGCCCCCTCAACCACCGCCCCCATCCAATCCCGCAACCACCTCAACCACCGCCACGCCCATCACCTACATGACCGTGTCAGACGTAGAAACCGCCGACGAACTAGCTGACGCCGCCACTGAAGCAGCCGCAGCAGCAGCAGCGCCTCACAAGCGCTCCTCCTCACAACCGCCCTCCCCGTCACGGCCGCCACCCAAGCACCACAACCACCACCACCACCCGCAACAACAACAACACCAGCCCCTACTCCAAGACGCGGACGACGTTTCCTCCATGCTGTTGCAGCCACGTCCCTCCTCCGACAGCTACGGCAGCGGCCCACGTTCCCTCGGACTGCGACCCCGTGAAGCCCGTCCGGACAGCCCCAGCTGGCGCCGCAGCAGCAGCCGCCGCCGAGTCGGCAGCTTTGGAAGCTTCGGCGCTGCCAGCGGCGACAGCTGCGGCGCACGCATCAGCGAGGAAAGCGACACCGAGGCTGCCTGCCGTACCCGGGGGCTGGATACCATGACCTCGCCGCGCGGCGCCCACAACACGGGTACTGCAGCGGCGGCGGTGGCGAACGCATCCATGCTGGCAGCCGCAGCAGTGGCACCGTTACCAGCAGTTGCAGCAACGGCGGCGGCGGCGGCGTTAGCGCCTGTCGGTCCGCCTCCCTTGCGGGTGCCGCCGCACAACGTGATGCCGCTGCAGGTGCCCTCCCCCGCCGGCGCACCAGCAGCCGCAGCCACCACGCCCACCCCCACCACGGCGACACGCGGGGGCGGCAGCAGGTGGGGGCAGATGCTGACCGGCAGCGGCAGCTGGGGCCCCGCCTCCTCCTCCGTCGTCGCAGCAGCCGGAGGCGGCCGCAGGGGGGGCGGTGCAGCCAGCAGCACGGGTGTGGCTGCAGGCGGGAGGTCAGGGCGGGGGTGGGACGTCGGGTCGTCGTACGGCGTGTCCCCCGCTGACTCCTCCGTGGCAATGTGGCTGAAATCGCCGTCCGAGTTTCAGCCGCCGGGAGGAGGAGGAGGAGGGGCCGGTGCGGCAGCAGCGGCGTCGCCGGGGGCGACGGGTCGCCTGAGCTACAGGGCTGGCTCCCCGCTGGGGTCACCGCCGCCGGGAGCGGCGGCGGGCTGGATGGCGGGGGTGGCGAGCGGCGGCAGCCGAGGCGCCAGCGGCGATGGCAGCGGTTTCGGCATCAGCTGCAGCGACGGCAGCGGCCTCAGTGCCGGCGTCCCCGGCCACGACTCCTCCCTGGCCGCCAGCGAGCGAGGCGGGCGCAGCCACCAGGGCAGCGGCATGGGTGGGGGCAGCAGAGCAGGAGGAGGAGGAGGAGGAGGCGGGGGCGGCATCAGTTGGGGGGAGGGCAGCGGCCGGTCCGCTGGCAGCGCCATGGAAACCAAGGCAGGTGCCATGCCGCCCCCTCCTCCGCCACCGCAGTACCAGCAGCAGCTGCTGGGCGCTGCGGTGGCTGCTGGGGCGGATTCGGGGCCGGGAGCGGTGGTGCGGGTGGTGCCACGTCACAGCAGCAGCGGCAGCGCCTCCTTGTTCCCCGCCTCGCCTAGCGGCAGCAGCAAGGCGGAATCCGGCGGGGCTGGCGCCCCAGCGGAGGGCGGGAAGCCGTCCAAGGGCAAGGCCGCGAAGAAGGGGCTGCTGCAGAAGCAGCGCTCGCTGCCTCAGCTGCCGCGACGGATAGAGGAGCAGCTGCAGCTGCACCAGGAGCGGCTGCAGCAGCGACAGCAGGAGCTGCAGCAGCAGCTGCGGGAGGAGCTGCAGAAGCGAGGACCGCTGTGGGCTGAGCCCATGCTGCCGCCGCACCTGGCGACCTCGGTGCCCGGGCAGCGACCGTGGGCCCTCTCGCAGCAGCTGGCGGCGGCAGCGCCACCACCGCCACTGCCGCCACAGCAGCAGCAGCAGCCAGAGGCTCAGCTGCCGCCTCCGCTGCAGCAACAGCAGCAGCAACCGCAGCAGGAGCAGGAGTCACCAGCAAAGCAGCCCCCTCGGGAGCCGCCGCCGCAGCAGCAGCTGCCATTCCTGCCGCCAACGCGACAGCAGCAGCCGCAGCCACAGCAGCCGGCAGCACATGAGCTGATGCCACCGCCAGAGCGGCTGCATGCGCCGCAGCTACAGCAGCCACAGCAGCCGCAACCGCAGACGCTGCTACAGCAGCACCAGAACCAGCAGAAACAGCCCACCCTGCTACAGCAGCTGAAGACAGCAGAACCATCCCAACACAAGCAGCCACCGCTGCTGCCACAGCCATTGCTACAGCAGTTCATTCCCCCGCAGCAACAACCTCGTCAACAACTCCAGCACCATCAGCAGCAACTACACGGCCCAATCAAAAGGCCGCCACCGCTGGAGCAGCAGCAGCAGCAGTCGCAGATCGCCTCGCTGCCATCCCTACCGCAGCACCACCATCACCAGCCGCCGCCGCAGCAGCAGCAACCACCTTCGGCACCCCAACAGCCTGTACTGCAACCACCTTCGCCACAACAGCAGCCGGGTCCATTGCAACAGCCCTCGCCCTCGCAGCCACAGCAGCACCAGCCGCCCTCCTCTCCCCAACAACAGCCACAGCAGCAGCAACTGCGCGCCTCCCCAGCCAGGCAGGGAGCTCGCGGCTCGGTACGGCTGCTACCTCGCTCTGGTAGCACGGGCAGTGCGCTGCAGGCGGGCACCCTAACCGGGGCACAGGGGGGCGCGGGCGATGGAGCACCGGCGGGTGCGCTTGGTGGTGCTGAGCCGGGTGTCCTGATGACTGGTGGAGAGGGTGGGGCGCAGGCAGGCATCCTGTCCGCAGGGGACATGGGTGCAGCTGGGGCGATGGAGCGTCGCGAGCAGCTGCTACCCCTTGCTGCCAATGGTGCTGCTGCTGCTGCGGCGGCGGCGGCAGTGCCTGCGACAGCGGCTGCTGCTTCCGCTGGGATGAACCGGAGTGAGGAGGTCCATGATGGGCACATACACGGCACTGTGCTCGCGATGACGACGACGACGACAGCGTCTGTTTCGGCGGCAGTTGCGGATGCGTTGGTGGGAAGGCCCCCAGCATCACCACCTAAGCCACGTCAACAGCCGCCGCAGCAGCAGCCAGCAACGCTGCCTTCACCACCGCCGCGATCGCCTTCACCGTCACCACCCTCACCGCCGCAGCAGCAACAACAGCAAGCCCAGCCCCTGCCCCAGCCTCAACCCCAGCAGCTCCGACCCCAGCAGCCGCCGCCTCAGCAGCGGCAGCCCGTGGCGGAGGCGACAGACTATCGTGTCCTGCAGGCGCCGCCCCCTCCGCCGCAAACAGCGCCGTCCGCCGGCGTCTCGGCCGGTGGCTACATCACCACCACTGCGATGCACGCAGCAGCCGGCAGCGCTGCAGCAGCAGGCGTCACCACACCATGTGGCGGCCCCCAGCTCGGGGCCGGCGGCGGCCGGAACCCCCTCCTCCAGGGGCCTGCTGAAGCCGTGCGCCGAGTGGAGGGGCACCCCGCCTCGGGCACTCCCCGGGCGACAGCAGGTGAGGGCGGACTGCAGGGGGCGGAGGCGGCGGCAGCAGCAGAGGCACTGCGGGCTGCAGCCCTGCTGGAGCCAAACCCCTTCCTGAGCTGGATGGCGGGCGGCAACTTCGCCGGAGGGGGCGGTGCGGTCCTGGCGCACAACACGGATGCCCCGTCACCGCTGCTGCTGCATGCGGGCCGTGCGGTAGCTGCGGCAGTGACGGAGGAGCAGGTGAGGGCGGCAGGGTCGAGCGAGCGCCGGCTGGACAACGCTGCTGAGGTGGGGTCGCAAGGGGCAGCCGCGAGAGCTGCTCCCCTTCCTCCTGCTGCTGCTGCTGCTGCTGCTGCAGCGGTTGCGGCTGTCCAGCTGCCAGTAGCGCCAGTACCGCGCAGTTCACCGCCGACCGCTTCCGCCACCACAGCACCACCCGCAGCCACCACCGTAGCCACCGCCACCATCCCAGCAGCAGCAGTCACCGCGCCACTGCCGCAGGCGCAACCGCTACCGCTGCCACCGCATGCTGCCTCGGCCGCCTACGAGGCCCGCGAGCCCTCCCTGGCCCCCACCAACTCCTCCGACGTGCCGCCAAACAACCTCCTGTCCGGCTTCTTCCGCACCTCCACCTCCACCGCCTCCTCACCCAGGGACTCAGCCCGGGGCTACCCGCCGGTCGCCAGCACCTCTGCTGCTGTCCCGCCTGCCCCCCAACCTGCAGTAGCGGCGACAGCACTAACAGCAGTAGCAGCACAAGCGGGCATGACTAGCCAGCTTGCTCCCAACCCCACCCCTACTTATCCAGTAATCTCAGGAGCGGCAGCTGTAGCGGCCATGCATCCGCACCCGACGGTCATGCAGCCACCGCAGCTGCCAAACATGCTGCCATCGCAGCCGCCACCGCCGCTGCTGCTGCCGCTGCTCGCAGCAGCCGAGTACGCGGTTCAGGCCGCCGCAGCCGCCGCTGCTGCAATTGGGCACCAGCCCATGACAGCGCCGGCACTGCTGCAGCCGGCTGCGGCCCAACTCGCTGGATACCACCACCATGTGCCCGCACCTCACCATCTGCCACCGCCGCCGCAGCAGCAGCAACCGCAGCAGGTGCTCTTCACGCCACAGCTGCCGGCGGCGGCAGCCATGTTCCCACCACCACCGCCACCGCCGCTGCCACTGCCGGCGCCACTGCCGCCGCCTGCGTCGCCCCCCGAGTCCCCGTTGGGCCTGGAGTCCGCACACCCGCGCTTCTCACCGCCGCGCCGTCCCTCACCCACACCCCGGCGAGCACCGCATCCCTCCCACGCAACTTCCCCGCACTCAACTGCCGCCCCCCCGCCATGGTCGCATGCCCCCGGGCTGCCGGGCTTCGCACCTGCCGCCGCACCTCACGCCGGCACCGCTCACCTTCACCACCATCAGGGGCCTCGGCGCTCCCAGCTCCGTGCGTCGGCTGTGGCATCCCCCGGAGAGTATCCGAGGTCACGGCAGCGGCAATGGCTTCCACCCTCTGACAGGGGCCTCGACGCCGCCGGCATGGGTAGTTATTCCTCCGAGGGAGCCGCTGCTGCTGCTGCGGCGGCGGCGGCAGCCTGGAGTCGGGCACTGCGTAGGGAGCACCTGCAGACCGCTGGGGCCGCCCGGCTGCCCACCGATGCATCTCCGTCGTCACCCTCGTCCGCCTCATGGCTTGAAGAGGAGGAAGAGGAGGCGTACCGTGTGGGAGGTAGCGTGCAAGACCGAAGAGCTCATGGACGTTTCCCTCCGGGTCCTGCAGCTGGGAGGAGGTCAGGCCAGGTTGGGGTTGGTGCCGGCCGCGTCCGAAGGAGACATGCCGGTGATGGTGGCGGCGGCAGGGAGGGGCTCCGCGTGTGGTATGAAGATGATGATGGTGATGATGACTGTGAGGAGGAGGAGGAGGAGGCCAACCAACGTCGCAAGCGGCACAGCAGGGCATCTGCGCCAGGTGGTGGCTGGTCAGAGCAGCTGGAGGGCTGCCGACCCGTGGGTCGCATGGCGCCAGCTGGCGGCAGAGAGGGTGTTGGGATGTATAATGCCACGAGGGCTGCGGCCGGGGTCCGGCAAGGCGGCGGCGGCGGTGGACATGGCGAGGCAGGCCCCCATGCCCCGGTGCAGGCGGCACCAACCCAGGTGCGTGGTGTCCCCATGCAATCCTGCCTTCCTGCCCGCTGGCAACCCAGATCCATTGGATTGCGGTGATGACGGGGGCACATCCTTGGGTTTGCACGTGTGCCGCTGGCAGAGCGCTGCCCTATCCTACCCTACCCTTCCTAATCGCCGTACTACAACTGCTTTTCCGTACCTCCCGCTGCTGCTGCTGCTCCTCCTCCTCCCGCAGGTCCAGGTGCAGCTGCAGGTGCAGGTTGACGCGGGGTCGCTGCGGGAGGCCTTCCAGCAGTGCGTGCAGTCCGCGGTGCCGGCGGTGGCGACCGCGGCGGCATCCGCTGCCGCTGCCGCCGCGGCGGCCACCGCTGCAACGAGCGGGTTGATTGCATCAACAGGTAGGGGAGCTGAGGACAGACGGGGTGTGTTGGTGGTGCAGCGGCTCAAGCGGGTAGTGGATTGGGGTGGTGGGGAGACGGGATGCCGGTGGGGTTTTTACGGGCTTGCAGGGTTGAGCCGCTCTCCTAGCACCGCAGCGCGCACAGGAGATGGGGCACCGGGGCTTGCCCGGCTTAGGGCAAGAAACACCAAGTTAAATAAGCCATGCACTGTTTCGCTATCGCAACATGCAGCCTGCACTCCACCTCACTCTCCACCGCATGGATGTTCGCGACCTGCCTACCGGATACCCAGCGGACTCCTCACTCTCCCCCCTGCCTACATGCACCTCCACCTTCGCCTCCAACGCTGCCCTGCAGGTCACGTGCCTGCTCCTCTTTCCCTGGAGGAGGGCTCCCCGACCGACTGCACCGCCAGCGGCTACGAGCTGCTGCTGGCCGGGCCCTGCAGTGCTGCAGGTGCCGCGACGGGCGGGGCGGGGGGCGCCGCCAGCACTGCAGCAGCTCTCCAGGTGGGGCAGCTGGGTGTGTGGGTGGGTGGGGATTATCGCAATAGGGATACACGTCACTTCTGCACACAGCTGGGTGGGTGGGGGCCAGGATGAAGGGCTCGGGAGTCGGAGCAGACTGCGAGTCGGCGTACTTGGAAGGGTTGGGCGTTTGGGGGGGTAGGAAACTGCAGTGAAGGGACAGCCCATGGGGGCTCATGCTCTCTCGCACTTCTCTGTCGTTCTCAGACCCACCCTGCCTGCTATTGCTATCCTCGTACTCCCCTGACACGCATGCACCCCCTCCCCAATAGGTCTTCTCCAAGGCCTCAGCCGGCGGCCGCTCCCCCTCCCCCTCCCGCGCTCCTCCTCCCCCTCCTCCCCCTCCTGCTGCCTCCCGCCCCGGCTGCTCCCACGCCGCCACCCAGACGCTCTCCCCTCCGCACCACCAGGAGGTGCAGACGGAGCCCCCGCCCCCGCCCGCACTGCCCTCCTCCTCCTCCTCACCAACACAGCAGCGCCCCGGCACTGCCGCCTCCTGGCTTCACACCGTCGGCTCAGACGCCCCTCCCGCCTCCCACACCACCATGTTGCCCGCCTCTGCTGAACACAACCCGCCCGGAAGCTACAACAACATCAACAACGCCGTCACCAGCGACACCCCGGCTCTGCATCCCGGCGGGCCCTCCCCAAGGCGCGTCGAGGCACTCCGCCGCGGCGCCATGGCTACCCCCGCGGGTGCTGCTGCTGCAGCTGTGGGGTGGCAGCAGGCGGCGGTGGGGGAGTCCTGGCAGGGCTCCTCCTCCTCCGCCTGGCAGGGCGCGGGTGCGGGTGCGGGGGCCGAGCAGGCGCAGTCACTGCTCACCTCTTGGTCCTCCCCGCCGGGTGGGGGCATGCAGGGCGGCGGCACAGCGGCTGCTGCTGTTGCTGCAGCAGGCACTGTAGCACGAGGAGGTGCAGTAGCAGGGGGAGGCGGAGGGGGAGGAGGAGCAACAGGAAGGGTGGGTGCTGCTTTCGCTGGTGAGTCGAGTGCTGCGCTGGGGGCGGCTGGTGGCACGGACCTGCGTGCCTTCGCGCCGCCCCGTCGTGAGGCGCCGCAGCAGCAGCAGTACGAGGAGGGCGGCGGAGTGGGCGCCACCAGTGCTGCCGCGCTGCTGCTGCCGCCGCCCAAGCTGGAGTTCCGCAGCCGAGTGGCGGCCAGCTTGTTTGAGGAGCTGAGGTGGGACATACACAAGCGTGCAGCTGCGGAGCCGCCCGCAAGCGCTGCCGCCGTCGCTTTTGCTACCGCCGGTCGGGGGCTGTCCGGGCTGGCGGTGGGCAAGGGGAATGGTCAGTACGGCGGCAGTAGCAGCAGCGCGAAGGGGGTGTGGCGGCCTGGCGTGGTGGGGGCTGGCGGCGGCGCTTGGGATGCCGGCGGCGGCGGCAGCCTCTTTGGCGCGGGTGCCGCTGCTGCCCCAGCCGGCATTGCTGCTGGTGGTGGTGAGAGCTACAGCCACAACCCCTACAGCTACCCCTACAACAACAACAACACCTACAACAACAGCAGCGATGATGCATACTATCCCTCCGCGCTGCCGCATATGAAGCGACAGCGGGTCTCCCCACTTGGGGAGCGCAACGCGCTGTACTTGAGCGGCAACAACAGCAGCAGCAGCAGCATTGCTCCTGCGGCGGCGGTGTGGCATGGCGCCTCCACCTCAGGTGGTGGTGCTGCCGAGGCTGGGCCCTGGTGGGACCGTGCAGTGGTGGCCCGTGCGGGTGCGGCGGACGCGCTCAACACCAACCCCCGGCTGTCACGGTTCGCGCCGCCGTCGCTGGCGGCAGCGCAGACGGAGTATCACCCACCGCAGCCCAGCGGCGCCGGGGCGACGGCAGCAATGCCGTGGTTGCAAGAGCTGGGCGGAAGCCAGATGCCGCTGATGACTACCGGTATGAATGGGGCGAACCCGGCAGCTAGGGGAGCCTCGTCGAGCAGTTGGCTGCAGGGGCAGGAGCAGCGGCCTTACCCTGGGGCCCCGCACTTGGGCCCCGCACTTTCGCCTGAGGAGCTGTTCGGGAGCGGGGATGGCCGGGCTGAGGGGTTCTGGGCGACGGAGGGGACGCGCATGAGTGCAGGGCAGGCAATAGGTGCCGAGGGAAACAGGGTTGCGGAGATGAGGGCTAGCGGGGCCGTGGGAGCAGCGGCCTTTGAGAAGAAACCTGGGTGGGGGGAAGCGCCGGGACTAGCAAAAGGGGAGGTTGCTTCCACGGATGGGGATTTTCCGGAGCCGCTGAGGTCATTTTCACCCGAAAGGCTTGAGCAGCATTCAGAAATGCTTTTGCGGTTCTTGGATGACATGGGGCAGCGTTTACCACAATAAGCCACGCCCACTTCTGGAAGGCCTTTTGCAAGGTTTTCTGGCTGAGGCGTTAAGAAATATGTAAGCTGCAGCCATGCGTGGTCACTTCCAACAATAAGCTGTTCAAAAGCGTATTACATAGGAGCGCAGACAATGGCTTATGGCTTGATGAAGCGAGCATGGGTCGTGCTCTTCTGACCCCATCCAGCAGCAATAGCGACGTCGCTGTCGATGTTGGAGTCCTCCTAACCCGCCACCGTCATCGCCACCGCCACCGCCGGGCTCCTCATCGCCGCCGCGCATGCGCTTGCTGCCAGCCGGCGCACTGCTGCTGCGGCGCCGGGGCTTGGGGGGTGAACGCACGTTGTGGTACAGCCGGCTGAGCACTTCCAGGAACATGTTCATGCAACCCATGCAACTACATGGGTACGTGCACCACCCGAGCCCGCGGTAGCGCTGTAAAAGAGGAACATGCAAGGTTGATAACTGAGCATGCGTCTCCCATTGACGTGAATCGATACACTTGACTGCGTCAGGTCGGCGAGGGAGCGCGGAATCTGGGCGCGGAAGATGAGCCAGTTGTTGAAGCGCCCCTCACCACCTCCCCGTAACACAAACACGTCCTACCAGAAGAAGGGAAAAGATCTTGTTAACGGCGTCAACATCCTACGTGCGGTCGAAGCGGCATCTGCCTCGGACAGAGGCCCCCCAGCCCGATCCGGATACGCACGGGGCCAGCTAACGCTGCCGAGGCCTGGGTTTTGTTCCTGGGTGGCCGGGGCCTGGGTGGCGGGTACGGCTCGCCACTGGCCATGAACTTTAGCACCTTCACGGCGGATCGCCATGCGCTAACACGGTCTACTACGTAGTCCACACGCCCCTGGATCTGTATGGACAGGATAAAGCTATCGAGCTCCCGGCGGGGTACACGGTATACACGCTTCCCCGCCGACTCCTGTCGTACAGCCTGCTGTACTCCTCCGATTACATCGCCGTTACCCGATAAGATTGCTTTAATATGTACTGCCCCCAGTCATAACCATCTGTAGATAGGCATCTGGTAGTCTACCAAACAGACAGCCAATTGCGCGACCACCAAGCATGGCATTGCGCTCTTCCGAATTCGCGTCGTACGCATCCTCACTGTCTGCTTGCTCTAGCACAACATGTCGCCCTCGGAATCCCCATTGTCAGACGAAGACGGCAGTAGGTCCAATCCGTAATCTTGAGACATTGAACTGAGAGTGTCTTCGTCATCCTCCATCTTGCCTTAACAGCAACACACCAGTGCGATGACGAACGATCTGATATATCCTACTCTTAATATTGGCAGTGTATTGTTCCTGCTAGAGTTAAAGCGCGGGAAGAGCCTTAGTGTTTAGGGTTGCTGAAGCTCTTGCGAGAAGGCGTTTAGGGGATGCGGTCTGTAGGAATATGACAAGAGTGAAGCAAACGAGAAAGGATAGTAGCTTTCATTTACAATGATTGCGAGATTCAATTAAGGCATGTCATCATGCGCCAACGGTTAGCCATTCCGTGTTGGACGTCAAGCGTGATCCGAGCTCCTTTAGCCTTGTATGAAGGGTATACAAACTTACAAGTCATAAAGCGTTGCTGGGAGGCTGGAGGTTTGGTGGGTGGCTCCAGGGGAAGCAAAATGGGAGCGAAGACGGGGCATCTGACTTGCACATTCCGCGCAAAGCACGCGCTTCTCCTGAACCTGCCAGTTTCTTACAGAGTTTCTCTTCCTCGATTTGCATAGACAACCTTGTATCTTTGTTAACTATAATCTTTAGCGGGCCAACAGACAGGCGCCAAGGGCAACTCCCCGACAAGGCTTGAACTTTACCCCTTTTAGACCGCCATGACCGTAAACATTATTGCCGTTCGTGCTCTCAACAATCCAGCACAATATACGGACGTAATTTCCTTCGAAATTGAGTACGAAGCGCTTACAGACCTTCAGGAAGACCTGGCCTGGAAGATTGTTTACGTGGGCTCCGCTGACAGCGACCGCTATGACCAAGTACTAGAAAACGTCGAGGTCGGACCGGTTGCACGAGGAACCTTCAAGTTCGTGCTGGAGGCCAACCCGCCCAATCCACAGCTCATTCCTGCCGACGACATTGTGGGCGTCACCGTCATCCTCCTGACTTGCAGCTACCGGGAGCAGGAGTTTATTAGGGTTGGATACTATGTCAACAACGAGTACATGGACGAGGAGCTGCGAGAGAACCCGCCCGAGCAGCCGCGGTTGGACAGGCTGCAGCGCAGCATTCTCGCGGACCACCCCCGCGTGACGCGCTTCCCGATCGCCTTTGACGCTCCCGAGGCCCCGGTGGGCGCCCAGCCCATGGAGGAGGATCCGAGCAACGCCATGCAGGCGGAGGGGCAACCGGCTGCATACTCGTCAGCAATGCCAGCTGATCCGGCGCCGGCGCAGCACTTCATGGAGGCGCAGCAGGGGATGATGTTTGACGGGCACGGTCAGCAGCCGGCGCCGCAGCAGATGTACCAGTACGTGCCGGTGCAGTAAGGGCTCGTTGCCCGTGCAGGTCATCTTGCTGTTTAGGGGTTATTCGGGGGAGTCGTGACGTCGAAGGGGATTAAGCGGATAGAGTCCAGGTGTACTTACACTACGCGGGTGTCGGCTGTCGCACCCTACCGCATACGGTGTGCCATGTCAACCGCCCACGACAGCGGCGCATAAATCAGAGCCGGTGGTCAGCCTTTGCTTATTTCTCTCGCTCGCTTATTGGTGCTTTTGTTAAGGGAGGAGGAGGCAGACGCAGCTTGTATGCAGCTTTTGTTGATACATGGCTTTGACAGCGGGGCCGGCTTATACAAGTTAGCCGCTGGGAACTCCTCCAGTAAGGACATGTACACTTTTTGTTGTTATATTAGTAGTCGTCATGGTTGAAGCTTTTGCATAGACTGGCAGGTGTTGTGTGGAAGCAAGGGACATTCGTCCTTGCGTGAAGATCGAGGCTGAGTCTATTAGAGTCATCGAATAGACTGGGACAAAGTAATAACTAGGGCTGCGTCGATAGGCCTGTACTGCGCTGTGGTAGGTTCTTGGTTACATTGGCGCCAAACGGCGGACTTTCATCGTATGCCAGTACTAAATGCTTCTGTAAAAGTATAATGAACCATTACGATGGTGTTCTTGCTGAGCCGTTGATCGCGACCGACGGATAGACTCCACGCACGGCAGTTTGTCATCCGCCACTCGTTTGCCATCATAACGGCTTCCTAAGCACACAGTGTGGAGGTTCGGATATACATATACAGCTAACGACAAGAGTGCATATTGTGTAAGCGTAGCCTTACTCCGAGACCCCGCGAGATGGCCCTCAGGCTACGCATGCCCTCAGCCGTCCATCGGTCAACTCCACTAGCAGCGGCTAGAATTTACGGAAGGTTCTCTCGGGGAGGACTGCAATGCTGCGCAGAGGCTCAGGAGCAGGCACCTGCTGTTGGCCCGCCGCAACGTACGCGAAGCAACTCCATGATTCGAAGCCTGGCAGCTGCTGTTGAGCTTACCGTGAGTGCCAAGCGCGTTTGGCATCACACCCGCCATCTCTAGCATACGTTTCCATGTATCGATGTCAAAGACGGATTTGGCGCGCCCGGCTTAATATCATGTGCGTTGATATCCCATCAGGGTCAGATACAACGATACGAAACGCTCGCTGGCAGGAGTGCAATGGTAAGTGCTTCCGTTGACCATGGCCAAAGCTGTCTTTCGCCAGTGTCCCAACACTCCCAGCGCCTGCTGCGTCTTCAGGTGGGCGTCGCAGCGGCGCTCTTCATCGAATTGGTTACCGACCACAGCATCATTTTGGCGATCAATCCCGACACCGCTTTAACATACGCTGGTGTCGTCGCGGCGACGCTCGCAGCTGCCGTAGCCGTCGCACTGGCGAGGTCGCGTATGGACTCCCTCGGTGTGGGCGGCAGCTTGGCGGTGCTGGAAGCCGTATACGCCTCCCTCACCGCCGTTCGCCGCTCTGCTGCAAGCGTCACGCAGGCGCAGGTAAGCAACCCCACATCGGAACCCACACAGCATCAGAACTCCACGACACTTACTCCTCCCTAGCTCGCTACGCAATAACTCCCTAGCTCGCTATGCCATGTTATTGCGTTTATCGCCAGGATTTCCCGAGTCCTGGCCTCCCTCCGAAACGCTGCGGCTCACCGCGCATTCCTCTACACGCTTCCCGCTCATGTGCCTCTTTCCCCGCCATGCCTCTATGCATCTAAGTTATCCTAATGCGAAATATGCATCTCTGTTAATCCCCCCTCCGCGCAGGTTGACAAGGCGGTCGACGGGCTGTTGGAGGGTGTTCTGGACAGCCGCTTTGACAGCTTCTCCATTGATGGACTGCTGGAGCCCAGCACGGACGAGGAGGAGGATGTGTGAAGAAGGGGGTCTCGATCTGTCGCTAGCATGCGGTGTTGGGGTGTATAGGGGCATGCATGCACGCTTGCATGCACGCGTTGTAGCATAAAACAGGATGGGAATGTTGGAAACCGGTAGTGGTTTGTAACAGGGGCGTACTCGGGCGTGGACGAAGGTACAAGGTTGTCGCGCTATTGCGGTAGGAGGAGGTGGCTTACCAGAGGGCTGGCCTTGAAGCCGCCGCGGTGGAATGAGGTGCGCATGTTGGTGGATGACCTTGGAATGGTTGCGAAAGCTGTTGGCGCCTGTGGTGTTCCTTGCGAGTGAGGAAAGAGGTGAGGGAAGGAACTCATTTGAGGCGTAAGCTGCCTGTTACTGTTACGGGCTGGCATCTATATTTATAGTATGTCAAATGGCTGCTGTTGACTAGAAAACCAGGAACACATGCTCGCTGCTTGGGCGCGCCTCCTTTGGACGATTGGCTGCTTCCCCCGGCATCAGCGTTCGTGTGGTGCAGTGGTGCACAATGCAACTGCATGCGCCGGTACTTTGTTGCGTTGCTGGGGCGCCACCATGTGTTTCCCCACCTTGACGACTTGAAGACATATGCCTCGAATTGTGGTGGGTTTGCTGTCTTGGTCGTTTTGTTTAGTTGTTTAGTGTTTTTCCTCGAGAGCCCCGCACCGCCTTTCGCCCCATGCTGCTATACATTCTTGCGAGGGGTTTACTTAGGCGACAGGGCCGCTTGTTGCTTGGTGGTGGTGTTTCTTTGAAGGCTGTTTTGCTTTCTCTTGTTGCCTGGATGCTGCGTCGAGTATGCCGGTAGCATCCGCCTTTGCATTCCAATTTCAAGGTTTTATACGAATCGGATCAGCAGCGGTGGTTGGTATCCTGTTGTAATCTGGTACGGCGGAGACATGACAGATTTGGTGCTGTGAGGAGTTTGAGTCAGGGGGCAAAGTACGTTTCTCTTCTGCAAGCGTGCGGTGTTACAGGCGGATTGCGGAGTTGCGGTTGTCGTCTTCTGGGCCAAACAGAGCTGCTGTCAGTCGTTCTGGCTATCCAGTAGGTACTTGTGGAAATCGTTAACAGGTGTAGTACGGGCGAAGTACGGCAGCTGGAGTTGAAGGTCTGGTGGTACTTCTTTGTCGTCACACTCAGAACCTGAATCCGCGTTTGTTGTATTCTATATAATTTGGACCTTGGCCCTTGTGACCCTGGGTCCGCCCGCACGCATGGATACTCGGCCCCTGGGGCCCCGTGTACGCTTATATTTATATTGATCGGCATTGCTGCCGGGAAGGGTATGAGGAGCAGCCTTCAATGCGAAGGCCTCCTGTGGCGGCTCACGACAGCACTGTAAAGTGAGCGCGCGCGATTGTGTGTGTTGTGGCACAACCTGTTGTTGAGCTGTAGCTGGTGGGTGGAACAGCACCACCCGCATGGCATGTACCGGTACTGGAGAGTTACATCTTATGTGGGGGAAAGAGGGAAACGTCTTTACAACGCTGACGGTAGGTCAGCAAGAACCGATAGCGTACAGCAAAAGTGATCCGAGGGGAGAGAGGATCTCGACAGGCGCATGGGGCGGTGCAAGGGGCGTTGGCTGCAGAGGGAGGGAGGCAAAGCCGAGCCGCATGCAGCAAACACGGATTAGATACCGGCAAAAACCACGGCAGTGATTCCTGCCAGCACAACCTCAATGCCTGGCCAAGGTAGTGCGACAGAAGCTGACAGTGCCCTGCGGAAGAGGTGCTGCCACTTGCATCGTGCAGTTGAACACATCACCCGTCTGTATGTACCTTGCAACTCCACACAAACAACCTCCGTACATCAATTCGCACCGCTCTCAGCCCATCCCGTTCACCTCGATCCCAGTGACTGCAGCTGTTGCTCCCAGCACGGTGGCCTTGTCAGCCAGTTCGCCCACCCATCCATCCGTCGGGTCAGAGTCCGAATGCGCTAATGGTGCTCACGGTAATGCAAAAAGTAGCGCCACAATAACAAGTGTGCAAACATGAACCTAAAATACCTGAAACGTCGGCAAGTCGCGTGCATCCTAGGAAGTGAATACGACGCCATGTCCCACCCCACCCGCAGCACATAGCCACACGTCCTGTCCTAACAGCACAGGTGGCCCAACCCCGCCCGGTGGCGCAGAAGCGGCACAACATACACGTGTTGTTCTACAAACGGTCAACGATGTCAACGGACGCTATGTGAAACCGCAGCAGCAGCCATGGCAGCCGAACACGTCCTCCTAACCCTTGCTGCAGCTCTACAGGCAGCCAGCAGGTACGTCCTCATCACATGGGTACAGTGGGTGCAGTAACAAACCCCTTCGCGTCCTCCTCGCATGCACCCGGCCTTGCGGGTCACCAGCGTCCGTGGATGACGTCACGTGCTCCGGTAGGAGACAACACCAAGGGGCCTGAAGGGCACTGCTCAGCTCTACTGCACTACTACTCCTATACCGTCCTCTCACTCTCTCCCCTACCCCCATCCACTCCTAAAAGGCCCTCTTCCTCGCTTACCGTTTAAACTCTCCACCTTTCAACCGAACCCTCTGCGGGTCCACGCGATCCACGCCCAATCCAACCCGCCCCACTCTCCTTCATCTCTCTCCTCGCTCAACCGCTCTCATCTCCCCCGCCCAACCTCCCCCTGCTTCAACAACGCAAGCGCCTCCGCCGTGTTCCCCGCCGCCAGCTCACAATACACCAACAACAACAACGCACCATTCTTCCTCTCCCCACACCCACCTCCACCTCCACCTCCACCACCCATCCCACCCCCTTGCCCCTGCAGCGCCAACGCGCGCCGCAGCAGCGCCGCCGCCTGCGCCAGCTCCCCCTGCGAGGCGAACACCGCAGCCAGGTTAGTGCAGGTGACGGCCAGCGCGGCGGGGCCGCTCAGCGCCGCCAGCGCCGCCGCGTTGCCCAGCGGGTGCACCTCCTCCTCCTTGCGGCAGGAGGGGGGCTGCTGAGGGTGCTGGGGGGGCTGCTGAGGGTGCTGGGGGTGCTGCTGCTCTGAGGGGACTGAGGAGGGGGTGGGGGTGGTCGAGGAGGAGGAGGTCGATGTGCCGCCTGCTGAGGGTGCTGCTGGTGGCGGTGGCGCCCCCGCGTCTCGCTGCTCCTGCGCCGCCATGAGCCACATGGAGAGGCACTCCACCGCGTCCGCGGGGCGGTTCAGGTGGCACAGCGCCTCCGCCGCGTAGCTGTGTGCCAGGTGGGCGTACTCCCAGGCAGCAGCAGCGGCAGCAGCGGAGGAGGAGGAAGAGGTGGGGGAGGGAGAGGAGGAGGTGGGGGAGCAGCATGCGGCAGTGGCGGTAGGACCAGAGGAGGCACCCGCCGCCGCCGGCGCCGTCGCCCCGGCTGCTGACGCCGGCTCCGCGGCGGCCGCCTCCGCCTGCAGCGGCGGCAGCGGAGCCACTGCCGCCAGCAGCGCCCGCGCCGCCTGCAGCGCCGGCAGCCACTCGCCAGCCTGCAGGTGCGCGTACGACAGGTTCGCGAGGACGGCTCGTCGTACGGCGGAGATCTCCGCGGAGAGGGCGGCACTGGCGTCCGTACCATGCGGCGCCTCGTGCATACCATGCATGGGCAGCCCCCCGCCGCCGCCGCCGGCTCCGTTGTTGACCGGCGGCAGCTGCCTTGACTCATCCCACCCAGCGGTCCCAGCTGCTCCTGCGGCTGCTGCTGGGGTTGCTGGAGCTGCTGCTGCTCCGTTGCCGCTGCTGCCGCCGCTGATGGCCGAGGTGGAGCAACGCGGCTGTAACCCGGTCAGCTGCTGCTGCTGCTGCTGGGTAGCTGAGGGGATGGGCAAGGAGGAGGAGGAGGGCGCTGGTAGTCCCTCCTGCGGCCCTTGCTGACACCCAGGGGAGGACTCCCCGGCTGCTGGCGCTCGCCCGCATGCAGACCCCGGTCCCGCCGCTGCTGCGGCAGCACCTGGTGAGGGGAGGAGACCGTTACCGTTGCTGCTGGCGCTGCTGCTGCTACTGCCGCTGCTGCCGGGTATGCTGCTGCTGCCGCTGCTGCTGCCGGCGCCGGGGGCGGCGGCGAGGTGCAGGGGTGCAGCAGTGGAGGAGCCTGGGGGACCTGGGGGGCCCGGGGCTGGTGCTTGGGCTGGAGGCAGCAGGAAGCCCGGGAGGCCGCTGGTCAGGCTGCGGACGGGGTCGAGTTTGCCTCCACCACCGCCAGCAGCACCGCTGCTCTGCCACTGGGCGAGGAGAGGCGGGTAGGGTTGGGTGGGATAGGGGAAGGTAGGGTGAAAAAGGTTTGCGGTGGTGGCAGGGCAGGGCAGGGCAGCGTACGAGGGCAGGTCAGGTACGAAATCCGTACGACAATTTCAACCCACCTAACCCTCAACTCGAAGAGAGCCCCCAGTCTTTAGGCCGACTCTTTAGGCGCCCCTTCCCCTGGGATCCCTCTGCCCCTCCCATGTTTCCTCCTTTTCACCCCTGTCCACATCCAGACTTTGTTCAACAACCACCAGCATAGCGCCTCCTGGAAAGCTGGAGCCAAGAGTCAACCGCGCTAGACACCGCTCGTGCTCCTCACCTGCTCATGCGCCTCCTGCTGCGCGTCTAGCTGCTGCAGGGCCGTACGCAGCGCCGCAACCGCTTCCACGAGCAGCGAGGACGAGGAGGGAGAGGAGGAGGAGGGGCGGCCGCTGGCGTCACCACCACCACCACCACCACCACCACCACCACCGCCCACCATGCGAACAGCAGCGCTCCCGGGAGGTCCCGCACCCAGTCCGGGCCCTCCTGAACTGGAGGATGTCTGCGCGACGCTGCTGCTGCTGGCACCGGCGGCTGGAGGACAACATGAGGCGGCGGCCGCACCCGCAGCGGAGTGGGGCTGCTGCTGGGGTGGCGGCGCTGGGCGGGGCTGCGAAGCCGAGCATGGCCGTGGCTGGGACTGCGGCTCCCGGTGTTGATGTTGTTGCTGCTGCTGCTGGCGGTAGAGACCAAGCGCCGCCTCCGCAGTTCTGAGCCACAGCAGCGGCTGCATGTGCACGTGCATGCGGGTGCAGGGAAGGGGAAAGGTGGGGGGTGAGGACGGGGCATCAGGGGTGTCAGTGTGAAGAGATACAGGAACGGCGTGTTCCTGCACTTGCGTGGGAGACCGCCCCGCCCCTCCCCCATGTTGCTAGAGGCAGCTCCACACGGCCCCCTCCTTCCGTAACCCCTTGTTGCTCCGTCCTCCCTCCCACCCTGCACCCCTCCCTTCCGTCCCAGCCCCTACCGTGTCTCCGTACAGCCCCTCCGCCCTCCGGAAGCAGCTGCCCGCCGCCGCCCAGTTGCCCAGCAGCAGGTGCTGCAGGCCCGCGTTGTAAGCCAGCGCAGGCAGCGGCACCACTGCAGCAGCGGAGCCACCACCGCTGCAGCCGGCAGCGCTGCTGCTGCTGCTGGCGGCGGCGGCAGCAGCGGGAGCACCGGCCCCTTCCTGCTGCTGCTGCTGTCGCTGCTGCGCGACAGGATTGGGACTGTTACCACTACTACCACCTGGAAGAGCGGGAGATAACCGCTGCTGCTGCTGTCGCAACCCCTCTCCCCTCCCTTTCTCCTTCTTCCCCTCCTCCCGCCCCTCCTCACTTCTGCTACCCTCCTCCGTCCCCTCCGCCATCACCGCCGCTGCCGCCTGCTGCAGGTGCAGCAGCGCGGTGGTGTGCCGCCCCTGCGCATGCGCCACCAGCCCCAGGTTGTTCAGCAGCAGCGCCCGCTGCCGCCCGCCCGCAGCCGCCCCCGCAGCCGCCTCCCCCAGCAGCCCCAGCAGCAGCCGGGCGGACTTGCGCAGCCGCCCCCGCGCCAGCGCCAGCTGCGCCCGCACGCACAGCAGCAGCGTGCGCGCGGCGGGGCTGCACAGCACACGCAGGGGGGCTGGTGCTGAGGCGGCAACCGGTGACACAGCCGCGGTGGCTGCATCTGCGGTGGTGGTGATGGTGGCGGCGGTGGGGCTGGTGCTAGTGCTGCATGCAGCAGCAGACGCATGCCGCGGGGGCAGACCGTTTGCTGTTGCTGCTGGTACTGCGGCGGCGGTGTCGCTGCTGGGTTGGCCGCCTGGGCCGCTGCTAGGGCTGCCGCCTCCTGCTAGCAACTGTTGCTGCTGCAGGGGCGTGAGGTGCAGCGCCGCGATGACCGCCTTGAGCTCCCGCTTGGCCGCCCGGGTGTTGTGCGCCAGGGCGTGCAGGCGGGAGCGGTAGAGGCGGATGAGCAGCTTCAGGTCGGGGCAGGCGGGCGGCCGGCCCTGGGGGGGGACATGGGGACATTGAAAGGGGAGATGGAGGGTGGGTGAGGCGCCTTCCACCAAAGGCTTACGATCCCCTTCTACCCCCGACCCATCATTGCCTCTGCCTCATCAGCTGCAGCCCCGCCCCCTCGCGCCACCCCCCCGGCCCCCCACCTGCTGCTCCAGCAGCGCCCGGCACCGCATCATGGGTCCGCTGTCCCACCGCGACACACGCGGCAGCGCCAACACCGCCGGCCGCCCGCCTCCTTCCCCTCCTCCTCCAGCACCCCCGCCTCCGCTGCCACTGCCGTACGCCTCCATGAGGCTGCCGTACATCCGCTCCAGCGTCTGCAGCGCCGCCACCGCCCGCGGCAGCTGCCGTATCTCAATGAGGGCGTCCAGCAGCGCCGCCAGCAGCCGTACGGCAGTGCCCTCGGGCAGCGCCTCCACGTCAGCCGCTAGGCGCTCCAGCAGGTCAGCGGCGAGGGCGGGGCGGTGGGCGCGAAGCAGCAGCAGGGCCTGGTGGAGGGCAGGGGTGGGCAGGTAGGGGAGGTTGAGTGGAGGCGGAGGGGTTGCGGAAGGATATGGACAAACGCATGTTAGGTCAACCCCTAACGCCGCCGTTCCACGCATGCATACGACACCCCCATCCTGCCCACCTCACACCCATCAGGAGCTCAGCTCACCCTGTTCAGTTGCGCCACCGCCAGGTCATCCCGCACTGGCACCAGCGGCAGCACCTCTAGAGTGCCAGAGGAGCGGGAGCGGAAGCCGCTGGTGCTGCTGCCTGCTGAGGGGCCCGCATCCGCAGCGGTGTTACCGCTCGTGCCACTGCTGCCGCCATCATCCGCGGAAAGCCGCTCGTTCTGAGGGCAGTAAAGGGGAGGGGCGTCTCGGGATGAAAAACAGGATGGCTGGAAGACGAGCGGAAAGGGCGAGATGCTGCAAGGTATGGCGCTGTTGTTAATGTGGACATGGATTCTGCTACCTTCAAGACAGAGAACGTACCGCAAGGAGCTCGAGCTGAGCCGCTATGCGTTCCGAATCAGTTCTGCCAGCGACGACGTGTTCCACCACCAGCAAATTATGGGCGAGCTGCGATGACAAGCAATATGTAATTAGTTTAAGCAATTGCATGCTCCGGATGTGTTAGTATTTCTCGTGCAGACCTTGGGGTCCGCTTTGCTTTCCGACTCGACTTTCTGGAGCGTCGCGTAGCAGTCAGTATAGTTCTCCGTTAGCCACAGGCACGTGGCCTCGGCACAAGCGAGACTGCTCATATGCTGGAATTGCAATGCATATCGCTGTGAAGGCGAAACTGCGAGACTGGGGGAAGGGCGGCGGAAAATGCGTAGAACTAGACGGGTCAGTCAGGCTTTGAGCTGTTTGTAAAGCTCTATTTCAGCGGAAACAATCGAAGCGACAATTCGACCCTGAGGATCGCTGCGGACCTTGGTCAGCGCCGTGCAAGCGCATGTACGGTATCTAGGGCATGCAAATCTTCCGTTGGGAGATGACACGCGTGTCAGTATTGCGCAAACGTTTTTATTTTAAAGGTAGAATTGTAGCGACGGTGCTAACACTGTAGAGGAATCAGCCACCAACTTCCGCCGCCGCGAAACCAACGCTTTGCCGGTCATTTTCAATTACGAAACAGCCCTCTGTGTCTTGTAATTGTATCACATCGCTATAAGGCCTATTATCTAGCTTCCGGCGACCCACAGAGGCAGGCAGGGACATGGCCATGTCAATCCCTGACCTGGCTGAGCGCTACGATGTGCGGGAAACAGTGGACTACATCCTCCAGGGCGGCTATCGCAACGTAGCCCTTCAGTTCCCCGATGATATGCTGTCGGAGAGCCCCGCCGTATCGCGACTGCTGCAGCAGCAGCTGGGCGACCGAGCACGGGTAGGCGAACTGCGCCGAGTTGCCGCCCCCCCCCCGCGCACCTTCCCTCCCACTCTACCATCCCGCTGCATTGCCGGCACTACCGGTAGTGCCCCTCCTCCTAACCTCTGCTCCCGCCCCCCGCCCTGCCCCGCCCTGCCGCTATCAGGTGTTCATCTTGGCTGACACCGCCTACAACCCACTCGGGGTGGACGAGGTGGCGGCCAAGCATCTGGCCGCTCACTGCGTGGTGAGGGGGGGTGGGAGGAGGGGGGAGGCGCCAGCCTTACCGATTGCCGTACCCCGTTACCCGGTTAGGTGGCTCAGGTGGCGCAGGGAGGCGCGGGATGTTCAGGCTAAGATGTGGGCAGGATGGATAGGAGGAGGGGAAAAGGGCCGCCGTGCTGCTCCCTGCTTACCGGTATTTGGGGGTTGGCATCCTGCCAGTTGCCACCCCACACACACACTTCCTATGGTTCGGTATGGTCTTTGACCCCCCCCCCCACACACACACACATCACACAGCGCTCTCCCTTCCACCGCTCGGCCTGCTGCGGAAATGCTGAGGGGTGGCCGAGACCTCGCGCATGTCTCGGCTTGACGGGCGCCTCGCAGCCGCTCTCTCTCCTCCTTCCCACACCCCCTCCCCTCCCCTCCTCCTCCCCAGATCCACTACGGCCGCGCCTCGCTGGTCCCCGTCAGCTCGCTGCCCGCCTTCTTCGTGCTGCCCAAGCTGCCGCTGCACGTGCGCAGCGCGGCGCAACGGCTGCGGAGCGCCATCGGGCAGGCGGAGCTGCGGCGCCAGGGGGCAGGAGCAGGGGGAGCAGGAGGAGCAGGGGAAGGGTACGGTGGTGTGGTGCTGCTGGTGGACCAGGGCTACCAGCACCTGCTGGGGGAGCTGGAGCGGGAGCTCAGGGAGGAGGAGGAGGAGGAGGCGGGAGGGGGAGGAGGGGGAGCAGTCGCCTGCGCCGCCACCCCGCTGCTGCCCCCGCTGGTGTTCGCCCGTGTCATCGCCCGGTCGCTCAGCCCACCTGCTGCTGCTGCTGCTGCGACACCCCCACAACAACAACAACAACAACAACAACCAGCAGCAGCAGCAGCACCCGGACAGGAGACCGCAGCAGCAGCCGCAACCAACGGTGGCTGCTGTGGCGGCGGCGCCGGCTGCGGTGCTGCCACGGACCCCGCAAGCACTGCGGCCCCCGCTTGCTGCTCGGACCCCAGCAGCAGCCAGCCAGCCGCCGGGGCGTGCTGTGGGGGCGGAGCTTGTGGGGGTGGCGGCGGTGGTGGCTGCTGCAGCAGCGACAACCAGCCTTGCAGCACCAGCAGCAGCACCAGCAGCCACCCTAACAGCAGTTCCCAACAAGAAGCCCAAGACTGCAGCAACCAGGACCGCAGCAACGAAAATGACAACAGCAACAACAGCAGCATCACCAGCACCAGCAGCCCTTCTTCCTGCAGCATGGCGGGTCTGCGCTGGCAGCTGCCGCCCGGCGTGTCGCGGCGGGGCTGCTGCCTGTACGTGTGGGTGGGCCCCGAGGGCAGCCGCGCGCAGCAGGTGCTGCAGGCCACCCACAGCACCTGCGACTGGCTGTCGTACGACCCGGAAGGGGAGGGGGAGGAGGAAGGGGGGCCGGCTGGGGGCGGTGCGGAGGGGGGTGAGTGTTTGGGGGGGTGTGGGGGCCGAGGGAGGGTGCTGCTCCCATGCGAGGTGGAGAGGGGCATGGGGTTGACCTTTAGGACCCTCATGCTGTAGCCTTGTAGCTACACAATGAGTATATGGGTTAGCTCTAATAACGGGCTGCTCTTACAATGGGTTGCTTTACCGGGGGTGGTGCTCCTATAACATGTTGCTGTGTATGCTGTGCTGTGTTGGGCTCTGCCGTACAGCAGAGGCGGGGTGTGTACGGCAGGGCATCTCGGATGAGACGCGGCGGCTGCTGCGGCGGCGGAACTACATCGTGGAGAAGGCGCGAGCGGCCAACATAGTGGGGCTGCTGGTGGGTGGGAGCGGGGGGGGAGGGGCGGGGGGGGAAGGGCGCTTTGCTTGCGAACGTCACCTGGGCCCTAGGGTGCATGCATGCAGGCAAAGTCCTCTACTTTGCACACCACCGCTTCCGGTACTGCTCCCGACTGCATTCCTCCTCCACCCTAACTGTCCATCCCCTGCTCTTCTCCTCCTCCCCTCCTCCTCCCCTCCTCCTCCATCTCCCTCCTCCTCCCCCCCTGCAGGTCGGCACGCTGGGTGCCGCCGGCTACCTGGATGTGCTGTCCTGTCTGCGGCGGCTGGCTGCGGCGGCGGGCAAGAAGACCTACACCTTCCTGCTGGGCAAGCCCAACCCCGCCAAGCTGGGCAACTTCCCAGAGGTGAGCCGCGGGCAGATGGGGGGCGGGGGGCCGGGGGAGGCATGGGGGGGGACAGGGAGGTGAAAGTGAAACAACTAATCGTGTGATAATGCGGGGTCGAAGGAAGGCAGGGCAGGGGAGGAGAGCTGGGAGGCGAGGGCGGGCGGGCAGGTTTGAGGGGGCTCAGGACATCTTTTTTCTCCTCCAGGCGCCTCTCACTGTTTGCGCTCACCGCTCCCTCCCTCACCCCCCTTCACCCCCCCTCCCCCGCCCCCCCTCCCCTCAGGTTGACCTGTTCGTGCAGGTTGCGGACCCGCAGGGGCTACTGCTGGACTGCCGCGACTACCTGGCCCCCCTGGCCACCCCCTGGGAGGCGGGGCTGGCCTGGGCGGGGCGCTACCTGGACTGGGAGGACTACCGACTGGGGCTGGGGGAGGTGCTGGTGAGGGGGGGAGGGGGGGGGGGAGGGGAGGGAGGGGAGGGAGGGGGAGGGAAGGGATGGATATCCAGTGTGTTGAAATAACTGGCCGCGAGGCGAAACGTGACTGTGATGTGAGTGTGTGTGACATTGGTAGACCAGGTGACAAGCCCAGGAGGGAGGGAGGGAGGGAGGGGAAGCGGGTAAGGCCCCTGCGTGGAATGATGTTGGCAACCGGCTAGGTAACCAGCTCCTGGGGGAGGAGAGGAGGGAGGGGGAAGGGAATGCCCACTGTGAACCCCTGGGCCCCATCTGCGGTACCCTTCCCAGGAGCTGGAGCAGATCCTGCAGCAACGCAACCCCGAGGAGGGACAGGAGGAGGAGGACGGGGAGGAGGACTCGGACGGCGACGGCCTGGGCAGCCGGTTCGGGGGGCTGACCCTGGCGACCCGTGGGTCGGGCACTGCGCTGGCTGGCGGGCCCGGCTCCTCCCGGGAGGTGGCGGTGCGCAGCGCGGCGGAGTACCTGAGCTTGAAGCGCACCTTCAAGGGCCTGGAAATGCCTGCTACGGGTAGGGCTGGGGATGAGGGGTGGGGGTGAGGGGCGGGGAGGGTTATGGTGAAAGAGGAGGACTAGGGCGTCTGCTGGAAGGGAGAAAGTCAGTGCAAAGAGCCATCTTTCGCACTACTCTGTTTGCTTTCTCCTCCTCATGCAAACCGCTTACCTAAACATGCGCCCTCCTACCCCACCGTCCATTGTGGTTAACTCCTTACACTGTACGTACCCTACCTGGCTAGATTGTAAGGATGCCATCATCCACCTGTATTGTACGGTCAGGGTCACTGTTCCCCGCGGCTCAGTTTTCTAATACCCTCACCCCTACCCCGACGCATTGGCCCTTCTTCTTATACCCCAGGTGCTGCTCCCAAGGCCGCCCAGCTGGCGGTGGAGGGGCTCAGCGGGCGAGCTGCTGCCTACCAGCAGGAGGGGGCGGGGGCGGGGGGCGGGCAGGGGGGCAGCAGCGGCAGCAACAAGGACACGGAGGGGGCGGGGGCGGGTGGAGAGGCGTCGTGGTGAGGTGCTGGGGCGGGGCGGGTGATGAGGGCAAGTAGGGCTTGAGGTACGGTGCGGTGGGGTTGGGTGGCAGTGCTGCGGAGGGGGTGGTGCGAGGCTGGTGTGTTGTGGTTTTGTGGTGATGCGGGCGCAGGTGCTGAGTTACATGCGGGGTGGCACAGGATGGGGTGCGGGCTGTGGAGTGGGGTGGGGACGGGGAGGGTTAGGGAGGGAGGAGGAGGAGGAGGACGGGGAGGAGGGCCGTGGGTGGGGCCACATGCAGGAGGAGGTGTGCAGGCGGGGTGCAGGAGGAAGGGAAAGGGGTTCATAGCTTTGCAGGTCTGGAGCTGCCCGGCTGACAAGGGTACCCTCCCCAGGTCGTCCGTGAGCAACATGTAGAGACTGTGTGGCGTCTGGCTGAGCCGCGAAGAGGTTAGAAGCAGCAGTCTGACAGCTCTCCTGTTGCTGCTGCTGCTGCTGCTACTGCTGTTGGTGAATGCGTGGTTTTTGGCACACAGGTGCAGGTCCTGGTGTGATTGCTGAAGCGCCATGAAAATGTAACGCGGTTGTCGAGCCGCGAACAGACCGCAGTCAGGCCCGCCCTCAGCGCCGGTGACCCTCCTTAAGAGCTGCGCATGCAGCTCCAGTTGCTCCGAAAATGACAGTGCAAGATGACCTGTGGGTCAGCAACCACCGTATTGACCCGGCTAGCGATGCATTATCGACGCCATTTCTTAATTGGACAGCATTTGTTCACTGTCGCCATGTCTGTGCTATCTCACGCGTTCCGCAAATCAGGCCATGGAGCATCGGGACTAGTTGCCGTAACTCCGTCGGCCGTTGCTCCTCGGTACCTATCCGATGAAAACAACTGGAGTACTAAGCACTTCCTTAAGCGCTAGTAGACACGTCTTAACTTCGTGTAGCCTGTCCATTCTCGGTCAAACTCACTTGGCGTAACGTGCAAGGATGGGCTCCGGACTTTCGCGCACCGAGGAGGTTCCTGACTATACGGTTGAAATTCAGGTCCGACAATAAAGCTGTACTTATTATGGAGGGCATCTGGCGAAGAACAGGATGCGACCGCTTGTTTGCAGGTTAAGGCGGAAGTGCAGGTGGAGGATGTGATCGCCACCGCGCAGGCCGCAGGTCGTGCTATCTTACAAATCTACAACAGCGAGGTGGGGTTTGCTCGCGTGCGGATAGAGGTGAGCGGTCCGTGCAGTCGTCCGTCCGCCTCGCTTCGAGCAATCGTCCGCCCGCGCAGGCATCAACATGGGAGGTCCAAATGAAAAGCGATGCCTCACCGCTTACACGAGCGGATCGGGACGCGAACGCGGTAATTTGCCAGGCGCTGCAGAACATTAGTCCCCACATCCCGATCATCTCCGAGGAGAACAAGATGGTGCCGCACTCCATACGCCAGGTGTGATCAGCACCATGCTATCCTAGCCTTTTGCAGTTCTCTCCGTACCTGCGCCTGGTCGCACCCTTGCAACAGCTCCGGAAATTGACCTTACAAATGCTGCTCGTCCCCACAGAAATACCAGTACTACTGGCTTGTCGACCCACTAGACGGCACCAAGGAGTTCCTAAAGCGCAACGGCCAATTCACGGTCAACATCGCGCTTATCAGCGGCGACACGCCGGTGCTGGGCGTGGTGGATGTGCCCTGCCAGGGCAAGACCTACTGGGCGGTGAAGGGCAAGGGCTCCTGGCTGCGCACCAGCGAGGGGCAGCGGCGGATACAGTGCGCGGAGTTTGGGTTCGAGGACTCGGGGCTCAAGATCTGCGCCTCCGCCAGCCACCTCAACAAGGAGACCGAGGTGCGGGGAAACAAACCACCTGGCCAGCGCGTGTGTAGTAAAAAACGGGCCGCGAGTCGGAACGTACTGTGCGCGGGACTTTGTTTGTGGGGGACTTGCATCAATGATAACCTTCGCCCACTCGCGCCCACCCGACCCTTCATCTTCTGCAATATGCCGCGGGTCTCCCCTCTCTGACCCCTCTCCCTGCTTCACTTAACCCGTTAACCACTCCTCCTCCTCCTTCCCTTCCCCTCCCCCTGCCCTCCCTGCAGGACTTCATCCAGCTGTTCCAGTCGCCCGAGTTCGTGCAGGTGGGCAGCTCGCTGAAGCTGCTGATGGTGGCGGAGGGCGCGGCGCACATCTACCCCAGGTGGGAGCAGAAGGATACCCAGTGTGTTGAATGAGGCTTGGCAAACAAGCCAAGTGGGGAGGGGGCGGGGTGCCCCGCTGTCCGGGGGTCGGAGATGTACCGGTTACCGGCGGTTACCGGAACCACAGGTTCCCGTGGGTGAGGGGGGCGGGAGAAGGGCGGAGGGGGTGCGAAGCGGGGCTGGGAGGCGGGAATGCGGGGTGACGCTCGTGGCAGGGAGGCAGTGGGAGGCATCACACGCCTCCGCGTGTGCGATGTTCGGGCTCCTTTGCTGTGTGCTATGCCAAAGAATGGCTGCATGGCTACGTGTCCTTGTTGTGACGTACGCACGCGGGTTCACGTCTGGAGGCGGGGCGGCATGCATCCCCGCAAAACATGTTGTTCAGACGTTTGGGCAGCTGCAGCAACTGCCCCCTCACATCACCCTTTAGCACCCTCAGCTGACCACTCCACCACCCCACCCCTCCTCCACCCCCCTCCAGGCTGGGTCCCACCTGCGAGTGGGACACGGCTGCTGCCGACGTGATCGTGCGCGAGGCGGGCGGCGCGGTGCTGCAGGCGGGCAAGCAGGACAACAAGGGCAACGCGATGCAGGACTGGAAGGTGCGGGGAGGGAAGGCTGGGGGTGGGGACACAAGTCCGTTCCGGTGAGGGCACGGGAATGTCGCATCCTTACAGAAGAAGCTTGCTTAGCCCATCATCTATTATGTTACGAATACCCATCGTCATACAATTAAAACATTGGAAACAAAACCGTGTACTCTTCTGCCAACAAGTCCTCTGCCACATCGCTGCTGCTGCTGCTGTGTTCTTGTCCTTGCAAGTGTGTTACAACGCAGACCCGCGCATCCGCTCCTCCGTTACTGCTCCACGTGGCAACTTCCCCTTCCAACTATGAAGCCCCCTCACCCCACCTTGCGTCCCCTCATCCCCCCACCTCACGTCCCCTGCCCCAACCCTACTCCGTTCAATTACCGGTACACTCACTACTCGGCAGGCTACCCGACCATCCCCCAGTATACGACAGTCAGGGTTAGTGTTTCCGCGGCTCGGTTCATCTAATCCGCTCCCCTACCCCCCAAAACAACAGGATGAGCTGTTGAAGGAGCTGCCGGTGGTGTACAACAAGGAGGACGTGCTGAACCCCTACTTCGTGGTGTTCGGCAAGCGGAGGGCGGGGGCGGCACCGGCGCGCAGCTGAGCGGGCAGCAGTAGCGGGCTGGCTGGCGGACAGGCTGGGGTAGGAGGGAGGGCTTGGGGGGGGCGACGTGCAGAGGGTGGTGGTGGTTGAGCAGGAGGAGGAGGGGAAGGAGGAGGAGGGTGCTCCGGGGTGGCGAGTGCAGCAGAGTGGGCTTTAGTGTGGTGTGGTGCTGCGGACGAGGCGCGCATGGAGGTGGTGGTGCTGCATGGGTGTTGCAGTCGGCGCCGTGTGACCAGCAGCAGGAGCGCCGCCGCAATAGCAGCAGCAGCTAGACGCCTCCTCCTCTGAAGTTGTAAGAGCCGGCTTCTCCAGTCCTCCTCCTCCTGCTGAGCCCCTGTTGCATGGTTGACGCCGCTGCAAGGCACGCGTGCCAGCCACTGCCCCCTTGCCAAGGCTTTCACCACCGGGTGTACGACACCGAAAAGGCACAACCGTACACACATGGCCATGAAAACTTGCGGAGCACACACATGCATCCCCACACCGGCGGCAGGCTTGCACGTGCTAGTGCGTTGTCGGGGCCCCCCCTAGCTGCTGTTAGCTGGTGCTGGTGTAGCTGGTGTCCTGACTGCGTAGTTCGGATCACTGCACGCATCAGCAGTTGGTGAGCGTGGCGGCTAGGGAGTCGTACGAGGTGGTGGTGGCTGGCGCGGTGTTGTTGGCGGTGGTGGCGTCCTGCGCTGGGCGGGCGGAGTGGTGGAGGTGTGGAGGGGCTGCTGCCGCTGCTAGGAAGTAACGCGCCTCATCCGCCGGGGCTTGCCTAGGGACGTAGGGAGGGAGGGGAGCCCCCATGGGGCGTGTGTGTTGGGTATGGATGGCGCAAGGTGGTGCAACAAGGGAGCGAGGCGGAGGGTGGGTGGAGAGCGGAGGTCATGGAGGGTTTGGGGGGTAGCAAGTGGGGCGTATGTTGGGGTGAAGCGGGGGAGGGGGAGAGTTACCTGAACACGAAGGACGCCTTTATCTGGTCTTGTTCGTCGAACTGCAGCTGTGTGATCCCCGAGAAGGACGTGACCTGCCGTGTGGGGGGCTGCTCGCGAATGGGGCCCAGGTTTGTGCCCGTGGCGGACCTGGGAGGGGAGGGAGGGGGGTCAAAGACCATACCAAACCATAGGAGACCATAGGGGGGGGGGGGGAGCGAGCAGGCACACGACTCGATTTGTAACGGTATGACTAACGGTGTGATGGTGCACTTGAGATGTGACGATTGACACACAGCTGGAGAGCAGCTGCAGGGAACACGCGCACCGCCGTTACTATCTGCGGCGCCTTGTAAAGCTAAACGACTCTTTGCTGTGCTGTGAATTTCACCCCCATGTGCACACTCGTACCAGTTGACGTACACGCTGTGGCTGCCCTGGCTGTAACTCATGTCGTAAACTTGGAACACCAGATCCGGGTAGGCCCTGCGGTAGGCGATGATGCCCCGCTTCATGGCCCGCCGGCCGGCACCCACTCGGTGGGGCTGCCAGATCCTGCATACCACCATTATGCCAGTTGTGAGCTGAGTAAGTATGCGACGTATGCATCCTCTTATGTCGGAAAAAAATGCGCGCTATATGCAACTGCGAAAGGTGTAGTTGATGCGCCGTGCCAAACATAATGGGTCAAACATGGGGTGTGCCACTACCGTCCATGCGCAGATGGGTAGTAATGGTGTGCCATACATGTCGTGCTGCTGGTGATCCTCCGCCATGATGGCGTTGAGCCGCAGCACTCGACCCTCACTCCATACGTCCTGAGAGTAGGAGAAGTGGAAGCGGGAGGCGTTGGGGCTTTACACGGAATGCCTTGCTGAAAATGAGCTTTGCGGTCAACTGTCAGCGCGCTTACCTGGTAGTATGCCCTGGCCCTTTCCAAGGCAATCTCCTCTCTGGCTTCACTGCCAGCATTACTACAAAGGGTAGAGACCGGTTGACATGTTCGTCTAGTACATGACAATTATGCAACATCCCTTTGTCCTTCGGACGGCTTGCATCGTGCGTAATGTTGCCACCTCACCACGTTGCAGCTGTACATCCAGTAGAGGCAATGCACCTTGTCCTGGATGGGGTTTTCCGTGCCCTAGCTATAACTGAGGTAGGGCAAGGTGCAAGGGAGCTAAGCATGATAGGGTTTGGCAGTAACTTGGCAAGTGTTTCGTAAGTCTTTGATTGCTAGATAGCTTTGTAGGTCTGGGAGATGAGCGGCATCCTTCGCTGCACCCAGCGCGGCAAGTAATGTACTTGCGGCAGATCGTCTGCTGCCGTTGCATGCAAAGCACTAGGGTAGCCAAATACCTTTCATCAATTACATTTATCTGGGCACCCCCGCAATCTTGGCACACTTGTTTTGTTGCTAAATCCCGATCGCATTGGCGCTTGCCACGCTACGTGCCTTAGTCCTTCCGGAGAATTTGACTTCGTTAGGCCTCCTTACATAACGACGTTACTGCTAAGCTGACCTACGTAGGCCGTTTCTCGCAGTTAGATAGCCTTATAGCATCGCAGCCGAGAACATGGCGTCTAAGCAATTGGTTAAAGCGAAACTAAACGGACCAAAGAAAGAAGGCATAGCTTTGTATCTGGATCTCATTCGACAAGGACCCGACGCAGAATGGACGAAGGTGCGCAGCATCGCGACAAGCACTCTCCGTCTGTCCATACGATGAAAGGGGTTGTCCTGCTGCTCGCGGGGCGGGGTGCTTTGTGGCGAATAGCTTGTAAACCCTCGCACGTCGGGCGCCGCCACGTACCGGGCAACCCTTGCACATGGCGGGGTGGTGCCCATTCTGCACACTAGCCCACCTTCCCGCACAAAGCCTTGAGGCGCCCTGCATGTAGCTCAGCGCATGCGTGGCAGTTAGTGACGGCAGTCCTTAGCACATGCTACGTAAGGGTTTTCATATGTGGTCAGGACATGGGCTTGTAAGGCATCGCCCCACCCCCTCTTCCCCACCCCGCTCCCACACTACGTCCCCGCCATTGTTCCTCCCCCTGACCCTCCCCCCCTCCCAGGACGACCTGCTGAGCTGCGTGCACTGGCAGAAGCAGCTGACCGCGGCGGTGCTGGGGCTGCTGTGGGGAGTGCTGCCACTACAGGGGCTGGAGGGGTTCGCGGGGTGAGTCTGCCCATCCGCCCGCCCGCTGTGAGCTCTCCTGCACAACCCGCACCTGCAGAGCAGCTCAGACAAACACTGTGCGCACACACTTCCTAAGGTGCTCCTCGCGGCCACTTTCCTTGACACACACCTCGACCGCACTCGACCTCGACACCACCACAAAGCCTCGCAGCAAGGGCCGCCCTTGCCGGCACTTGCCCCATATGCTGTGTACGGAGTGGCGTTCGTCCAAGTGGTTGAACGCGAACCCCCAGGCGTGAGCGCGCAAATGCACTCCGACTGCTCGACTTCCTCCGCCCGCTGTGCTTCCTGTCCCGCCGCCCAGGTTCTTCGTGTTGCAACTGCTCGTCACCACCCTGTTCTACCGGCTGGTGTTGAGGTGGGGGGGGAGGAGGAGGAGGAGGAGGGGAAAGGAGACGGGGCGCTTATAGCATAAGCCTTAGTGGAAAGGGCGGGGAGGTTTTAAGCTGGCGCAGGGGGTTGGCAGGCGGTGCGTGGGGGTTGGCTGAGCGCCGTGGAGGATTGGAAGGCTGCACAACAATGACATACTGCGGCAGCCATGGGGAAACACCCATAGGGTTAGCTCTCAGAACCGCTCACACCACCTCTTCCCTGCCGCCTGTCTGCGCCCCTCCCCGCAAACCCCCTACCCCCACAGAGTGAATGAGGAGGTGCACGGCGGGGTGGGCGAGGCGCTGTTCGAGGGCCTTCCAACCTTCACCGCGGTGTTCGTGGTGAGTGGGTGCGGGTTCCGGGTTGGAGTCCGTGGTGGCGGTGCCGAACTCGCAGCATGCGGGGGGGCGCTGGGTAGATGTCGGGTCTGCATGAGAGCGATGAGCTCCCCTGGCTGCATCCCGCATGCGGCCCTTCTTACTCTTGGGTTGAGAAGGCTTTTCTCGTCTGTTTTGGGTAACGAAGTGGATTGCATCATCCCGCCTCCTGCCATCAACAACTTCTGCTGTAGTACATGAGCTGCTAAGATCTTGCTCCTTGTGCCCCCTCCTTCCCTCCCTCGTCACGCTACGGCCTCTCCCCCCCACCCCCGCCCGCCCACGCAGCTCTTCTGGGTGGTCACCTTCAATGTGCTACACGTCTAAATCGGACCCGGTTGGTACGCTGTGCTGCGGCTGCCGGGGAGCTAAGTGCATATGCCACTTAGCTGATCTGAACTTAACAGCAGAAGGGCTAGCGGCGGTGTTAAGAGCAGCGGCGTTAACAGGAGCAGCGGCAGAGCAGCAACAGCTGCTGCTGCGGCGGCGCCGTGCGATTCCTGGCATTCAGAAGCCGTAGTGCGGGACCAGCGTGTGTAGCGGCTGCAGCAGCAGGCGGCAGACTGTGTGCGGTGGGGGCTAGGCTGGGTAGGACTGGCTGTGAGGTGCTGGATGCGGTGTGCTGCTGGCTGCAGGCTGTGCACGCTTGTGGGGATGACGTACGGCAGTCAATCAGTGCTGCTAGCGCCATCCTCTTTTTAGTTGGTTAAGAGTGAACTTGAAGTTACAATGTCGAATGCACTTGGATACCCACGCTGCCGTTGGGCCTAAAGGATAACCTGCTCTACACGACAAACACATAGAACATGTTCCCGCGCTGTGCACAGCCCAGTATTATGGCAGTCTGTGACACGCTCTTGTGGAGGTGTGGGGTCGTCCTTGGGCGGTGTGTCCTGGGCGGGCGGCGCAGCATTGTGCTTAGGCTGGGGTGGACACGCGAATGGCATCGGACGTAACCCTAATCCTGCGGTGTGCGGGGGTGGGCGTGTGCGACTAGTTGTTGCGTCACGACGGCTGGCGACGTGACATGGGTGGCGGTGGGCTGACTGGGGGGTGACGGACTGGCTGACTGACTGGGTGGGTGGCTGGGCGGGCAGGCGGCTGGGAAGACCACGGAGGTGCAGCAGCGGCAAGACTAGGAAGAGGGAGGCAAGAGGAAGGTGGAGAAAAAGAAGCTTGGAAGCGGAGGAACAGGAGGAAGGAGACGAAGAGGGGTGCCGGTGGTAGTGGAGGTGCGGCGGAGGAGGGGGAGTGGTGTACGGTGCGGTGTGTAGGAGGGGAAGGAGGGGGGGAGGCAGCTACCGGAAGCGGCCCGCCGCGGTGGAGCCGTGGTGCTGCACGATGCGCCAGACGCCGCCCTGCTTCTCAAACACATTGGTCGCCAGGATCCTGCGAGCAGCGGGCGAGGGAGAGGGGCAGGAAGGACACACATGCATGAGGGAGGAGGGGGAATGCAGGGATGGGATTCCATGTCGTCTTGTGGGCCCGCATGGACATTACGAATTTAGGGTAGACCCCCGGGCCCTTGTGGTGTGACTCGGGGCTGAGGGAGACAGCACTGCCCAGGGCGGAGCAGAGCAGGGACTGGGTGCTGCAGGCAAGCGGACAGTCCAACCCTGTCCCGAACCACGCAACCTTGGGGTATTGCGCACCCCAACTTTGGCAGTACGGCAGGCGCGTAAGCGAGGTCAGAGGCCTTTCCGCTCAGCTGCCAGATCCCTGCGGTGTTTCGCACCTCCATTCGCCCCTCTTTCCCTCTCCCTGCCCCCCTTCCTCCCTCAGTTGTTTTCTCGTTACCCTGCTGCCTCCCCCCACCGCACCTGCCCCACCACGTCACCTGTGGCATGAGTCGGGATTCGGGATTGGGATTGTGTTGTTGCACTTATTTATAATTTTGCCCCCCACGTCCCCCCACCGCACCTGCCCCTGGAGTCGTCCGCATCCACCACCTCCACGCACGTCACGAAGCCCATGTCGCCCCGCGCGTGCACCCGCACGTCCTCCAGCACTAGCTTGAAGGCCCCCGGCCGCACGTGCCGCAGCACCGCACCCCAGCTGGCCAGAACCTGGGGAAGGGGGTGCAGTGGGTGAAGGAAAAGAAAATACCATGCTTTGAACGATGGTGGGTAAAGGAAGGGGCGGGCTGCCGTAACCGAACACAGCCACCAGGCGATAGGCGGTGTGGCAGCATGGAGGGGCAGGGCGGGGGCAGCCTCCCGGCGCACCTGCTCCCTGCCCGCGATGCAGCTGGAGCCGGGGTGCACCACCTGCACTTGCTCGCCCTCGCCCAGCACCTTGGCCATCTCCTGAGGGAGGGAGGGAGCGAGGGAGGCGGGCGGTGGGATGAGGGGTACGCCTGATAGTGGGTGGTGGACGTTATGGCGGGGAGGAGAAGAAGCGGAGCGTAGAGGCAAGTGGAAGGGGAATGCCGGTGTGAGGGTAGGGTAGCAGCAGTAGCGGAGCGGAGCGCGACTCGGGCCGAGTACCACGGTATACTGCGGATTGAGTGTAGCCCGTGTGGATGTGGAGCGCCTTGGGTGTGGAGATGGGCGTAGGGGCCTACAGGGGCTCCAGCTGCTCATGGTGGAGGCCTATCTGCTGGCTACCGTGATGGGGTGCTACATGGTAGCAAGGGAGGCACGCCGCTGCTATGGAGGATTGGCGGGAAGCAGTTTAGAACCGTACTGAGGAGGTTCTTACTTCTTACCTCTACTCGCCCAGACATGAACGCATCATAGAAGCGGCGGTTGGCGTCTTCAACTGCCAGCTTGCTGACTTGCTGCTTTTGTCTGCAGGAAGGGGCGTACGAAGGGCAATGGCTGGTACGCATGCGGATTCCATCCAGCCTACCTGGACTACAAGGTCGACCCAATAGCAGCACCTACTGGATTGCGTCACGTAGCCTGGCAGCAAGCTTGTAATCCTCCTGCGCCAGAGCCAGGCTGAGATCGGCTTCTAATTCGGCGATGGAAACATCGCTGTCCAGCGAAGCTCTGTCCGCCGTGCTACGAGCGATGCGTCGATCCCGAATAATTTGAGGTTTGTGCATGGCTATTCGCGAGCTAAAAGGCGCAACTGCTTGCCAGCGTCCTGCCCCAGCCACAGGCCGGCGAACACTGCTTCGTAATTGGAGCATTGTACTTCGTTACGCGTTTGTTTGTGGATTTGCTATCTGTACGCGTTTCCTTGGCAACCGCAGTAGTTCTGGTTTATGCTTGCGCCAGCTTAACCCGCTTTAGCGCATGCGTGTGGTAAAGGAATGCTGGACGCTCTCGTAAACATTACCGCAGAAGATTACGACTCTAAGGGTGTGACTGCACGTCTGCATCACGGGGCATGCTTACAAATCAGCCGTACAGAAACAGCCGTACAGCGCGCGCGCAGCGCACTCAGCAGAGCGATGGGTCACCCATATACAGCTCCGTTCCCCATCGCCTCCTCCCGCATCCATCAGGCTCCCAGCTTAGCCAGCTCCTCAAGCACGGCCGCCTCCCCAGCTAGCTTTTCCAGTTGCTCCGGCGTGAGCGCCTTCTCGCCTGCACGCACGCAAAGAGGAGCAGCCGCAAACAAAAGCGATCAGCGGGTGGCCAAAGACGATACCAAACCAAAGGTAACCACAGGTTCGGGCAGGTTAGGACAAAGCAGTCAGGGGATCGGATCAGCACTTCAGCGGGGGGCCCCATGCAGCTCAGCCGTAGAAACTTAGTACCGGCAACTACCGTACACACATAGGCTGCAACTACCTTCGGTACCCCCCTCCTCCCTCCAGCGCCCCCTCACCCTGCGCCGCCCGCTTGTCCTTGAGCTCCTGGATCTGCCGCTGCTTCTTTTGCAGCGCCCGGATGCGCTTGACCCGACCCTCCTCGTCCAGCGGGGCGGCAGCGGCGGGATCCTGCGGTGGGGGGTGGGGGTTGGAGAGTAAAGAAGGAAAGTAAGACGCGGGGTGAGGCCGCAACAACAGCAGCAGCAGCGGTGGGGGCATGCGCATGTAACGAGCATTGCCTACGAGGTATCCAAGACATGTCCCTGACAGCAGCAGCAGCAGCAGCACTAGCTGCCCCCTTCCCCGCACCTGTATCGTCACCGCCGCCACCCCCTGCGCCGCCGCCTCCGCCCCCGCCGCCCCCCCAGCACCGCCCTCCTCCTCCTCCTCTCCCTCACTGCCTGCGCCCCCCGCCCCCGCCTCGCCGCCCTTCTTCTTGGCTCGCCGCTTGGCGTTCTTGCTGGCAGCCTTGCCGCCGCCCGCACCGCCCACGAACTCAGCGCCTAGATGGGTGTGGGAGGATGTGGGTGTGGTTGGTAACGATGCATGCGTGGTGGGGCTGCACTAACAAAACTGGTAGGGGTGAGTTTGTGTGTGATATGGGGGTCGTATGTCGTATGTCCTATGTCGGTATGTGTGATAATGGCATGTATCCACCCTCCCCTCGCCTGTCACCTCGCCTCGCTCCCCCAACCTACAGCCCCCCCCTTCAGCTCCCCCCCCAACCGCCCCGCCCCGCCTGCTCACCCGGCGGCACGGGCGCCCTGCCCGCCCCGCTGCGTATCCTGCCCGGCTTGTCGTCCTCGTCCCGTGCCAAACTGAACTTGGCGGAGGGGGCAGCGGGGGCGATGACACCGGCAGCCCTGGGGGGAGGTGGGAGGTGGGAAAAGAGGAAGCAGTGAACAAACCGAAGGAAAGGATGGAGGGAGGAAAGGCTTGGGAGGAAAGGGTGATGGGGGAGGTAACAGGTAGGGGAGGCCAGGATGTGCAGCCTGGGTGGCGCCCTCACAACCGGGCTATACCGTTACTGTATAAGAGTTCCGCGGACAGCATTATTACAACACACACGCGGTCAAGCGCACCTTGTCCTGCGTCACAATGGCTGCCCGGTACCGGTGGTCCCCTCTTTTCCACCCAACCCCCACCTCCTGCCCCCTCCCTCCCTGTCGCCTTGTTTTCCGTTCTCATTTAACACGCTGGGTATCATTCGCTTCCCCCCCACCTGAGGTGTGGCGGCACGTACGAGGGCTTGGTGGGCGCCGTGGTGGCCACCTCGCCCTTGGCCACCGCGGACAGCCGCTCGGGCGACTGTGGGCGGTCGGTGAACGCGCCCCGACCCGCGGGTCGCCACTGCGCCTCCAGCAGCGTGGCGAAAGGCGCGTGCAGCCGCTGCTCGCCTGGAAGGAGGTGGAGGTGGAGGGGGGGGGGGTAAGGAGGAAGAAGCCAAATAACTGTACGACACGGCTTGGGTGGAGTTTAAACGGGGACGGGTGGGCCGGAAGCGCCGCTAAGTCCTACACCCACATTCGGTAACACGGTTAACACCGCGGCCGCACCCTTCTTCCGCACTACTGCCCACCTCCGCAACAAGCGGGCACACATCATGAGGACACACGCCACACCCCACACCCTGTCCGGATTGGGGATTGGGGGTTGCTTCTCTTTTCACATTCATCTCATGCCCCCTGCCACCCCCCCTCCTACCGTAGTACGTGAACACCCGCACGTTGTTGTCCACCCGCAGCCGCGGCGCGGTGGTGGCGGTCAGCAGCTGCCGTCCGTCCGGTGACCACTCGGCGCTCACAGCCGGGGAGCGCACCGCACCCATCTGCTTGCAGGTGCCGCTGCTCTTCTTGTCGTAAAACACAATGTCGCCCGGCAGGTTTCCAAAGCCCGCGATGGCGAAGAAGCGGCCAAAGGGGTTCCAGCGAGCCATGTTGTAGGGCCCGCTACCCAGGTCGTACACGGGCTTGCAGGCGGCGTTGAAGAGCGTCACCTTGGCGGGCATGAAGCCTGAAGGAGGGGTGTGAAGGAGGGGTGTGAAGAAGGGGGAAAAGAGGAGACAACTAATTGACCGTGTGTTGAGGGGGGAGGGGGGAGGGGGAACACCGCAAGGAGGGAGAAAGCACGTGAGAATCTGACATCAGCTACGGACATCTGCGGCACCACTTAAAACATACCTCCCTCCCCCCCCCCACACGCACAAACCCTTGGTGTTTCCTCTAGCCCTCCCCTTCCCCCCGACCTGCCACCGCTATATAAGGACCCTGACCCACCCGCCACCGTAATGAAGAAGTCCCCCGCGGGCGACCACTGCACGTCATGCACCGGCCCCTCCTTGGGCAGCGGCACCGTCAGCGCCTCCGCCCCCGCCCCGCCCGCCCCCCCGCCCGGCACCGGCAGGTAGTGCAGCTTCTGCTCGCCGTAGTACGACTGGTTGGTGGCGTCGTAGTCGGCGTATGACAACACCAGGCAGGCGGTGCCGGGGGAGTTCCACATCAGCTTGGCGCCTGGGGGTGAGGGGGGGAAATGAGGGGAGGAATGGGAGGGGAGGGGTTGGGAGGGAAGGGGATTGGGTAAATAGAGCCGCATTGAATGTTCCCAAGGGGCTGGGAAGGGAAGGGGAAGAGGAGGAGGAGGAGAGAAACCATGGAAGGATAGACGGTTGTGGTTTGAAGCCTTGAAGTCACATGCTCACACAGCTCCTCCTCCTGACCACGCTACCTCCCTGCGCCTCCCACCCACCTGCCCCCCACCTGCCCCTAATGGGATTGGGACTCTAGTTGTTTGCAATTATTATATATCCCCCCCCACCTCCCCTCACCCTGCGTCCTGAAGAAGCTCTTGCGCACCAGCGTGTGCGGCTCCCCCTCGCCCGCCTCCCCCACCCGCACCAGCGCGGCGGCCGCGGGGGTGCCCTTGGCCTCGGGCAGGAAGGCGGCCAGCAGCGGCAGCGGGGAGGGGGGCGAGGGGGGGGCGGGCGAGAGGGCCAGGCCGCCGATGCCCTTGATGCTCAACTTGCGGTAGGCTGGGGAGGGGAGGGGAGGGGAGGGGAAGGAGGAGTAGGTGGGGGGAAGGAGGAGGGATGAGTGAAGCTAAGCGGACGATGAGCGTGAGGGGTGAGGAGGGTGGGGCAGCGGCTGCAAGAAGGGTGGAGCCAGGTGAGGGGTGAGGAGGGTGGGGCAGCGGCTGCAAGAAGGGTGGAGCCAGGTGAGGGGTGAGGAGGGTGGGGCAGCGGCTGCAAGAAGGGTGGAGCCAGGTGAGGGGTGAGGAGGGTGGGGCAGCGGCTGCAAGAAGGGTGGAGCCAGGTGAGGGGTGCGGGGCCCTCCCGGTCACCTGCCATACCGCCATGCCGCGCTGTTCCAACCCGCCCGCCCCTCACAAAGCAGCCCCGTCCAAACCAGCCGCTGGTGTTGCAGGGCTGCTGCAGCCCTGTGCGAACCCGGACCCGACGCCTCCCACACCCGCCAGCCACTCCTTCTCTTCCTCTCCTCTCCCCCCCCCTCACCCCAACCACTCCTACCAACTCCTACCAACTCCTGCCAACTCTTACCCCCATTGCTTTGCCCTAACTTGTGGTCTCCTATGGTTTGGTATGGTCTTTGACCCCCCCTCACCGCTGAACCCGTCTGCCCTGCTGTACACATGCACGGTGTTGGTCACTGCGTGTACGAACACGCTGTCGTCGTGCGCCCAGTGCAGCACCGGCCAGGCGTCCTTGGACACCTGCTTCTGAGCCAGACTGAACACGCAGCGGCAGGAGCCGAGGTCCCAGACCTGTGGGGTGGGGGTCGAAGAAATAATGATAGTTAATGATGATGTGGGGGCAAGGGCAAGGTGGGAAGGGGCAGGGAGGGAGGTCAAAGGGATTCCAACCTGTACTATTGGAGACCGCAAGTGAGGCGTGAAGAAGAAGCGAGGGTGGGAGGAAGCGACCCTTCCCCGCCCTTGCACCCGACCATTCAGCGTCACCCCTTCATCAATGCTCTCAAGCCCACACCGCGCCCGGCTACCAGCCTCCTAGCTCTCTTCCCCCCTCCCGTAGCTCAGTACCTCCCCAGGCTCAGTTCACCTAATCCCACCTACCCTTACCTGACCCCTCGCTCCACCCCACCCCACATGTTGCAACCCATGTTGACGCCTTATCCCTCAGTCAGTTAGTTGTTTCCTCTTTACCCCACCCCACTGACTCCCCCTCCGCACCTTGAGGTTCTTGCTCATGCTGCCGTCCGCCTCCTTGCCCGGCCGCGTGCAGGTGACCAGGAAGTCGCCGCTGCTGGACAGAGCCGCCAGCACCACACCCGCCTCGGGCAGCTGGGAGACCTGCAGGGGGCGGGAGGCGGGTGTTGGTAACGCTGAAGTGGCGACCCTGGGGGGGGAGAAGGGGGCAGAGATGCTATCCGGGAGCAGGGAGCGGGGAGCAGAACACATGGCGCAGGCTGAGTCAGTTGAGCCTAGCAGTTGAGCCAGGAGGCCCGTTGGGGCTCTTGTTGGGGCTCTTGATGGGGTTTAAACAGCACACGGGGGTTTAGGTGTTGGGCGCGGCGCGGCAGGTCGCACCTGCTGCCCTGAGTCCAGGTCAACGAGCTTGACGCCGTCCGGAGAGCTGCACACCAGCTTGCTGCCGTCGGCCGTACACATAATGCCTGAGCTCGACCCGCACAACCTAACAAGCAAGGTGTTAGGTGGAGGACAGGGAAGGAGGAAAGCCACCGTCAGCACGTGGTGCAGGAAAGCAGGACATGGACATTCCGGTTTGATTGACAAAGACGTACCCACGGCCATCCTGTTCCCCGATGGTAAGAAGCTGGATGCCGTCGGGCGTCCGCCCTGCACAAATCGGAAGCAAGCAAGCCCAGCGGCTGGGTTAAAGCCTTCGTTGGCGCCGCATGAAGGGTGATCCCAGCCGCCGCACAATGCTCGCACCTAGTAGCTGACAGCTCATCCTTGTGTTGCAAGGTTACAAAAATACCAAACTGGTATGGGTCGTGACTTTTAAGGAGCGGATAGCTTAGCAGACCGTGCTGTCCATTCGACCTTATACGTTAGGGATAATAGCGTTCGGGGATACAGACAATGTACGCATGCTCTTGCATTCGACTAATTACGTGACAACCGCTTGCTCTATGGCGTTGGTTAGGATATCGCGTTAACCGGCACAACCGTGCCAACGAACCCTGGGGCCTTGGTTAGGCCAGGCCTTCCCTAAGGTGCCATTGGCACTGGAATAGCGCCAGCGGCGCACTCAGCGCACAGCTGACAGTTATACGGGGTCATTGCGCAGGTAATGCGGGGGAGACTTGGATAGGAGACGGCTGGACAGGGAAGGAACGGACTACCGGTACTTAGGGATTACGAGCTAGGTTGGACCTATGTACAACAGTGTTCAAGGATACGCAGTACGGAGAAAACGGAACACCATGGTGGAAAGGGTTTGCACGATTCCTGGGTATGCACACCTAACAGCCAGACACGCAGCAGGGGACTACCGCCGTGCACTTTCAGGGTGGGCTGAGGCCTGGCAAACGCACAAGAAGGGCTGGTATACGGCCATGGGATACGACTCTGTGGGTTTCCTTCACGCCTTCGAGCGCCTTCAGCCCCCTTGCTTAGTACCCTGCCGTACACTCATCCAAACGGCGGCCGTCGTACTGCCTTTCGCAGTATGCTCTACTTGCTTACTACTCGCTTGCTTCCTAGCAACATTCGAAGTACACCTGCTTCTATTTTTCACAACCTTTATCAACAGGGTCCGATTGCTTCATAACCGTTTAGAGCATCATATCCAAGGCCTACATCCCTAGCTTTCTACAAATAGCTAATATGTCTGATAGCGATGATGATCAACCCTTGGTCGTCCGGGCGAAGCCAAAGGGTGAGAAATAGAGTTTACACTTTAATCGCATTTTGAGTTGGGCTGACGATCTTCGGGCGCTGGATTCCCTTTGGCGTGCAGCAGCTGCTGGTGCTCCGGCAGTAAAGCAGGAGGTAAGATAGCGCAAAGAAATTGCGTTGTTTCGGTTTGCAGCGTCCTGCGACTAGCGATTGCTGACGCCCGCAGGCGACCGCTGATAAGCCGGTGTCAGTCAAACCGGAAGCAAAAGAGGACGGCGCAGCTGGCCCGAAGCCTGCAAAGGCGAAGGATGCACAGCCGGACGTCAAGGTGAAGGAGGAGGACAAGAAGCCAGCTGCGGCAAAGCCAAAGCCAGCTGCCAAGGCTGATGGCGCTGCCCAGAACGGCAAAGCAGCGGCAGGTGCAAAGAAAGTCAAGGAAGAAAACAAGCAGCCTAAAGAGAAGAAGGAATTTGACATGCCGGGTCAAACACGGGAGCCACCCCCCGAGGTACGGCGAGACCTAAGATTAAGTTACATGGAGGTATTGGTCGGCCCTTATTGGGGATTCGAGTGGCGTCTGGCAGGTTGGGATTTCTCGGGAAGACTGTGACATCCTGGCTTGTGGGTGAGCCCTCTCACAGCAAGGAGGGTCCGCTCTTAATCCCGTTGGCTTGCATTGCAGACCGACTCCTTGCGGAAATTCTACACGTCTCTCCTGGAGCAGCGGCCGGATAGCGAAATGGCCAAGAAGTGGTAAGGCATGTTCGCATCGTCCCGCATCCTCATGCACACCGCCGCCCTCGCAACTCCACCATGCAGCCCCGACGTCGGCCAATGCACCGATTAGGAAGTGCCGTGTGTCATACAGGTGCCTCACACACGGACTGTTGTCACGTGACTTGGCGGAGGAGCTTGTGGCGCAGCTGAAGAAGAGCAAACCGGCAGCGGGTGCAGCCAAGTAAGACAGGCGGGGGAATGGAGTGGGCTCGTGGGCATGCCGTCGCAGGTCTGTAGGCTGCGGGCGGGAACGTTTGGGAGTAGCCTGCCTCCCGCCCAAGTCCCTATCCTTCCCTTGCCTGTAGACGGGGGGGTTTTGACAGTAGCGTTGCATGCTGCATGCGCGATGTCGAGTGGCTGGCTAGAAGAGGGGCGAATTGAGGGGCCTAAGGTTGTTGTCCTCAAGCCCCCATGCTGGTTGACCCGTATGTCCCATGTTCCCCCGGACGGATCCATTGCTCCAGGTCTCCAGCTAAGGCTCCACGGGCAGCCTCTGCAAAGCCGCGGCGACCAGCGGAGAAGGCCCCAGCGGCGAAGAAGCAAAGACAAGGTGCGGGTACCGCAATGCGCACGCGTCGCGACTCGCGTATCTGGACTACCCTAGGGGCTGCCAGCGCATGTGCAGGCAGTGGATGGCCCGCCCCGCTGACTTGCATGGCTGTCTCGGTGCTGCGGGGGAAGCAAAGTGGTGGTTTGGGAAGGAAAGTGCATTGGGATCCCCCTTTCCAGGGTCGCTGCTTGCCTCATGAAGTTGTGCCGTTTCCTGTTGGAAGTTCCTTAACACACCTCTTCGTGACAAACTAGCTGACTCGCGTTTGTGGCATCAAATACCAATCCAATGCCACCTTCCAACAGCCCATCCTTGCCTGGGTGTCCCCTTCACCCGGTGACCCCCTCCCTCCCCGCACTCAGCCGTGTCCCCGCCCAAGAAGCGGCGAGCGCGCTACAGCGACGAGGAGGACGCGGCCAGCAGCAGCAGCGAGGAGGAGGAGTCGGACGACGAGCCCCTGGTGAAGCCCAAGGGCGGCCGGAAGCCGGCGGCGGCGGCTAAGCCGGCTGGCGGAGCCGGGTCCGGGGCTGCACCGCCGGCTAAGAAGGTGGTGGTTAGAGGCAAGGTGGGTCTTGATGGGCGGGCGGACGGTGTCTTGGGTGCTGTGAGCTGGGGCGGGAGCTGTGGGACGCGTGCGAAGGCATCCACTCCCTCGTAACGGAATGTGCTTAATGCAGCCTAATAATGAACCTCGTGCAAGAGAAACAGCGCAAACAAAACGTGACCTGCCAGGACCACACGTTTAACAAAGCGTGTTCGTTTGACACTAAGGCGCGTGCCTAAATGCCCGCCTGCAACTCCCGCCACCCTGCTCGCAGGACAAGGCGTTCACGGACGGTGGCCTGGCGGACAGCGACGACGAGGACGACCTGCCGCTCATGTCACGAGCCAAGAAGTGAAGACGACGCGTTGACAACTCTCCTCCGCTAAGCCGCCCACCATGGGGAAGGGTTCTAGCTTTAGCTCGTCTCCTAACTGCTTGCGTGGGCGCCTGGCCTAGGAAACAAACGACCTTGATGACCTTGTATTGCGCACGCGCCGTGGAGGCGGCGGCAGCCGGCCTGGCGGTTAGGCCGTTTGGGCTTTGACGGTTGAACAATCTGGACTTAGTATGACAAGACTGAAACATGGTAGGACAAGTGCGTCTGAATCGGCTGAAGTGACTTGTGGAGTGCTTCATGACTCGGTCAATGTGGTGACTTGGACGGGTGGTGATGAGGTGCTGCATGGCACTCAACGGCCAGCTTTCTAGTTGAGCTTCGGGCGAGAGGAGTGATTGGGCGTGGTGTGCGAGAGGCTCTGCTTTATGGAGTTAGCTTTGTTAAGGCGTTTGCCAGGCTGGTGCGGTAGGCACGCGCCACACACAGGCGGCACACAGGTACCGTAGGGGTCGGGGCCGGAGCACGCTGTGACCGTCTGTGCAAAGAGGAAGAAGCGCCGTCAAGTGAAAATGCACGACTGGAGGATCGGAAGCCCGGAGAGTCATGGTGCTGTTGTTGTCTTGGAGCCATGCATGTGCCGCGGTACTAAGCTACTAACACGCCCTGCGAAGGTGTGGCTTTGACGAAGACACACGGGTCGTTTGGCGGGCGGGATGTCTAAGTTGGGCTGTTTATGATAACCTGGTCTGCTTGGCGTACCTGCTGTGCACGTGAGCGCAGAACGGTACTTGGAAGGCAGCACGTCGCTTGCAGCCATGGTACCGGTATGTCTCCAGCTGTCTCAGCTGTATCCACGTACACCTGTAGGCCGACAGTTGATAGGTAGTGCACCTGCCTTACCGCTCTAAGACTAGTGCTGCCACCGTCCGTTGTGGGGCGCAGGGGTTGCCCGCACCCCAGTTTCATCAATTGGCCAATTCCGTAAAGGGGCCTGCCAGACGATCGCGTATACGAGACGGGGAAGGCGGCAACCGGAAAACGCCAATCGTTCACTTTGTGTTGCCTTTTTATTAGCCTACTAGCCTGGAGCATTTCCTATTGGGCTACAAGTCCCGCGGACCTAGGTTTGTCAGGCCAACATGTGTACGAATGTGACACATTAGTCTCGCAATTCAGATTCTGACTTCTTAACCTCACAACATAAAGAAAACGTTTCCTAAAGCACGCTCTGACGAAGGTGTTATAAAGCGGAGTAGGCAACAACAAGCTTACTCATGCTGCGCAAGCTATTGGACACCCTGCAAAGTTGCTCAATGGTGAATTATTAGGTGGACCTTATGGATTGTGTTTGTTGCCATGCTAAAAGCCGGTGCAGCAAGTCAGTTGGCCTGTTTACACGCTGCGTCGTTGTGCTTGCGGTTTTCAGCCAAACGTGGTGGTCGTTTGGGCTTTCGATATCAGTCAACGTCAGCGGCGTCTTCGAGGAGCTGTCTTTACCGTCTGCCTCCTTGGCGGATGGCCTTACTGTGTTGGGAACTGGCGACGGCTCGATATGGAACACGCGCAGCAGCGTTGGCATTGTTAATATTACTGCCGGTATGTCGCGCGCGAAACCTTTGCGTTAAGACAACCGACGAAACCGAAGGCACTCGTTTCGCCATGCAAGGTTTCGAAGTCGCCCTTGCCGCAGCTGTTAACCCTCGCGACAATATATGAGCTATAATTCACTGCCTGGCGATCTTCGGCTGCAGGCGAAGTGAACATAACGAATCTTACTATACTGGACGCGGCCCTGGGCGAAGCATCCTCAGCAGCGTCCTTCCTGGTGCCGCGTGTGCTGTCGCTGGGGCCCAGCGTGAACATCACGCTGCGGAACGTGCGCATGACAACCAGCTGCGACCAGCTGTTACAACAGCAGCAGCACGCTTGCGGGTTGTTGCCATGGGTGAGGACGGTGATAAGTCAGGGGACTGCATACCACCCAGCGTCGCCAACCCTTGCTTCTATCTCGCACCCCACAGCACAACGTGCTATGGATATGCCGCTAGGGATACTCCGAACAATCATTATGACGTCCAACCTGTCAGCGAGTGCACACAAGCGGGTTCAATGTACCGTTTATCCGTACAGTACGAGCGCTCCTTCACGCCGTCGTACTGCTGCTGTACTGCCAGTAACACCCTGCTGTGTCGTACACCCAGGCCGCCATTCGCATCACCGCCGGGTGGCTCCACGTGGCTGGCTGGCGGTCGGGGCGCACCCGGCTCCGGAACGTCACCCTCACCTGCGGCAGCAGTGGCGGCGGCGGTGGTAACCTCAGCAGCCCCAGCAGCAGTCCCGCCGGTGGAGGCACCGGCGGTGGCAGTGATCAACTGCCTCCGCCGTCGCCGTCGCCGTCGCCACCTCCGTCGCCAGCGGGCGTAGCTCCGCCGACGCCGCCATGCATCGCACTCGCCGCCGGCAGCGCGCCGGAGCTGGCGGCGGCGCTCGCGTCACTCGCCGACAGCGGTACCGACGCCGCCGCGCCGCCGGCTTACATCACCCTGACGGCGAACATCTCCCTGACGGCGGCGGCGGGGTGGCCCACGGGTCCGCCGTGGCCCGCCGTCACTAGGAACGTAACGCTCGCAGGCACGCCTCCCACCGCCAGTCTCATGCGGGATCCGCAGTACTTGGTGAATGAGGGCGCGTTGAACGGCACGGGAAGCGTGTCGCAGTCGGCGGCTGGCGGCGCGGACGGCGCGTCGACGTTGTGTTGTCCGGGCGATGTGGGAATCGCCGCCGCCACGCCGCCGGTGGCTGCCGGTTGGGTTTGGCCGCGGGTGGTTTCGGTGGATCTGGCGGGCGGAGTGGATCTGCTGTACATCAACAAGACGGGCACGTTAACGGTTACGGTGGGTTGGCGCGTCAGTTATTCTGTGTGGGTTTCAGTTATGCCGTACATGCGCGCCGCGATGTAACGCTTGTGGCAGGGGGTTCCCGGCGCTGGTTGTTGGGTTAACGGGTACAAGTAACGGGGTGCTTCGCGGCACAGTTGCAGGGAGGGGAATGGTGGGACGGATCATGGTCGGTTTATGCGCATGGGCCCCCCCCCAACGCCCCCTCCTCCCCCTCCCACAAATTGACCACCCCCCCCAGGGCCTGGTGCTTGAGAACCTGGCTGTGGGGGTGCCCGGCGGCTCCTTCCCCATGTCGCTGGTGGGGGCGCAGAGCTGGGCATTCCATGTGGAGCCGTGAGTGGGGGGGAGGGGGGAGGGAGGGGGGAGGGGCAAAGAGGAAGCAACCAGCTGACAGTGTGAGGGGGGGGGAGGAAAAAAGAAATTCCAGTGTGTGGTGTGATAGTGGTGCATGTAGCTGACAAGCCCTGGTGGAAACAACCGTCAGTCGAGCCGAAGTGGTGGTGGAAGCATTGCGAAGGGGGAGGAGGGGGAGGAGGAGGGGGGAAGGAGGGGGTGAGGAGGGGAGGGGGGGAACGCCCAATGAGTGGGAGGGGGGAGTGGGAGAAAAGAGGAGGGAAAGAAGGGTGGTGCAGCCAGGGTTGCAGCTTGGTTGCTGTTTTCACTTTCCTTCCTTCCTTCCTCCTAATCCCATCAACCCTGTTCGACCCATCCCTTCCCCACGACACTATCATCACCTGCCACCCTCCCACATGATTGGTAACCCTCACCGCCATTTCTTCACCGCCCGCTCTGCCATCGTTCCTCCTCCAAACCACCCGCCAACCCACCCATCCCCCTCCCCGTCTCCCCCCCCCCCAGCCCCGGTCACCTGGTGTACGTGGACGTGCTGCTTTCCTTCACCGCTGACGAGTTCGGCTACTGGCTCTACTGGCTGACACTGGCGGTGAGGGGAGGGGGAGGGTAAGCAGAAATGAAAAGGGAAGGGAAGGAGGAGGAAAAATATTATGTAAGTGAAACAACGAGTCCCCATCCCGTTCGTAGCCACTACCGTATCCTAGAAGCACGCATCTAAAAATTACTTACCGAATCGTTGCTTACCGTAAACCGAGACGACGTGAGGGAGAAGCCGCCTTGCGTGGTAACACGAACCAGTGCATGAACGATTGCACACGAAGCAGTAGGAGACCCGAGCTGATGTGAGGAGGGCAGTGGAACAACCCCCCCCCGTGCGGGCATACCTTTCCTAGCTTCCAATACAGCCCACCCCACCCCACATCCGGTCACCTCCCTCCCTCCTCCCTATGTCATGTGGGTGGGTGGTTTCTGCACCCTTACCTCCCCGCCCCCGCCCCCCCCCTGCCGCAGGCCTCCCCTGCAGCCGATGTGGCCTCGCAGTCCTCATGGCTGGAAAGCTTCTTCCCCCGGAGCCTGCAGGTACGGCAACAGCAGAACGTGTACGGCAACACCCCTTGTACGGCATCAACATGTGTACGGCAGGGTTCTGATGGGCCTCTGCAGGGACCTCTGGAGACGGCTAGGCCCTACCTGCCTCACCCCTTCCCTCCCCTTCCCCTCTTCCCCCAAACCCCCCCCCCCAGGGTACTCAGGTGACCGCTGCCGACGCCATCCACTGGCCCTCCTGCGACAGCCCCCGAGTGCGCTTCCGCCGCACATCCAACGTGGGGGTGCCCGTGGTGTTCCCCCGCCGGGTGGAGCGGAGCGGGCTGGGTTTCGTGCTGCCGGACACACGCGTGCCGCTGACACACCTGGCGGTGAGGGGGGAAGATGGGGGGAAGAGGTGGGACGATGGGGGGGGGGTGAGGTGGGAAGATGGGGGAGGTGGTGGGAGGCAACAGTCCAGCGCCCGCTACCTTGCTGCTAGGTGCGGTGACCCGACTGCTCTCTACCTCCCCTTCCCTGCTCCCTTTACCTCCCTCCCTCCCTGCCTCCCTGCCTGCCTCCCTCCCTCCCTCCCTCCCTGCCTGCCTGCCTGCCTCCCTGCCTGCCTCCCTCCCTGCCTGCCTGCCTGCCTGCCTGCCTGCCTGCCTGCCTCCCTCCCTGCCTGCCTGCCTGCCTGCCTGCCTGCCTGCCTGCCTGCCTGCCTGCCTCCCTGCCTCCCTCCCTCCCTGCCTGCCTGCCTCCCTCCCTCCCTCCCTCCCTCCCTCCCTCCCTCCCTCCCTCCCTCCCTCCCTCCCTCCCTCCCTCCCTCCCTTCCTCCCTCCCTCCCTCCCTCCCTCCCTCCCTCCCTCCCTCCCTCCCTCCCTCCCTCCCTCCCTCCCTCCCTCCCTCCCTCCCTCCCTCCCTCCCTCCCTCCCTCCCTGCCTGCCTGCCTGCCTCCCTGCCTGCCCGCCTCCTCAGGGCGCCTCCAACTGTCGCGAGCTGGCTGCAGCTCTGGGCGCCACGGGGGACAGCTGGAAGCCCGTCATCGTGCTCACTGCGGACATCAGCCTGGGGGTGACCCGTGGGTCAGCAGCAGCAGCCGGCAGCAACAACAGCAACACCACCACTATCGCCACCAGCAACACAACGAGCAGCACCGCCACCAGCACTGGCAGTAGCAGCAGCAGTATCAGTAATAACACTAGTAGTAACACCAGCATTAACAGCACCAGCAGCAGTAACGGCGGCAGCAGCAGCTACCCCTCCTCCGCGTGCGCTCCCGGCGACTGGCCGGATGAGCCGGTAGTCGTGAGTCGGAGCCAGGCGGTGGTAGGGGATGTGGGGCGGAGGCTGGCGGTGCTGGATTGGGGGCGGAGGGTGGGGGCGATATGGACAAAGGGGGTGAGTGGAGGGGGAGGGAGGGGTGGGTGGAGGGGGAGGGAGGGGTGAGTGGAGGAGGAGGGAAGGGGGGGGGCTGCGGGTGTAGGAGGGGGGGTGGGAGTGGGAGTGGGTTGTTGGGGTGGGGATGGGGGTGGGTTTGATGATTGGGGGATTTCATGTGGGGGTGACGGGGTGGAAGGTCGGGGAGGAAGGGTAGCTGGGGTTTGGGGGAGGTATGGTGTGTTTGTTTGGATGGGATGGCAGCGCTCACCTCCCCTTCCCCTTCCGGCCTAGTCGACTCCATTCATCAGGAGCTGGTCACACAGGTAGCATGCATGCCGCTATCCTTCAACACATGGTTTACCTTCTTTCCTTCCCCGCCTCCCCCCCCCGCCCTCCTTCCTAACCCCCCCGCCCCGACCCCCAGGACTCCATGGTCACCTTCAAGGGCCTTGTAATGGTGAACAACGGCATGGCGGCGCCCTCGGAGGGGCAGGCGGCGGGGGTGGCGCTGGGGCGGCTGGTGCACCTCATGTGGGGGGTGCAGCCGCCGAGGTAGGGGACGGTTTTTAACCATACAATGAAAAATATAATAAAGGAGAGATTTTATTTTTTGAAATTAATTATTTTGCGGGGGGGGGCGGGAAGGGGGTAGGGGGACAGGGCTTGAGGGAACAGAGGAGTCAAAGACCCTACCAAACGATAGGAAGCCACAGGGGAGGAGGAGGAGGGATGCAGGGGCGGGGAGGAAGAGGAAGCTGACTAGCTGCATGGCGAGGCTGGTGGCTTGGGGGGGGGGTCACATGAAGGGGAATCCCGCAAACAGTGTGTGTTAAGAAAACTGGCCGCGAGGCGAAACGTACTGTGATTGCCGAAAGATGAAGTCCTCCCACCACGGTCCACGCCACGGGTAGTGAAACTCCCGGCCCCTCTCCTCTTCCCCTCCCTTCCTTTGCCCCCCCTCACCTCCTGCATCACCATCCAGCCTGATGCGGAACATGTATCCCCCTATCATCCCCCCCCGCCACCCCCCTCAGCCCCAAGATGAATGTGGCGCTGGTGAACGTGAGTCTGGAGGTGCCCGCCGCGGAGGTGCGGCTGGCGGCGGCACTGGCGCAGCAGCTGCCCGCACCCGCTAACAGCCTGACGCAGGGGGAGGTGGCGACGCTGAGGGTGGGAGGGGAGGGATTAATAGGGATACATATTCCGTTTTAGGGGGGTGTTGTAGTATCTCGTCTGCTGTCGTAGGATAGCAAGGATAGACCTTAAGTCTCAGGGTGGGGTTGCACCACCAAGTGTAGGATTCGAAGAAGGAAAGTGGTCCTATCTCCCCTCCAGAGTACTTCCATACTCTGTTGCTGATGAGGACTAAAACGACTTCAGGAGGTACGACAGACCCTCATCGGCATAACTGTACTGCCGGGCAATTATGTGGTTACAACACCATAACCGCCAAAACGGAACGTTTCAGTTTCCTTGCATAATAACGTCTTCACGAAATTATGCTTTCTGCATAGTCTTTCAAGAAACACCTTGACAATGGAAATCATTGTCAATTATGCTACAACAGGGTGAGGGGGGGAGGGGGGAGGGGTGAAGAAGAAGTTCCAATGTGTTGACCCCGCGCCCTCCCCTCGCGCCCCAGGCTCTCATGCAAGCCAGCCGCGTGGCCCCCCCTCCTGCCGCCACCGCCTCCTCCCCTCCCCCTGCCTTCAACAACAACAGCAGCACCGCCACCACCACCACCAGTAACACCATCAGCAGCAACAGCACCGCTGCTAGCACCCTGCCGTACACTCCCCTCCCTGGCGGCGGCGCGGCGCTGTCATTCGCCAGCCTGTACAGCAGCGGGGTGATCGGTACGACACTGCTGATGACGTCAGACGTGGTGGCGTCGCTGGGGCCGGGGCTGGGGCGCGGGGCGGCTAGCCCCTTCAACAGCAGGTAAGGGGAGCGGGGACGTAGCAGGAGGGGCGTATCCCCAAACACAAACACGAAACACACGTTTACCCCCTACAGACCCCTTTCCAGCCCCCCACCCCGACTCGCTCCCCCGCACTTTGCACCAATACCTGATGTGCGTGAAGCAACCACTTATGAAGTCATTATGGAGCCGCCCCTCCTATATACCGGTAATAATACCGTAGCAAGCAACGTTCGACTCCCTCCTCCTCCCCTTCTCCCCCTCACAGCCCCGTCGTAGTCACCTACCTGGGAGGCCCAGGTGCTACACCCGACGGCCTGGCGGCGCCGCCACCCGCCTCCGCCGGCGGCGGCGGCAAGCGGCACCTGACGCGGGGTGCCGTCGCCGCAATCGCCGTCACCGTCCCCCTCGCCGTATTGGCGCTGCTCGCATTCGCCGCCGCTGCCGTCATGAGCACCCGCAGCGGCAGCAGCAGCAGCAACCGCGGCGGCGGCGGAGGTCGTACATCTCTTAAGCGCCTCTTGCCTCCGTACGGCAGCAAATGCAGCGGCGGCGTGGAGCTGGATTCAGACGCTGGCGGCAGCGGTGGTTGCGCCGGCGCCGGCGGCCAAAGTACGACAGACTCCACTCGCGGTCTTTGGGCCCGTGTGGCTGGCGGCGGCGGCGGCGGCTGCAATAGCAGTGTCAGCGGCGGCGAGAGGAACCTTGCAGCTGAGCAGCCGCCGCCTCCGCTGTCGTACTTTGGGACCTCCTCCACTCGTGACGTGGCGCTGACTGGCAGCTCCTGCGTGCAGCCGCAGCCGCCGCCACTGACGTCATCCGCAGGCCCTGCGCCGCCGCCGCCGCCGCCGCTGCAGCAGCAGCAACCTGGCGCCGCCGGCGGCCGCTTGTCTGCTCGCTCTAGCGGCCGTCACTTGCTGCTTCCGAGCAACAACACCTACTTTCCTGCTGCCGCCGCCACCGCCGCTGCTGCCGCGGCAGGGAATCGTATGAGTGGCGGCGGTTGCGGTGTGAGTGTGGCGAGCGCCGACTCGTTCGACCGGCCTCCCTCGGAGCTGGAGGCGTACGGCAGCACCGGGGAGCGGCCCGCGGTGGAGGAGCTGGCGGCGCTGGTGGCCTCGCTCAAGGTGGGGGGTGGGAGGTGGGAGGTGGGAGGTGGGAGGTGGGAGGTGGGAGGTCGGGATGGGAGGTGGGGGGTGGGAGGTGGGGGGGTCGGGGGAGAGCGGTGTATCAAGGAGACGGGCCGCGAGTCGGGACGCACTGCTGTGATTGCCGGAAGATGATATGTCCTCACAAAACTCCATGATTGAAGTTGTCCCTCTCCCTCCTGCAGGATGAGATGGCGGGTGGGGGGGAGGAGCTGGTGATTAGCGAGGTGCTGGGGGCGGGGGCGTACGGGGTGGTATACCGGGGCACGTGGAAGGTGAGGGGGCGGGGGGGAGTGGGGAAAAAAAGAAATTCCAAAGTGTGAAATTTTAAAGAAATTCCAAGGGGGAGTGGGGGCGGCGGGGGGAAAATCGGGGGGCAGGAAGGGAGGAGGAGAGGAAGCTAACCCCTTGTCGAACATGCTTCATTTCTCATTTTCTTTCCTCCCTTTGCATTGTGGCACCCTGTCCCCTCCCCTTCCGCCTGCTATACCCATTATTTGCCCTTGTATTTTCCTATGGTTTGCTATAGTCTTTGACCCCCCCCTCAACAAGGGACTGAGCTTCTTCTCATGTCTCACTTCTCACTTCTCACTTCTTTTCCCCCGTGCAAAGGGTCTGAGTGTGGCGGTCAAGACGCTGCGCTTCTCGGACCGCCTGTACGGCAACGAGCGCTCCAGGAGGGCGGCGCTGAGGGAGGCGGCCATATGCTGCAGGTATAGGGGGGGTGTACGGCAGCAGGGCAGCAGGGGAATCGAGGGTGGGGTTTGAAGGGGGAGGGAGGTGACCCATGGGTCTGTTCCCCTCTTCCTAACGTATCTCTCCACGTGCCCCTGCACCACATCTCCCTTGCTATGTAAACAAACGCTCTGGCGGTTCTTCGTTTTACCCTCTGTCCTTCCATCCTCTTCACTTCTCCCTTTTCACCTCCCTCTTACTTCCGCCTCCCCTCCCGGCCCCCAGCCTCCACCACCCCAACGTCGTCAGCACCTACACCTACGAACTGAAACCCGTCAGGACGGTCCTCATGGACACGCCACCCCCGCCCCAGCCCCAGCCTGCGCCCCAACTACCCCTTCCTCGACCGCCAACCCAACCGCCACCACCAGCAGCAGCTGCAGCCCCGCCCAACACCACCTCCGCCAGCCCCACCCCCAGTGGCAACGCCAGCGGCTCCTTGCTGCCCTCCAACACCCCCAGCAGCAACACCACCGGCACCACCAGCAGCCTCAGCCAGGGCAGTGCGGCCGCTGCGGGTGCCGCTGCTACGGGGCCGGCGCAGAGCACTGCTGGCAGCAGCAGCGCCAGTGGAGGGCCCTCCGGCTCAGCCTCCGCTGCAGGCTTGGCGGGTGGTTCTGCGGATGCCGGAGGTGGGGGTGCAGCAGCAGCAGCAGCAGCAGGGGGAGGGGGAGGGGCCTCAGCTCCCCTCCCTCCTGCTGCGCCGCTAGACCCCGCCCACATGAACCCCGGTGATGGTGCGGGGTCGGGCACCAGGAGGGCCGGGCACCGGCCGCAAAGGGGGCCTGGCCGGGTGGGGGAGGCGGCTGCGGCGGCAGGGGGAGTGACAGGCGGGAAGGCAGGTGGCGGTGGCGGTGGGGGGTTGCTGGCTTCCTCGGGCTCGGGGCTGCGCATCCTTGAACCCGAGGTGCGGGAGTGGAAGCTCTTCCTCATTCAGGAGTATTGTGCGGGAGGTGAGAAAGGGGGGGGGGCATGGGGAAGGGGGAAGGGGGAGAGGGGGTGTTTCTGCGAGCAGAAAGGTATTGTGAAGGGGTGTGTTTAGGGAGGTGGCCGCGTGTGTGTGTGCGCTTTGGAGTGCCTGCGGAGGTGTCGGTGACTGTCCGCCGCTGTACGGACAACCGCATTTGACACGTGCGTGCCGTGTGTGTTTTGCCCAGTGTCTCTCTTTTCCCACCCTCCCAACCAGGGATGGGATTGACCAGGGATTGTCAGTAACTTGTATCATTATCACACCACACTTTGGAATTTATTTTTTACCCTCCCAACCCCCATCATGCTGAGTATCCACCTTCTAACAATGTTCCCATTGCTTTGCCCTAACTTGTGGTTTGGCATGTCTTCCCCGCCCCCTCACCCCCTCACCCCCGCCTCCCAGGCACCCTACGTGAGATGGTGGACCGAGGCGCCTTCATGTGGGGTCACACCGACCTGCCCCTTATGAAGCGAGTGGCGGCAACGGCACTGGAGGTAGGCGGGGAGGGGAGGGGGGCCGCATGGGGCGTGCCGTACGTGTGTAGTTGAGCGGAAACAAGAGCAAGCAGTTGGGATAGGTTGGGATACGTGTGTTAAGAAAACTGGCCGCGAGTAGGAACATACTGGATACGTGTGTGTGTGTTTTGCCCATTGCTTCCGTCCCGTTCCTTAACCCGCTCATACCGCTCTCCCACTCCTCTCCCCTCCCCCCTGCTCCCTCCCCAGATCGCAGCCGGCATGTCGCACATCCACTCCAAGAATGTCGTACACGGGGACCTCAACCCCAACAATGTACTCATGGCACACCCCACCTCGCCCTCGCAGCAGGTGGGGCAGGGGGGAGGTGCGGGGTGGGGAGGAAACTGACGAGCTGTGTGTGGGGGGGGAAGGGGGAGGGATGAAAGGGCGGGGGGCGGGTGATGGGTGTGTATGTACTGCTATTACGGTTACAGCTATTGCGGGTGGTGGGCTCTTAGGCCGAGGGAGCACGGTGTGGAGAGGGTGCCATGGGGTCAGGGAGGGGGGGAGGGCCATGGGGCCAGTTTGCGTATGTCGTGCCCATTTCCTTGATTCCTCCTTTACTGCCCTCCTTTGCTTTGCTGCCCCCACAACGTCCACCCGCGCGCCGGCCGGGCTCCAAACACCTCCCAACAACACCGCCGCTGTCACCACCACCACCGCCGCTGTCACCACCACCACCTCTGCTGTCTGTCTGCCCGACGTGCGGCCCAACAGCCCCTGGTGGCCAAGATTGCGGACTTTGGGCTGTCCAGCAAGCTGGGCGCGGGTCAGACCCACGTCTCGAATGTAAGTCACTTTGCAGGGGGGAGAAAGGACGTCCTTAGGATGCATGAGCTAGCTTTCCTGGGGGGTTGCCGCACTTGTAGTGAGGTTGCCGCCCCTGCTACTGCTGCTGTGAAGGACAGCACAGCTCTTTCCCTCCCCTCATCCTCCTTCTCGATCCTGCATCGTTCCACTACGATCACGCCCGCGTCACCACCCTTGACTCCCCTCTCCTTCACATCTTCTTCTTTCTTCCTTCCCCCTCCCCTCCCCTTCCCTCCCGTCCGCTCCTCCCCCAGATGTGCTGTGGCACCCCCCCGTACGTCAGCCCCGAGGTGGCGGGCCACGGCAAGATGACCAAGGCTGCGGACGTCTGGTGCATGGGCCTCATACTCTACGTGAGTAGCGCGGGGAAGGGGGGGGGTGCTTGTCCGTGTGTTTGCTTGCATGCTTGCATCTCCGCCCCTGCCGGCCTGGCCTGTATGCGCTCCCAGTCACTGAGTGTGTTGCTGCGGTACCAGCATACGGCATACCTTGTCGTGGCCTGAATCTTTAACATTCTGCCTCCCCCACCTTTCCCCTTTCCGCCTGCTGCCCCCCTGCCCCTCACCCCACCTGCCGCCCCGCCCCCGCCTCACCCCACTTGCTGACCCACCCGGTCAGGAGCTGGCCCACGGCCGGCCCCCCTGGCGGCCCCTGCCCGCCGAGCAGCGGGGGGGATGGGGCGGGGGAGGGGGGCACCACCACCCACTGGTGAACCCGCAGCCGCAGCCGCAAGCACCGCCACAACGGCCGCAGCAACCACAGCAGCAGCAGCCTGTAGCGGCTGCTGCGGCTGCAGCTGCAGCGGCTGCCCCCGGGGGTCCAGGGGAGGGCGCTGCTGCCACTGCGGTCGGACCCCCGCCCCACCACCCCGGCGCCTCCATGTCACCACCTGCACCTCTTCGAGATACTCCCAACACCGTCCCCAGCAGCAGCAGCAGCCCCGCCGCCGCCGCAGCAGCAGCCTCCTCCCTCTCCGCGGGGCGCCTGCCCCTGCCGCCCCTCCGCCCACCTAGTCGCACGGGCGAGGCCGCCGCACCCCTCTCAGTGGATGCCTCCGATGCCGCCGCCACACCTCGCTCCGCCATCTCCGCCTCACCTCTAACTCCCACTCCACCAACTGCTCTTAACAACACTACCAACACCCCAGCCACAGCCTCCCCCGCAATCCTGCCTCCTCCTCCTTCTCCTCCTCCTCTTCCTTTCCCTCCTCCCTCACCTCCTTCACCCCCCCCTCCCCCATTGTGTATCGACCCCACCGCCCTCACCTGGTCCCCCCAGCTGCCGCCCGACTATGTACGGCTAGGGCTATCGTGTCTTAACCGGGTTCCGGAGCACAGGCCAGGTTTCCCTGCTATTGTACGACAGTTGCTTGACATTCAGCGGGCGGTGGATGCGGCGGTAGCGCAGGCCGCGACTCGGTCGGCCGGGCGGCTGCAGGGGGCGGCGGCGCGGGGGGAGGGCGGTGGGGAGGGGAGCGGGCGTGGTTTGAGAGGGGGAGTGAGAGGGGGTGCGAGCATTGGGTAGCGCCGTTGGGAGCCGAGTCCTTGGTGAGTTGGACGTAAGAAGCCAGAGGGGCACAGCTAAGCGCAAATGAGACAAGGGCTATGCCATTGAAGCGTAACAAGCAAGAGGGGTATGTAGTGGGGATGGGAATGGGCGGTTGGAGTGAAGAGGGGTTTGTGGAGTGACGTGGGATGACTACGGAAAAGAGATGCTGGTCGGATTGGTAAGAAAAGGTGCATGTTATGGGGTTATGAGAAGCGTAAATTTCATAGATGTCATTTATTATGGACAGCGCTGCTGAGGATTGAAGAAGGGTCTTGGTGATGATATTGGGATAATGGGATGCGGAGGGCTAAGGATGCTTTGCAAGAACAAGAAAAAACGGAAGGGAGCGAGAGATACGAGAAAGCAAACGCTAGAAGGCGATGGCTTACCGGTAATCCGGAAAAGGGCGCGACAGCGCGAGACGAGCGATGCGCTGGACGGTCTTGGTAGCGTGCGAGGAGGTCATCCGTTTCCTATTTCCCTTTCCCGTTTTGCAAGCGTTGCGGCTCAAGGGCGCCACGTAGCTGCGGTTGCTTGGCAGCGGCTTGGGGTTAGGCGGATGACAGCTCACCTTCATGCGTTCAATTTGTTCTGGACTTGGACTTACGGGGAGGGTGAGGACTAATGCAGGTGTAGTTTCGCGCCCCCTTCTGTATGTGCTAGTGGCGTCCTAGCTGCAAAATGGGAGTGCGAGAGGTTTGTGTTTTAGCTGAGCCCCAGAATTGGCAAACCTTACCTTACCGTGGTGTGTCAAGAAACGGGTCACGGTTGTTAAGAAAACTGGCCACGGTTAGGCCATGGCGTGTGTACCTACGTTTTTCATCATTCACAGGGGAGAGGAGGATTCCTTTGTGGGGTTCCTTTAATCGTTGTTAGCCGTACATATTCCAGATGTACAAAACCGAATTTTGGTTGGAGACACTGAAGAAGGTACCGGTATTGGGAACTATGAAGACGGACGTGCATGAGGGCGTTCAACACTGGTCAATGTGGTCGTGGGGGCGCGGGGACGTAACGGGAAGTACTACTAACTGTACGAGCGGATGGGGGCGCGGATGGGTACACCCCAAACATCTCAGAATGCTCAAAGCTGGTGGCGATAATCCCGGAGGTACTGGAGGATAAGGTACGTTGGCGTTTTCCAAGCGGCCCAAGTGCCCGGTGCGTGGGAGCTGTTGGTGGTTGTGGAAGAGAAACAGAAATAGGTTGGGACGAGTGAAATTTTGGGAAAAGATAGGGACCGAACGCTTCCAGAGCAACGCAAGCGGAGCTGACTGTGCTCATCAGTAAGTGGGAGGCGGAATGGGAGACCGTGTTAGGTGAGGTGTAGGATGAGGGTAATGGTGTTGCTGAGTGGCTCTTAGCTGCTGCTGCTCTCCTGCTTGCCGCTCATGTGAACATCTCTTGTCCCCGCGCACCCCGGACGACGCAGCCGACCAGCCTTCCCTTGCATGCGTACCGGTATGCATGTGTGAGCCGGGGACTTCGTATCTCATTCCAATCTGCTTATATTCCGGCCTGCTCCCTTACGCTCCTCACTGCTTCACTCAAAGCCACTTCCCTGACTGACGCTTTGCGATCCGTGCGGGCGACAGCACATGCACGTATGGACAGGAACTGCAATCCTCCCGCGGTCAATCCCCGCTGCAACAGGGCACAAAGCAGGGCACACGTTACCATCCGCCACTACATTCATGGTAGAGCTTGCTGTGATGCTTGCTGACGTACTCCTGCAGGGCTCCGCAGTAAAGGTACTAGATGTGTGTCGGCGGGTGCTAGGTCGGCGCGGGTGCTAGGTCGGCGATTGCCAGGTCGGCGCGGGTGCTAGGTCGGCGGGTGCCAGGTCGGTGGGTGCCAGGTCGGTGGGTGCTAGGTCGGCGGGTGCCAGGTCGGCGGGCGCCAGGTCGGAGGGTGTCAGGTCGGCGGGTGCCAGGTCGGCGGGTGCCAGGTCGGCGCGGGTGCTAGGTCGGCGGGTGCCAGGTCGGCGCGGGTGCTAGGTCGGCGGGTGCCAGGTCGGCGAGGGTGCTAGGTCGGCGGGTGCCAGGTCGCGCGTGCCAGGTCGGCGGGTGCTAGGTCGGCGGGTGCCAGGTCGGTGGGTTCCAGGTCGGCGGGTGCCAGGTCGGTGGGTGCTAGGTCGGCGAGTGCCAGGTCGGCGGGTGCTAGGTCGGCGAATGCCAGGTCGGCGGGTGCCAGGTCGGTGGGTGCTAGGTCGGCGGGTGCTAGGTCGGCGGGTGCCAGGTCGGCGGGTGCCAGGTCGGCGGTTGCCAGGGCGGTGGGTGCTAGGGCGGCGGGTGCTAGGTCGGCGGGTGTCAGGTCGGCGGGTGCCAGGTCAGCGGGTGCTAGGTCGGCGGGTGCCAGGTCAGCGGGTGCCAGGTCGGCTGGGGTGCCAGGTCAGCGGGTGCAAGGTCGGCAGGTGCCAGGTCGGCGGGTGCCAGGTCGGCGGGTGCCAGGTCGGCGGTTGCAAGGTCGGCGGGTGCTAGGTCGGCGGGTGCTAGCTCGGCGGGTGCTAGGTCGGCGGGTGCTAGCTCGGCGGGTGCCAGGTCGGCGGGTGCCAGGTCGGCGGGTGCCAGGTCGACGGGTGCCAGGTCGGCGGGTGCCAGGTCGGCGGGTGCCAGGTCGGCGGGTGCCAGGTCGGCGGGTGCCAGGTCGGCGGGTGCTAGGTCGGCGCGGGTGCTAGGTCGGCGGGTGGCAGGTCGGCGGGTGGCAGGTCGGCGGGTGCCAGGTCGGCGGGTGCCAGGTCGGCGGGTGCCAGGTCGGCGCGGGTGCCAGGTCGGCGCGGGTGCCAGGTCGGCGGGTGCCAGGTCGGCGCGGGTGCCAGGTCGGCGCGGGTGCTAGGTCGGCGCGGGTGCTAGGTCGGCAGGTGCCAGGTCGGCGGGTGCCAGGTCGGCGGGTGCCAGGTCGGCGGTTGCAAGGTCGGCGGGTGCTAGGTCGGCGGGTGCTAGCTCGGCGGGTGCTAGGTCGGCGGGTGCTAGCTCGGCGGGTGCCAGGTCGGCGCGTGGCAGGTCGGCGGGTGCCAGGTCGGCGGGTGCTAGGTCGGCGGGTGCCAGGTCGGCGGGTGCTAGGTCGGCGGGTGCCAGGTCGGCGGGTGCTAGGTCGGCGGGTGCCAGGTCGGCGGGTGCCAGGTCGGCGGGTGCCAGGTCGGCGGGTGCCAGGTCGGCGGGGGTGCCAGGTCAGCGGGTGCCAGGTCGGCAGGTGCCAGGTCGGCGGGTGCCAGGTCGGCGGGTGCCAGGTCGGCGGGTGCAAGGTCGGCGGGTGCTAGGTCGGCGGGTGCTAGGTCGGCGGGTGCTAGGTCGGCGGGTGCTAGGTCGGCGGGTGCCAGCTCGGCGGGTGCCAGGTCGGCGGGTGCCAGGTCGGCGGGTGCCAGGTCGGCGGGTGCCAGGTCGGCGGGTGCCAGGTCGGCGGGTGCCAGGTCGGCGGGTGCCAGGTCGGCGGGTGCCAGGTCGGCGGGTGCCAGGTCGGCGGGTGGCAGGTCGGCGGGTGCTAGGTCGGCGGGTGCCAGGTCGGCGGGTGCCAGGTCGGCGCGGGTGCTAGGTCGGCGGGTGCTAGGTCGGCGCGGGTGACAGGTCGGCGCGGGTGCCAGGTCGGCGGGTGCCAGGTCGGCGGGTGCCAGGTCGGCGGGTGCCAGGTCGGCGGGTGGCAGGTCGGCGGGTGGCAGGTCGGCGGGTGCCAGGTCGGCGGGTGCTAGCTCGGCGGGTGCTAGCTCGGCGGGTGCCAGGTCGGCGGGTGCCAGGTCGACGGGTGCCAGGTCGACGGGTGCCAGGTCGGCGGGTGCCAGGTCGGCGGGTGCCAGGTCGGCGGGTGCCAGGTCGGCGGGTGCCAGGTCGGCGGGTGCCAGGTCGGCGGGTGCTAGGTCGGCGCGGGTGCTAGGTCGGCGGGTGGCAGGTCGGCGGGTGCCAGGTCGGCGGGTGCCAGGTCGGCGGGTGCCAGGTCGGCGGGTGTCAGGTCGGCGGGTGCCAGGTCGGCGCGGGTGCCAGGTCGGCGGGTGCCAGGTCGGCGCGGGTGCCAGGTCGGCGCGGGTGCTAGGTCGGCGCGGGTGCTAGGTCGGCGGGTGCTAGGTCGGCGGGTGCCAGGTCGGCGGGTGGCAGGTCGGAGGGTGTCAGGTCGGCGGGTGCCAGGTCGACGGGTGCCAGGTCGGCGGGTGCCAGGTCGGCGGGTGGCAGGTCGGCAGGTGCCAGGTCGGCGCGTGGCAGGTCGGCGGGTGCCAGGTCGGCGGGTGCTAGGTCGGCGGGTGCCAGGTCGGCGGGTGCTAGGTCGGCGGGTGCCAGGTCGGCGGGTGCTAGGTCGGCGGGTGCCAGGTCGGCGGGTGCCAGGTCGGCGGGTGCCAGGTCGGCGGGTGCCAGGTCGGCGGGGGTGCCAGGTCAGCGGGTGCCAGGTCGGCAGGTGCCAGGTCGGCGGGTGCCAGGTCGGCGGGTGCCAGGTCGGCGGGTGCAAGGTCGGCGGGTGCTAGGTCGGCGGGTGCTAGGTCGGCGGGTGCTAGGTCGGCGGGTGCTAGGTCGGCGGGTGCCAGCTCGGCGGGTGCCAGGTCGGCGGGTGCCAGGTCGACGGGTGCCAGGTCGGCGGGTGCCAGGTCGGCGGGTGCCAGGTCGACGGGTGCCAGGTCGGCGGGTGCCAGGTCGGCGGGTGCCAGGTCGGCGGGTGCCAGGTCGGCGGGTGGCAGGTCGGCGGGTGCTAGGTCGGCGGGTGCCAGGTCGGCGGGTGCCAGGTCGGCGCGGGTGCTAGGTCGGCGGGTGCTAGGTCGGCGCGGGTGACAGGTCGGCGCGGGTGCCAGGTCGGCGGGTGCCAGGTCGGCGGGTGCCAGGTCGGCGGGTGCCAGGTCGGCGGGTGGCAGGTCGGCGGGTGGCAGGTCGGCGGGTGCCAGGTCGGCGGGTGCTAGCTCGGCGGGTGCTAGCTCGGCGGGTGCCAGGTCGGCGGGTGCCAGGTCGACGGGTGCCAGGTCGACGGGTGCCAGGTCGGCGGGTGCCAGGTCGGCGGGTGCCAGGTCGGCGGGTGCCAGGTCGGCGGGTGCCAGGTCGGCGGGTGCCAGGTCGGCGGGTGCTAGGTCGGCGCGGGTGCTAGGTCGGCGGGTGGCAGGTCGGCGGGTGCCAGGTCGGCGGGTGCCAGGTCGGCGGGTGCCAGGTCGGCGGGTGTCAGGTCGGCGGGTGCCAGGTCGGCGCGGGTGCCAGGTCGGCGGGTGCCAGGTCGGCGCGGGTGCCAGGTCGGCGCGGGTGCTAGGTCGGCGCGGGTGCTAGGTCGGCGGGTGCTAGGTCGGCGGGTGCCAGGTCGGCGGGTGGCAGGTCGGAGGGTGTCAGGTCGGCGGGTGCCAGGTCGACGGGTGCCAGGTCGGCGGGTGCCAGGTCGGCGGGTGGCAGGTCGGCGGGTGCCAGGTCGGCGCGTGGCAGGTCGGCGGGTGCCAGGTCGGCGGGTGCTAGGTCGGCGGGTGCCAGGTCGGCGGGTGCTAGGTCGGCGGGTGCCAGGTCGGCGGGTGCTAGGTCGGCGGGTGCCAGGTCGGCGGGTGCCAGGTCGGCGGGTGCCAGGTCGGCGGGTGCCAGGTCGGCGGGGGTGCCAGGTCAGCGGGTGCAAGGTCGGCAGGTGCCAGGTCGGCGGGTGCCAGGTCGGCGGGTGCCAGGTCGGCGGGTGCAAGGTCGGCGGGTGCTAGGTCGGCGGGTGCTAGCTCGGCGGGTGCTAGGTCGGCGGGTGCTAGCTCGGCGGGTGCCAGGTCGGCGGGTGCCAGGTCGACGGGTGCCAGGTCGGCGGGTGCCAGGTCGACGGGTGCCAGGTCGGCGGGTGCCAGGTCGGCGGGTGCCAGGTCGGCGGGTGCCAGGTCGGCGGGTGCCAGGTCGGCGGGTGCCAGGTCGGCGGGTGCTAGGTCGGCGGGTGCCAGGTCGGCGGGTGCCAGGTTGGCGGGTGGCAGGTCGGCGGGTGCCAGGTCGGCGGGTGCTAGGTCGGCGGGTGCCAGGTCGGCGGGTGCCAGGTCGGCGCGGGTGCTAGGTCGGCGGGTGCCAGGTCGGCGCGGGTGACAGGTCGGCGCGGGTGCTAGGTCGGCGGGTGCCAGGTCGGCGGGTGCTAGCTCGGCGGGTGCCAGGTCGGCGGGTGGCAGGTCGGCGGGTGCCAGGTCGGCGGGTGCCAGGTCGGCGGGTGCCAGGTCGGCGGGTGCCAGGTCGGCGGTTGCAAGGTCGGCGGGTGCTAGGTTATCGGGTGCCAGGTCGGCGGGTGCTAGGTCGGCGGGTGCTAGCTCGGCGGGTGCTAGGTCGGCGGGTGCCAGGTCGGCGGGTGCTAGGTCGGCGGGTGCCAGGTCGGCGGGTGCCAGGTCGGCGGGGGTGCCAGGTCAGC